CCATTGCTTGATTTTTTCGATTTTCGACTCTTGAATTTTTCGATTCTTCAATTTTTCAATTTATGACGTTTCTAAATTATCGATTTTTCGTTTCCTCAATTTCTCGATTAATAGATTTTTTCATTTTTCCATTTCTCGATTTCTCCCGACTTCTCAATGTTCCGATTTTTCAGTTTTCCAATTGTTCGATTTTTCGATTTTTCAACTTTACGATTTTTTGGCTTTTCGACTTCTGAATTTTTCATTTTTCCATTTCTCCAGTTTATTTATTCTTTAATTGTTCGATTTTCAATTTCTCAATTTTTTGATATTTTTGTGTTTCAGTTCTTCAAATTCTCCATTTATTGATTTTTTTTATTTTCCGGCTCTTGAATTTTTCGATTTTTCAGTTATTCAATTTTCAATTTTTCGATTCTTCGATGTTTCGATTTTTCGGCTTTTCGTTTTCTCAATTTTTCAACTTTCCAGTTTTTGAATTAATGACGTTTCTAAATTTTCGATTTTTGTTTTCTCAATTTCTCGATTAATAAATTTTCTCACTTTCCATTTTTCGATTTCCCTACTTCAATGTTTTGATTTTTCAGCTGTTCAACTTTTCCATTCTTCAATTTTACGATTTTTCGGCTTTCGGTTTCCCAATTTTTCAACTTTTTATATATCTGTGTTTTTGATATTTTAGTTTTGGGAATTTTCAGATTTTTTATTCTTTAATTGTTCGATTTTTCAATTTGACACTTTGTGGATTTTCAATTTTTCGATTACTCAATTTTTTGATTCTTGAAATTCTCCATTTTTGATTTTTTCGTTCTTCGACTCTTAATTTTTCGATTTTTCAATTTTTCAATTTATGACCTTTCTAAATTTTCAATTTTTCGTTTTCTCAATTTCTCGATTAATAGATATTTTCATTTTCCCATTTCTCGATTTTCCTTTCTCAATGTTTCGATTTTTTAGTTTTTCATTTTTTCAGTTTTTCGATTTTTCGGTTTTTCGATTTCCCAATTTTTCAACTTTCTATTTCTGAATGTTTTCGATATTTTAATTTTGGGAATTTTCAGGTTTTTTTTTATTTTTTAATTGTCTGATTTTTCAATATGACACTTTCTCGATTTTCAATTTTTTGATATTTTTATGTTCGGATATTTCAAATTTTCGTTTCTTCAAATTCTCTATTTCTGTTTTTTCTTCGTTTTTCGACTCTTGAATTTTTTGATCTTTCAATTTTTCAATTTATAACATTTCTAAATTTTTGATTTTTCGTTTTCTCAATTTCTCGATTAATAGATTTTTCGTTTTCCCATTTCCCGACTTCTCAATGTTTCCATTTTTTCCATTGTTCAATTTTTCTATTCTTCAATTTTTCGATTTTTTGGTTTTTCGATTTTCCAATTTTTCAACTTTCTTTTTCTCAGTGTTTTCGATATTTTAGGTTTACGAATTTTCAGTTTTTTGTTTGACACTTTCTCGATTTTCCGATTACTCAATTTTTTTATATTTTTATGTCGGGATTTTTCAATTTTTCGATTCTTCAAATTCTCCATTGCTTGATTTTTTCGATTTTCGACTCTTGAATTTTTCGATTCTTCAATTTTTCAATTTATGACGTTTCTAAATTATCGATTTTTCGTTTCCTCAATTTCTCGATTAATAGATTTTTTCATTTTTCCATTTCTCGATTTCTCCCGACTTTTCAATGTTCCGATTTTTCAGTTTTCCAATTGTTCGATTTTTCGATTTTTCAACTTTACGATTTTTTGGCTTTTCGACTTCTGAATTTTTCATTTTTCCATTTCTCCAGTTTATTTATTCTTTAATTGTTCGATTTCCAATTTCTCAATTTTTTGATATTTTTGTGTTTCAGTTGTTCAAATTCTCCATTTATTGATTTTTTTTATTTTCCGGCTCTTGAATTTTTCGATTTTTCAGTTATTCAATTTTCAATTTTTCGATTCTTCGATGTTTCGATTTTTCGGCTTTTCGTTTTCTCAATTTTTCAACTTTCCATTTCTCAGTGTTTTCGATATTTTAGGTTTAGGAATTTTCAGTTTTTTGTTTGACACTTTCTCGATTTTCGATTACTCAATTTTTTTATATTTTTATGTCGGGATTTTTCAATTTTTCGATTCTTCAAATTCTCCATTGCTTGATTTTTTCGATTTTCGACTCTTGAATTTTTCGATTCTTCAATTTTTCAATTTATGACGTTTCTAAATTATCGATTTTTCGTTTCCTCAATTTCTCGATTAATAGATTTTTTCATTTTTCCATTTCTCGATTTCTCCCGACTTCTCAATGTTCCGATTTTTCAGTTTTCCAATTGTTCGATTTTTCGATTTTTCAACTTTACGATTTTTTGGCTTTTCGACTTCTGAATTTTTCATTTTTCCATTTCTCCAGTTTATTTATTCTTTAATTGTTCGATTTTCAATTTCTCAATTTTTTGATATTTTTGTGTTTCAGTTCTTCAAATTCTCCATTTATTGATTTTTTTTATTTTCCGGCTCTTGAATTTTTCGATTTTTCAGTTATTCAATTTTCAATTTTTCGATTCTTTGATGTTTCGATTTTTCGGCTTTTCGTTTTCTCAATTTTTCAACTTTCCATTTCTCAGTGTTTTCGATATTTTAGGTTTAGGAATTTTCAGTTTTTTGTTCGACACTTTCTCGATTTTCCGATTACTCAATTTTTTTATATTTTTATGTCGGGATTTTTCAATTTTTCGATTCTTCAAATTCTCCATTGCTTGAATTTTTCGATTTTCGACTCTTGAATTTTTCGATTCTTCAATTTTTCAATTTATGACGTTTCTAAATTATCGATTTTTCGTTTCCTCAATTTCTCGATTAATAGATTTTTTCATTTTTCCATTTCTCGATTTCTCCCGACTTTTCAATGTTCCGATTTTTCAGTTTTCCAATTGTTCGATTTTTCGATTTTTCAACTTTACGATTTTTTGGCTTTTCGACTTCTGAATTTTTCATTTTTCCATTTCTCCAGTTTATTTATTCTTTAATTGTTCGATTTCCAATTTCTCAATTTTTTGATATTTTTGTGTTTCAGTTCTTCAAATTCTCCATTTATTGATTTTTTTTATTTTCCGGCTCTTGAATTTTTCGATTTTTCAGTTATTCAATTTTCAATTTTTCGATTCTTCGATGTTTCGATTTTTCGGCTTTTCGTTTTCTCAATTTTTCAACTTTCCATTTCTCAGTGTTTTCGATATTTTAGGTTTAGGAATTTTCAGTTTTTTGTTTGACACTTTCTCGATTTTCCGATTACTCAATTTTTTTATATTTTTATGTCGGGATTTTTCAATTTTTCGATTCTTCAAATTCTCCATTGCTTGATTTTTTCGATTTTCGACTCTTGAATTTTTCGATTCTTCAATTTTTCAATTTATGACGTTTCTAAATTATCGATTTTTCGTTTCCTCAATTTCTCGATTAATAGATTTTTTCATTTTTCCATTTCTCGATTTCTCCCGACTTCTCAATGTTCCGATTTTTCAGTTTTCCAATTGTTCGATTTTTCAACTTTACGATTTTGTGGCTTTTCGACTTCTGAATTTTTCATTTTTCCATTTCTCCAGTTTATTTATTCTTTAATTGTTCGATTTTCAATTTCTCAATTTTTTGATATTTTTGTGTTTCAGTTCTTCAAATTCTCCATTTATTGTTTTTTTTTATTTTCCGGCTCTTGAATTTTTCGATTTTTCAGTTATTCAATTTTCAATTTTTCGATTCTTCGATGTTTCGATTTTTCGGCTTTTCGTTTTCTCAATTTTTCAACTTTCCATTTCTCAGTGTTTTCGATATTTTAATTTTGGGAATTTTCAGTTTTTTTTTTATTTTTTAATTATCTGATTTTTCAATGACACTTTCTCGATTTTCAATTTTTCCATTACTCAATTTTTTGATATTTTTATGTTCGGATATTTCAAATTTTCGTTTCTTCAAACTCTCTATTTCTGTTTTTTCTTCGTTTTTCGACTCTTGAATTTTTTGATCTTTCAATTTTTCAATTTATAACATTTCTAAATTTTTGATTTTTCGTGTTCTCAATTTCTCGATTAATAGATTTTTCATTTTCCCATTTCCAGATTTCCCGACTTCTCAATGTTTCCATTTTTTCCATTGTTCAATTTTTCGATTTTTTGGTTTTTCGATTTTCCAATTTTTCAACTTTCTTTTTCTCAGTGTTTTCGATATTTTAGGTTTAGGAATTTTCAGTTTTTTGTTTGACACTTTCTCGATTTTCCGATTACTCAATTTTTTTATATTTTTATGTCGGGATTTTTCAATTTTTCGATTCTTCAAATTCTCCATTGCTTGATTTTTTCGATTTTCGACTCTTGAATTTTTCGATTCTTCAATTTTTCAATTTATGACGTTTCTAAATTATCGATTTTTCGTTTCCTCAATTTCTCGATTAATAGATTTTTTCATTTTTCCATTTCTCGATTTCTCCCGACTTTTCAATGTTCCGATTTTTCAGTTTTCCAATTGTTCGATTTTTCAACTTTACGATTTTGTGGCTTTTCGACTTCTGAATTTTTCATTTTTCCATTTCTCCAGTTTATTTATTCTTAAATTGTTCGATTTTCAATTTCTCAATTTTTTGATATTTTTGTGTTTCAGTTGTTCAAATTCTCCATTTATTGATTTTTTTTATTTTCCGGCTCTTGAATTTTTCGATTTTTCAGTTATTCAATTTTCAATTTTTCGATTCTTCGATGTTTCGATTTTTCGGCTTTTCGTTTTCTCAATTTTTCAACTTTCCATTTCTCAGTGTTTTCGATATTTTAGTTTTGGGAATTATCAGTTTATTTATTCTCTAATTGTTCAATTTTCAATTTTTTGACTACTCAATATTTTTATATTTTTGTGCTGTGCTGTGATGGAAAGTTAAAGTCACTAGATAGATGGTTATCTAGGGACTTTAATGGAAAGTGTACGGTATGCTCCATCTATACTTATATTCAATATCTATGGTTCTCGACGTAAAAATCTTAGGTTAGAACACTGGTATTTTGAAATGTGCTCTTAATAACACAGTGTCAATCAACACTACTTTAACAAGATTTAAAAGGTAACTAACATTGCAATTGCTTCCGTAGCGTAATAAAACGATTTTAGGTGGCCACAATGTCGACTTTAGAATATTCGAAAACACTTGTTTCACAGGGAAGATCTTCGTGGAAAAACGTCCACAACTGTAAACTGTGCCCCTATTTTACAACATCACTTTTGTGTATGGTGAACCACGTGCGACGACATCGCTCATCTCTGAAAAAATTTGAATGCTCTGAAGTTAAAATCGAAGCGTATTATTGTAAAGACTGCGATTTTAAAACGGATTTAACGATTCTGTTCAAACAACACATTAACAAACATCATGGCCTTAAGAGTGAATTTAGAGAGGATTTATCAAGTGAGGACTTTAGCATACGAAACTACATTTGCGAAAAATGCGCCTTCGAAACAAATTCCTTGATAAATTGGCTTCAACACACTTCAGCATGCACAGAAAGGAAAGAAAATATTGAATGGCTCCAGTGCGAAAAATGTCCTTTCAAAACTGAATTCAAAAGAAGTTTAAAAAACCACATGTATTACGTACACGCTGAAGACGTTAAATGGTTCGAATGCAAGGAGTGTCCATTCAAATCTAAGTATAAGGAATCTTTAAAGAGACACAAAATTGATAAACATCTAGACGAAGAAAAAATTAACTGGCACGAATGTGAAAGTTGCCCGTTCAAAGCTAAACAGCTATCGACTTTAAAACAACACGTAATTTGGCGACATTTGGACGAAGAAGACGTTAAATGGTACGAATGTGCCAGCTGTTCGTATAAATCTAAAAGAAAAGATCAATTAAAAAGACATGTAACTGTCTACCACTTGGATGTCAAATCATTCCAGTGCATACATTGCCCCTATAAAGCTAAATTTGAAAGTTATTTAAAAAGACATATAATCAACTGCCACTCATCTCAAACGGATTTAAATTGGTTCAAATGCGAACACTGTCCTCATAAAAACAGACGTGAGGCAGGTTTACGAATCCACGTAAACCGTGTCCATTTAAGAAAACGAGACATCGAATGTGAATATTGTGCATTTAAAACCAAAACTAAACATAACTTAAAAACACACACAAATTTATTTCATTCCAAAGACGTTAAATGGTACGAATGCGAAAAGTGCCCCTTCAAAACCAAGTTTAAAAAATCGATAAAGGAGCACGCAATCGCTAGACATATGAACGAAGAAGAAATTACGTGGTACGAATGTGAAAACTGCCCGTTCAAAACCAAGTGGTCAGACGGTTTGAAAAGGCACATGATTTCTCGACATTTAGGCAATCAAGAAATGAAGTGGTACGAATGCCAAGAGTGTCACTTCAGAACTAAGTTTAGTTTCTCTTTAAAGAGGCACGTAAATACTAATCATTCGGAAAAATCGAATTGGTATGAATGTGCTAATTGTTCGTATAAAAGTAAGAAGAAAACTAATTTGGACGCGCATGTAAAGGTCCATTTAGAGAGCTGGCCGTATCAGTGTGAATATTGTCCATATAAGGCGAAACAGAACGCGTACTTAAAGCGGCATTTAAACAGGCTGCACTTGGTTGGAACGGACGTCAAGTGGTACAAATGCGATCAGTGTTCTTGCAAGTTTAAAGATGGATCGACTTTGTATAAGCACAAAAAAGTGCACGTGTAAGATTTAATTTGAAAGTATTGGTTCCCCTAGTATTTTGGTCAAATGCAAAAGTTGTAGAGAATAAAAACCTGTATCTAAATAATTCTTTATTCCTTTTTTGTTCAGGGTTAAAAAAATTATTTCTTTATAAAGAATATAAAAAATACTAATTTATTTATTCAAAATATATCTTAAAAATATACAAAATGAATAAACCATCTGATCATAACTTAATGTTGAAGTAATACAGAAATATTAGCAAATGTGTTTTAATCTTTTATTAATTCAAACTTGATACAAGGACAATAATTCTCGCCACAGTATAAACAGAGAACATAGAGAAGCGTCATATTAAAAATTAAATAAGATTATTTAATTTTTAATTTTTCAATTTTTCAATTCCTCGGTTTTCAGTTTTTCTCTTCAATTTTACGATTTTTAAATATTTCGATTTTTCAATTTTTGACTTTTATAAACTCTTTATTTGTCGATTTTTCAATTAATTAATTTTTCAGGTTTTTTGGTTTTTCAATTTTTCTATTTTTTCAGGTTTCGATTTTTCAATTTCACTTTTTTGATTTTTCGATTTCTCAATTTTTCAAATTTTTAATTTCTCAGTTTTTCGACATTTCAGTTTTAGGATTTTGCAGTTTACTTATTATTCAATTTTTCGATGTTACGGTTTTGCAGGTTTTTGATTTTTCAATTTTTCGATTCTTTAGATTCTCAGTTTTTGGATATTTCAGTTTTGGGATTTTTCAGTTTTTCGATTCGTCAGTTTTTCTTTCATTTTTCAGTTTTTCGATGTTTCAGTTTTGGGATTTTTCAATATTTCTGTTCTTCGAATTTTACATTTTTGACTTCTTGATTTTTCGATGTGTCGACTTTTTACTTTTTCGATTTTTAAATTTTAGATTTCTCAATTTTTTTGTATTTTAATTTTTCAATATTTAAAATTTTAGATTTTTCTATTTCTCGATTTTTCATTTTAGCTCTTCCATATTTCAATTTTTCAAATGTTTCAATTTCTTAATCTTTCGATTTTTCGACTTTCCGGTTTTAGATTTTCTGTTTTTCAATTGTCGTTTCTTCAAATTTTCGATTTTTCAATTTTTCAAATTTGACATTTATAAATTGTTAATTTTTCGATTTCTCAATTAATCGATGTTTTGATTTTCCCATTTCTTGACTTTCGAGGGTTTCGATATTCCTGTTCAATTCTTTAATTTTTCGACTTCACTTTATGGATTTTTCGATTGCTCAATTTTCTGCCTTTTTAGGTTCTCAGTTTTTGGATATTTCAGTTTTTGGATTTTTCAGGTTTTCCCATTTTTCAGTTTTTGTTTCATTTTTCAGTTTTTCGATATCTCAGTTTTGGGATTTTTCAATATTTTAATTCTTCGACTTTTCGATTTTTGACTCCTGGATTTTTCGATGTGTCGATTTTTTACTTTTTCGATTTTTGAATTTTTCGATTTTTAAATTTTAGATTTTTTAATTTTTAAAGTTTTAGATTTTTCGATTTCTCGATTTTTCATTTCAGTTCTTCGATATTTCAATTTTTCAAGTTTTCGAATTTTTCAAATGTTTCGATTTCTTAATCTTTTGATTTTTCGAATTCGCGGTTTTAGATTTTCTGTTTTTCACATGTAATTTTGTCAAATTTTCGATTTTTTAATTTTTCAAATTTGACTTTTATAAACTCTCAATTTTTAGATTTTTCAATTAATCGATGTTATGATTTTCCGATTTCTTGACCTTCAAGTGTTCGATTTTTCTGTTCTTCAATTCTTTAATTTTTTTATTTTTCAATTTTTCGATTTTTTAAGGTTTCTATTTTTCGACTTCACTTTTTTGATTTTTCGATTTTTCAGTTTTTAGATATTTCAGTTTTAGGATTTTTCAATATTTCTGTTCTTCGACTTTTCCATTTTTGACTTCTGGATGTTTCAATGTGTCGACTTTTTACTTTTTCGATTTTTAAATTTTAGATTTCTCAATTTTTTTGTATTTTAATTTTTCAATATTTAAAATTTTAGATTTTTCTATTTCTCGATTTTTCATTTTAGCTCTTCCATATTTCAATTTTTCAAATGTTTCTATTTCTTAATCTTTCGATGTTTCGACTTTCCGGTTTTAGATTTTCTGTTTTTCAAATGTTGTTTTTTCAAATTTTCGATTTTTCAATTTTTCAAATTTGACATTTATAAACTGTTAATTTTTCGATTTTTCAATTAATCGATGTTTTGATTTTCTCATTTCTTGACTTTCGAGGGCTTCGATATTCCTGTTCAATTCTTTAATTTTTCGATTTTTCAGGTTTTTGATTTTTCATTTTTTAGTTTTTTTAAGGTTTCGATTTTTCGACTTCACTTTATGGATTTTTCGATTGCTCAATTTTCTGCCTTTTTAGATTCTCAGTTTTTGGATTTTTCACTATTCGGATTTTTCAGGTTTTCCCATTTTTCAATTTTTGTTTCATTTTTCAATATTTTGATTCTTCGACTTTTCGATTTTTGACTCCTGGATTTTTCGATGTGTCGACTTTTTTACTTTTTCGATTTTTCAATTTTTCGATTTTTTAATTTTTAAAGTTTTAGATTTTTCGATTTCTCGAATTTTCATTTCAGTTCTTCGATATTTCAATTTTTCAAGTTTTCGAATATGTTTCGATTTCTTAATCTTTTGATTTTTCGAATTCGCGGTTTTAGATTTTCTATTTTTCACATGTCATTTTGTCAAATTTTCGATTTTTTAATTTTTCAAATTTGACTTTTATAAACTCTCAATTTTTCGATTTTTCAATTAATCGGTTTTGATTTTCCCATTTCTTGACCTTCGAGTGTTTCGATTTTTCTGTTCTTCAATTGTTTAATTTTTTGATTTTTCAGGTTTTTGATTTTTCAGTTTTTCGACTTCACTTTTTTGATTTTTCGATATTTCAGTTTTTAGATATTTCAGTTTTAAGATTTTTCAATATTTCAATTCTTCGGTTTTTCTATTTTTGACTTCTGGATTTTTCGATGTGTTTTACTTTTTCGATTTTTCAATTTTTGGATTTTTAAATTTTAGATTGTTCAATCTTTTGACATTTTAGTTTTTCAATATTTCCTAGTCTTTCGATTTTTCGACTTCCTGGTTTTAGATGTTCTGTTTTTCAATTTTTCGATTTGTTAATTTTTCATTCCCGATTAATCGAGATTTGATTGTTCAGGTTTTCGATTGATCAGTTTTTCAATTTTTTATTTTGGCCTATTTCGGTTTCTCATTTTTTCCAGTTTTCCATTTTTTCGTTTTTTTTATTTTTCCGCTTTTCCAATTTTTCAACTTTTAACTTTTTGTTTGTCGATTTCTCTATTTTTCAATTTTTCGACTTCATCACTTTTCGATTTCTCGTTCTTTTGGTCATTCGATCTCTCAATTTTTCAATTTTTTCAAGTTTTTTGATTTTTCGATTTATCGAGATTTGGATTTTCCGATATTTTGATTGTCAATTTATAAATTGTTCAATTTTTAACTTTTCGATTTTTCGATTTTGGCCTATTTCGGTTTCTCAATTCTTCGACTTTTCGACTCCATGATTTTTTCGATTTTTCGGTTTTTCGATTTTCCATTTTTTCGATGTTTCGAATTTTCAGTTATCCGACTTTTTAAATTTGGGAGTTTCGATTTCTCAATTTTTCGTTATTCGATTTTTAAATTTTAGATTTTTGAATTTTACATTTTTTCGATTTTCTGATGTTTCATTTTTCGATTTTCAGTTCTTCGATATTTCGATTTTTCAATGTTTCGGTTTTACGATTTTTTAAGGTTTCGATTTTTCGATTATTAGATTTCTCGATTTTTCAAATTTTCGATTATTTTAATTTTTATTTTTTTTTTTCTCACTGTTAATATCATACAGTGTATTGAAAACAACCACAAAAATTGTCACTAAAAACATTTAAAAATTCATACAAAATAGAACACAGTGTTTCCAAAACATTTTCCCGAAAAAAATCTTTGGCGGTTGAGGACTCCAATGTCAATAAGGGTGGTTTTGCAAAATCAGATTGTATGTCGCATCTATATTAATCTATGATTACACCCCAAACAAAAAAAAATCTAAAAAAAATAAAAAAGCAAATTTAGAAACAATAAAAATTAAAATACATTCTCAGCCAATAAAATATACAATAAAAACACAAACCATAAATCAAAATAATAAATTCTTAAACAATAAAAAATAAAATAAATTCTCAAAAGATAAAATTTCTGCAATGATTATAATGACTGTAATCCAAACACTAATAAACAATAATGATAACGTCATAACCCAACATCCCATATGATTCCGTAATTAATATGACATTTCTTGTTGACAAAACCAAACAAAACGATCACCGAAAACCTTAAAATGAAAAAGAAACAATGTTCTTCAAGGTCGGAGCACCTTTAGAGACGCTAGTGACCTCTTTATGTCGTTCCGTAAGCTCCCTATGTATTTCTTATGGAAACCTTAGATCATATAATATATGATCTAAGATGGAAACAGCTGATGCTTTCATAGCCCTGATTATAACTGTGTCATAACTACATACATGACATAAATATATGCTTATTATTATTATTATTTACCGCCTTATCTCTTTACAATATAATAGGGATATTTGTTACTTCAATGTTTTTCACCAACATAAATCAACAGCTGGCGGATGTGGATGTTTGGAATTTGAACGAGTAATAATTTTGTAATTATTTCTGCCAGAAAATTTGCATTTTTGGTATCAATTTTTTGTGTTTTAGGTGAAACGAGACAGTTACCCACTTGTCAACGTCTAATCCGCCTCGAATTGTGTTTTTCAAGAAAATCACGTCATTTTTGACGTAAAAATTTAGGTTAGAATTTTGATCAGAAGATCACAGTTTCTAAAACAACAACCACAAGACGGTTGTAGACAACCAAAATGTCAACTTTGGAGTATTCCGAATCGCTTCGACAATGGGGAAGATCGTCATGGAAAAACGTCCACAACTGTAAACTGTGTCTCTATTTTACAACATCGGTTTTCTTTATGGTGAACCACGCGAGACGACACCGTTCATCTCTGGAAAAATGTACGTGCGAAAACGCCAAAATTGAAGAGTTTCTTTGTAAAGACTGCGATTTTAAAACGGAACTAACGATTCTGTTCAAACAACACATTAATAAAAATCACAGCCTTAAAAGCGAGTCTAGGGACGATTTATCACTGCAGGATTTCAGTGTGCAGAAGTACGTTTGCGAAAAGTGCGATTTCGAAACAAATCTGTCGTTGAAGTGGCTTCAACATACTTCAGAGTGCACGGGAAAAAAAGAAAATCCCCAAAGTGTGAGTTCGGTGAAAGAGAATATGACGGATATTTTCTATTTGGAAAAAATTGATGGAGAAGGTTGGTATTGCTGTGCACTATGTTCCTACAAAGTCAGAAATGAAGCCATTTTAAAATGCCATATGGAAAAACATTATTTAAACGAACGATATGCGTGTAAGAAGTGTCCATTAAAATACGAATCGAAAAGAACTTTAAGAAATCACATAAAACGAAACCACTTAGATGAACGTGATCTTGAATGGCACAAATGTGAAAAATGTCCTTACAAAACTGTAGTTAAAAGTCATTTAACTAGGCACATAAACAACTTACACTTGAAAGAAGAAGAGGGTATATGGTACCAATGCAGTGAGTGTCCATATAAATGTAGGACGAAATCTTATTTAAAGACTCACGTGACTTTAAAACATCTAAATGAAGAAAAAATTACGTGGTATAAATGCGAACAGTGCGAATTTAAAAGTAAGCATAAATCATCTTTAAAAAATCACATAAATATCCATTTAAAGAAACAAAACGGGAATGGGCATAAGTGTGAAAACACTGAAGAATGCAATGAGTGTCTGCTCAACAAAAATAAGCCGTACGAATGTAAATATTGCTCGTTCAAAACTAAATGGGGGTCCTATTTACAAAAGCATGTAATTTCTCTACATTTGGATGACAAAGAAATTAATTGGCACCAATGTGACAAATGTCCGTACAGAAGCAAATTTATTTCCGAATTGAAGAAACACACAGATGTTAATCATTCAGAAGAACCAAAGTGGTATGAATGTACTAAGTGTTCGTATAAAACTAAAATAAAAAAATATTTAATGCGGCATGTACAGATCCATTTGGAAATCAGATTGTACCAGTGCAAATATTGTCCATATAGAGCGAGACGTGCTCCTGATTTAAACACTCATATAAGTCACCGCCACACAAATCAGATCAATCCCGATGGTAAGGATGTTAAATGGTACGAGTGTGAACAATGTCCTTTTAAAACTATAAAAAAATATTCTTTGAAAACTCACATAAACAACTTACACTTGAATGAAGAAGAGATCAAATGGCATCAGTGTAATGAGTGTCCATTTAAGGCGAAAAATGCGTATCGTTTAAAACGTCATGTAATTTCTAGACATTTGAATGAAGAAAAAATCAAGTGGTATGAGTGCGAATATTGTCCACATAAGACGAAACTCAAGACCTATTTAACGTCTCATATGAATACATGTCATTTTGAGTCTTTACAAAAGTAAAATTTAAACGTATTTTTATAAATACAAAGAAAACTAGATAAAGAGAATTATATTTATTTTTAAATTTTTGCGTAAGTACGCCTTCTGCTTTAATAGTAACTTTTAAATATTTTGTGACTAATTTTTAATTAAAATTTCAAGAGAAAAATAATGTTTTATTTTCTACACAAGGGTGTGCCATAAGTGTAGTATTATCCATTCACGATCTTTATATAGTCACAGTAGATGCCAATCTCTCTTTAACTGCTGTTGTAATTTTAGTTACCTTAAATCTTGTTAAAGTGATATTTGAAACTGTGTAAAGACATTCGGAAATGCTGAGTTCTAACCGAAAATTATAAATTGACTTGAGTTTTCCTACAAGGGAATTAAAAAATTATAATTACGTTATGAGCGCAACAATTTCGGTGAACATAACCTCAAAAATTGATACACCAATGGGGCTAGAGCCGCTAGAGCAGGACGTGCTAGTGAATTTTAATTTATAGCGCCCAGTGTTGACCCTAGCGCCACCATACATAACTGAGTGGAAACATTATTTGGGGCATCATTAAAATGAAAAAGAAAATGAAAACGTATTGAATTATATGCCAGAAGCTTTCACTTTATTAAAGATATATACACAGCTTAATGCTACTACACCCAAGTTATACAAAATTAAATCCTACACATGTATTTTTTTGTGCTTACACAAAGCTGATCGATCTTTAACTCTATAAGAACATTGTTTGCATTTGTACCATTTGGCATCCGCTGCATCCAAATGGCAGATATTTATATGACTCTTTAAACACTCATTGCGTTTCGCCTTGTATGAACAATATTCGCACGGAAATGATCTGATATCTGAATGGCGAACAATTACATGCTGTTTCAAACGCTCTTTTCTTTTACTTTTATACGAACAGCTCGCACATTCGTACCACTTAATTTCCTCTTCACTCAAATGTTGATTAATTACGTGAGATCTTAAAGTCGAGCGATGTTTAGTTTTGAATGGGCACTTTTCGCATTCGTGCCATTTAATTTTTTCTTCGTCTGTATGTTTCAAACTCAAGTGGTTCTTTAAAGATTTCTTATATTTCGATTTGAATGGACACTCATTACATTCGTACCATTTAACGTCTTCTGCCCGCGAGTGTAAGTTATTCATGTGCTTGTTTAAATTCCTTTTTATTCTAGTTTTGAAAGGACATTTTTCGCACTTGTGCCATTCGGCATCCTGTTCACATTTGTACAGCTTACAATCGGAATGGTGGTTGTATAGATGCTCCTTTAAATAACGTTTTAACTTAGCCTTACATGGGCAATATTCGCACTGAAATGATTTGATATCTGAATGGCGAACCCTTATATGCAGTTTTAAACGATGATTTATTTTAGTTCTAAACGAACAGTTCGCACATTCGTACCACTTAACTTCTTCTTCACTCAAATGTTGACAAATCACGTGAATTCTTAAAGCCGAACGATATTTAGATTTGAACGGGCACTTTTCGCATTCGTGCCACTTAATTTTTTCTTCCTCTACATGTTTCGCATTGAAGTGGTTGTTTAAAGATTCCTTATACTTAGATTTGAATGGACACTTCTGGCATTCGTGCCATTTAACGTCTTCTCCCCGCAAGTGTACGTTATTCATGTGGGTTTTCAAACTTCTTTTCAATTTAGTTTTGAAAGCACATTTTTCGCACTTGTGCCATTTAGCATTTTCTTCGTACGTGACGTTCTGGCTCGGAGAACTCAGATTTTGAAGATTTTCTTTTCTTTCCGTGCATTCTGAAGTGTGTTGAAGAAAATTTATCGAGGAATTTGTTTCGAAGGCGCATTTTTCGCAAACGTAGTTTTGTATGCTGAAGTCCTCGATTGACAAAACTTCTTTAGATTCAGTCTTAAGGCCGTGATGTTTGTTAATGTGTTGTTTGAACAGAATCGTTAGATCCGTTTTAAAATCGCAGTCTTTACAATAATACGCTTCGATTTTGGCTTCGGAGCATGTAAATTTTTCCAGAGATGTGCGATGTCGCCTCACGTGGTTGACCATACACAAAATGGATGTTGTAAAATAGGGGCACAGTTTACAGTTGTGGACGTTTTTCCACGAAGATCTTCCCTGTGCAAAGAGTGTTTTTGAATATTCCAAAGTCGACATTGTGGCCACCTAAAATCGTTTTATTACACCACGGAAGCAGTTGTAATTTTAGTTACCTTAAATCTTGTTAAAGTAGTGTTGCTGGAAATTATCCTTTGTGATATTTGACACTGTGTTAAGGGCACATTCCAAAACGCTAGAATTCTAACCTAAGATTTTTACGTCACAACCAAAGATATTGAATATAAGTATAGATAAGATAGAGCATTCCGTGCACCTTCCATGCTAGTTATAAAATAATGTGATTGAGACCTATGGAAGATATTTCGAGCAATTATTGAATACAAATATATATAAAAACTGAACGGTGTGAGTTGTTTATTTCAAAACAATTTCCTTACTTGGTTCCCACTCCAGACAGGGTTCTAGAGAAACGAAATACACTAGTCAAAATCGCAAGATTGATCACCCGAACAGAGGACATAGAGAAGCGTCATAATTTAAATTAAATGACGGTTGAGGCAGAGATAACAGAGATATGACAGCTTTTGAATGCTCCATAAGAAATGCATGGGAGCGAAGTGAACACAGAATTTGACGTAAAAGACGGTTGGGGGCACAACATTTGTGGTGGTAAACCTGATACCCTAACATCTATGTTAAATGTTACTAAATATATTACTAGTAAAAGTGACATAACGAACGAAAAACACGAACTCTGAGATAACCTCAATTAAATATGATGCGATGGTTTCAAATTATAAAAGAAAAGTCATGTTAACTGCATATGTATGTATGTATTTATTACAGTTACATACATTTTAACAAACAATATACTATTGGTAAGTACAGGAATAGTTCTATAAAAATAACATCGATAAGTAAACCGATGATTTTCTGCAGCTATAATTAATTATTAATCGATGAAACTGGCAAATGCTCTATAAATGGGACAAAATTTTTAATGTTTTTTAAGTTGCTTCTGTAGTTCCCTATTATGGAATTTCAATGTATAAAATATACGTAATCGCACAAATAATGACAAAAGGGGTAATCAAGGGGGAGATTACTACATGGATGCTATTAAGGCCAGCTGGTTTTTAAGTTGTCTAGGAACTTGAAGCGAAAGTGTATTATCTACTGAAGGCATTTTCTAATTGTTCAATGTAATATGCAAACTGTTCATACGAAACATTAAGATTGCCATAAGATAAAGTTTCAGAATTGTGGGCTTGGAAACGACAATAATGCAGTTCTAGAATTTCTGCCACATGCATTTGTATATTCACAGCATATCTGAGAAGAGTGTTTTAAGCATGCATCCACTGAGTGTCCACATATTTATCGTAAGATATTTTGTTCAACTAAATCAAACTCTTTGTACTCTATCCTATCTATTTTTAGGGCATTATGAGGTGGTTGGGAATTATTAATTATGGTGGAGATGTTGTACCTCTCACTTAAATTGGAGATATCTTCATTAGCAGATAAGAATTGTGGTGTGATCAGATGATTAAAACAGGACTTGCGTTCGTGGTGTATTTATTTTTTATGTTGTCGGTTCAGTAGATAAGGGAAAAGTGAAGAGTGTTGCTGTGATTTTGAAAATGAAAAGACAGGTCGGTAGAGAGCGGTGAAACGGTTGTGTCGAAAGGGTTCTTAGAAGGTACTCGAAATCTTCGAAGGATAAGAATTATTGGGAAGGGCGAACAAAAGATAGGTTTTACGACATGCAGGTGGACGAAGAGAAAGTTTCAGGATGATAGTGGTTGGAAGTCAATAAATACAGACTATATACAAATATTACATGTTGCACAATTTTGTGGGATTTGTTAGCCCCCACAAAATGTTGCTAAATCAAAAGCACAATTACCAGTTGGGTTGTGCTGCATATATTTTATACAGAACAATAGCTTGTATTTGGTTATATTGTGATGTAAATAACTATTAATAATATGAGGATAAAAATAATTTTATTAACACCCGCACAGAACTAAAAGTGACTAAAGTCATCTTTGCAATGAAAAGGTAACATTCAATATTATAACTGTATTTGTACCCCTTAAAGTGTCGTCCTTGAATTTCAACGTTAGGTTGTAATAACAATCGTCGAATGAGCTAGAGGGTACTCTTATTATTATCCTCGCTATAAAATTGTACAGTTTGTGTTGTGTATGCACATTTTAGAGTTTTAAAGGATAAGAAAAGTTAATACAAGTATTTTGAGTAATTTAATGTTTTTTTTTATCCATTTACTATTAATCAGGATGTAAACATTACAAAAGCACCAACAAATGTTAGATATAATACAATCATTTTCGAATAAACTTAATGATTGTAATTTTTTTAATCTTGTCTTTTTCCATTTATGAGGAACCTAGTATTTTTGGAAGAAAGATTAACCACTTTTGGTATATTCTTACGATTGGAAATATCCCTGGTAATCAAATAGCCGCGCTACGAAAGTTTCACTCAAATTTAAATAGCGCGCCCGAAAGTGACGGTTTGGGGCGCAGTACATAAGGACTATTGTCGCTTAATTTTGCGAGCTGTCATATCTCTTTTATCTCTGGTTGAGGAGTCCTCGACTTATGTTGGCAACCGTGTTTGTTTCTAACTAGGAATAAAATTAATGTGATAATATTTTTAACGACGCGTTTTAGTTTCGACAAATTGACACTAGATTTACCAGAATATTACAAGCTGCTTACTGTTTCAGTGTTTCCTTCACTCTAATTCAGGTCACACGAATTACAGTTCGTCGTCTGAGAACTTGTTTGATCTACAGATCAGAGCGCACTCAGGCCAATGTCGACTCTAAGCGTTCGGAAACGATTTAATTTATAAGCCACGATCCGTGACCCGATACACATCCTAACCTATAATTTCTTGCTGTTTCAACTTTCGAATTCTCAGTTTTTCGAAATTTTAGTTTGGGGACTTTTCAGTTTACTCCTATTTATTATTTAATTCTTAATTTCTCAATTTTTCAATTTCTCGGTTTTCAGTTTTTCTCTTCAATTTTACGATTTTTAAATATTTCGATTTTTCAATTTTTGACTTTTATAAACTCTTTATTTGTCGATTTTTCAATTAATTGATTTTTCAGGTTTTTTGGTTTTTCAATTTTTCTATTTTTTCAGGTTTCGATTTTTCAACTTCACTTTTTGGATTTTTCGATTTCTCAATTTTTCAATTTTTTAATTTCTCGGTTTTTCGACATTTCAGTTTTAGGATTTTTCAGTTTACTTATTATTCAATTTTTCGATCTTACGATTTTGCAGATTTTTGATTTTTCAATTTTTCGATTCTTTAGATTCTCAGTTTTTGGATATTTCAGTTTTGGGATTTTTCAGTTTTTCGATTCGTCAGTTTTTCTTTCATTTTTCAGTTTTTCGATATTTCAGTTTTGGGATTTTTCAATATTTCTGTTCTTCGACTTTTCCATTTTTGACTTCTGGATTTTTCGATGTGTCGACTTTTTACTTTTTCGATTTTTAAATTTTAGATTTCTCAGTTTTTTTGTATTTTAATTTTTCAATATTTAAAATTTTAGATTTTTCTATTTCTCGATTTTTCATTTTAGCTTTTCCATATTTCAAGTTTTCAAATGTTTCGATTTCTTAATCTCTCGATTTTTCGACTTTCCGGTTTTAGATTTTCTGTTTTTCAATTGCCGTTTTTTCAAATTTTCGATTTTTCAATTTTTCAAATTTGACATTTATAAACTATTAATTTTTCGATTTTTCAATTAACCGATGTTTTGATTTGCCCATTTCTTGACTTCCGAGGGTTTCGATATTCCTGTTCAGTTCTTTAATTTTTCGATTTTTCAGGTTTTTGATTTTTCATTTTTTAGTTTTTTTAAGGTTTCGATTTTTCGACTTCACTTTATGGATTTTTCGATTGCTCAATTTTTTGACTTTTTAGGTTCTCAGTTTTTGGATATTTCAATTTTCGGATTTTTCAGTTTTTCTTTCATTTTTCAGTTTGTCGTTATCTCAGTTTTGGGATTTTTCAATATTTTGATTCTTCGACTGTTCAATTTTTGACTCCTGGATTTTTCGATGTGTCGACTTTTTTACTTTTTCGATTTTTAAATTGTAGATTTTTTAATTTTTAAAATTTTAGATTTTTCGATTTCTCGATTTTTCATTTCAGTTCTTCGATATTTCAATTTTTCAAGTTTTCGAATTTTTCAAATGTTTCGATTTCTTAATCTTTTGATTTTTCGAATTCGCGGTTTTAGATTTTCTGATTTTCACATGTCAAATTTTCGATTTTTTAATTTTTCAAATTTGACTTTTATAAACTCTCAATTTTTAGATTTTTCAATTAATCGATGTTTTGATTTTCCCATTTCTTGACCTACGAGTGTTTCGATTTTTCTGTTGTTCAATTCTTTAATTTTTTGATTTTTTAGGTTTTTGATTTTTCAATTTTTCGATTTTTAAGGTTTCTATTTTTCGACTTCACTTTTTTGATTTTTCGATTTTTCAGTTTTTAGATATTTCAGTTTTAGGATTTTTCAATATTTCAATTATTCGGTTTTTCTATTTTTGACGTCTGGATTTTTCGATGTGTTTTACTTTTTCCATTTTTCAATTTTTGGATTTTTAAATTTTAGATTGTTCAATCTTTTGATATTTTAGTTTTTCAATATTTCTTAGTCTTTCGATTTTTCGACTTCCTGGTTTTAGATGTTCTGTTTTTAAATTTTTCGATGTGTTAATTTTTCATTCCCGATTTATCGAGATTTGATTGTTCAGGTTTTCGATTTATCAGCTTTTCAATTTTTCATTTGGGCCTATTTCGGTTTCTCATTTTTTCCAGTTTTCCATTTTTTCGTTTTTTTTTTATTTTTCCGCTTTTCCAATTTTTCAACTTTTAAGCTTTTGTTTGTCGATTTCTCTATTTTTCAATTTTTCGGCTTCATCACTTTTCGATTTCTCGTTCTTTTGATCATTCAATCTCTCAATGTTTCAATTTTTCGAATTTTAAGTTTTTTGATTTCTCGATTTATCGAAATTTGGATTTTCCGATATTTTGATTGTCGATTTATAAATTGTTCAATTTTTAACTTTTCGATTTTGGCCTATTTCGGTTTCTCAATTCTTCGACTTTTCGACTCCATGATTTCTTGATCTTATGGTTTTTCGATTTTCCAGTTTTTCGATGTTTCGATTTTTCAGTTATCCGACTTTTTAAAATTGGGAGTTTCGATTTCTCAATTTTTCGTTATTCGATTTTTAAATTTTAGATTTTTGAATTTTACATTTTTTCGATTTTCTGATGTTTCATTTTTCGATTTTCAGTTCTTCGATATTTCGATTTTTCAATGTTTCGGTTTTACGATTTTTTAAGCTTTCGATTTCTCGATTATTAGATTTCTCGATTTTTCAAATTTTCGATTATTTTAATTTTTCATTTTTTTTCTCACTGTTAATATCATACAGTGTATCGGTAACAACCACAAAAATTGTCACTAAAAACATTTAAAAATACATACAAAATAGAACACAGTGTTTCCAAAATATTTTCCCGAAAAAAATCCATTGGGTTATTACGATTTCAACAATATTCTTAGTTTAAGACGTTTTGCTAGTATAAAACACAAATAAAGAATTAATTCTTAGTTAAACAAAATATGTAAAATCATCTAAATATGTACCAAAAATATTCACCTAGTCGTTATAAAAACCGACTAAACAACTATTTCCCGCAGAAATTATAGTCCAAACCAACCAAATCGCTTCTGAATGCTTAGAGTCGACATTGGCCTGAGCGCGCTCTGGTCTGTAGATCAAACAAGTTCTCAGGCGACAAGTTGTAGTGAAACAAGTTTTTTTATTGGCATCGACTATTTAAATTTGGCGCTTGCCTTTGTCGGTTGAGGACTCCAATGTCAATAAGGGTGGTTTTCCAAAATCAGACTGAATGTCGCATCTATATTAATCTATGATCCGAATTTTGTACGTTGTCACTAAGTTCCTTGCCATAAATTAGAAAAATCTGCCGAGAACGCTAACACATACTTAATAGTAGGCCAGGCAAAAAGGGTTTTATTGAACTAACCACCCAAATTATGTCGAATTCATACCCATTTTTTCGGTATTTTTGTTAAATTTTGTTAAAAATTCTGCTAAGCAATATATCATTAATTTTCCACTGATACTCCTGTTAAAATTATGCGACGTATTTTGCATTAATTTGTGGTATATTTATTATTATTTAAATAAATTGCACCACTACCAAACATTTAATACCTTAGCGGTCTGTAAAAAACGTTGCTTAGTCACTGTGAGAAGTTTCAAGCAAATTTATTAAATTATATGCTATAAACTTTCGCTTTATTAAAGTTATATACACAGCTTAATGCTACTACAACCAAATTATACAAAAATAAATCCTACACATGTATTTTTGTGTCTAGACAAAGCCAGTCACTCTTTAACTTTGTAAGAACATTGTTCGCATTTGTACCAGTTAACGACAAGCTATTTATATGACGCTTTATTAAGTGCGTTTCGCCTTATGTGAACTTTTACATGCTGTTTCAGTTTATCTTTTCTTTTACTTTTATATAAACAGCTCGTACATTCGTACCACTTAACTTCTTCTTTGTCTACATGTTTCACACTCAGGTGTCTGTTTAAAGATACTTTATACTTAGATTTAAATGGACACTGCTTGCATTCGTACCATTTAACGTCTTCTACCGGCGAGTGTACATTAATAATATGGTTTTTTAAATTCCTTTGTATTCTAGTTTTAAAAGGACATTTTTCGCATTGGTACCGCTTACAATCGGCATAGTGGTTGTATAAATCCTGCTTTAAATGACCTTCTAACTTAACCTTACATGGACATGATTCACACTGAAGTGATTTGATATCTGGATGTCGACCACTTATATGCAGTCTCAAATTATATTTCCTTTTACTTTTAAACGAACAGTTCACACATTCGTACCACTTAACTTCTTCTTCACTCAAATGTTGAGCAATCATGTGATATTTTAAAGACGTGCGATATTTAGTTTTGAACGGACACTTTTCACATTCTTGCCACTTCATTTTTTCTTCCTCTACATGTTTCGCATTGAAGTGGTTGCTTAAAGATTCCTTATACTTAGATTTGAATGGACATTCCTTGCATTTGTGCCATTTAATTTTTTCTTTGTCTACATGTTTCAAACTGAAGTGGTTCTTTAGAGAATCCTCATACTTAGATTTGAATGGACACTCCTTGCATTCGTGCCATTTAACGTCTTCTGCCCGCGAGTGTACGTAGTATGTGTGTTTTTTTAAACAACTTTTGAATTTAGTTTTGTAATTACATTTTTCGCACTTGAGCCATTCAATATTTTCTTCGTACGTGACATTCTGGAGCAGAGAACTCAGACTTTCACGATTTGCTTTCCTTTCCGTGCATATGGAAGTATGTTGACGCCACTTTAACACGAAATTTGTTTCGAAGGCGCATTTTTCGCAAACGTAGTTTTTTATGGTGAAGTCCTCACTTGATAAATCCTCTCTAAATTCACTCTTAAGGCCATGATGTTTGTTAATGTGTTGTTTGAACAGAATCGTTAGATCCGTTTTAAAATCGCAGTCTTTACAATAATACGCTTCGATTTTGGCTTCGGAGCATGTAAATTTTTCCAGAGATGAGCGATGTCGCCTCACGTGACTCACCATACACAAAATCGATGTTGTAAAATAGGGGCACAGTTTACAGTTGTGGACATTTTTCCACGAAGATCTTCCCTGTGCAAAGAGTGCTTTCGAATATTCCAAAGTCGACATTGTGGTCACCTAAAATCGTTTTATTACGCTACGGAAGCAGTTGCAATTTTAGTTACGTTATATTTTGCTGAAAGTGCTGTTGATGAAAATTGTGATATTTGACACTATTATGTTCACATTCCAAAACGCCAGAATTCTAACCTAAGATTTTATGTCACAACCAAAGATATTGAATATAAGTACAGATAGAGCATGCCGTACACCTTCCTTCGAATGGAATTGAAAATAGGCGAGATCGTTAATCGCCATTACCCCACGTGTTGATTACAATATTTTTTCGACGATCCATAATTTTTAACATTGTTATGCAACCAACAATACTTTGACACTTCTGTCGATTTTATTTTATTTAAATTTGTTTCACAATACATTTTCGATTTAAAAAGCACTCTGTTGATTCAACTTTTAAATATCGCATTAATTTTAAAAAACTTTAAAATTGAAATAACAAACTTTATTAGATTGGTATGCAACCAACAATACATCGACAATTCTTTCGACTTTACTTTAATCGTTGATTAATGAGACTCATTATTTATCAATTGTGAACACCAAATTTTTTTGTAATTTTTGCATTAATAAATGATCGTCGGAAAAATCTATTATCTAACAGCTTTAATTAACAAAAATTTCACCAAACATCCGCTTCGAACTTTTTCATTCCCTAAAAAATTCCCCCAACGTCCTCAAATTCCCCCAAATTTAAACAGTCGATGCCAATGAAAAAACTTGTTTCACTACAACTTGTCGCCTCAGTACTTGTTTGATCTACAGACCAGAGCGCGCTCAGGCCAATGTCGACTCTAATAAGCGTTCAGAAGCGATTTGGTTGGTTTGGACTATAATTTCTGCGGGAAATAATTGTTTAGTCGGTTTTTATAACGACTAGGTGAATACTTTTGGCACATATTTAGATGATTTTACATATTTTGTTTAACTAAGAATTAATTCTTTATTTGTGTTTTATACTCGCAAAACGTCTTAAACTAAGAATATTGTTGAAATCGTAATAACCCAATGGATTTTTTTCGGGAAAATGTCTTGGAAACACTGTGTTCCATTTTGTATGAATTTTTAAATGTTTTTAGTGACAATTTTTGTGGTTGTTACCAATACACTGTATGATACTAACAGTGAGAAAAAAAAAATGAAAAATTAAAATAATCGAAAATTTGAAAAATCGAGAAATCAATAATCGAAAAATCGAAACCTTAAAAAATCGTAAAACCGAAACATTGAAAAATCGAAATATCAAAGGACTGAAAATCGAAAAATGAAATATCAGAAAATCGAAAAAATGTAAAATTCAAAAATCTAAAATTTAAAAATCGAATAACGAAAAATTGAGAAATCGAAACTCCCAAATTTAAAAAGTCGGATAACTGAAAAATCGAAACATCGAAAAACTGGAAAATCGAAAAACCGAGAAATCGAAAAATCAAAAGATCAAGAAATCGTGAACAATTTATAAATTGACAATCAAAATATCGGAAAATCCAAATTTCGATAAATCGAGAAATCAAAAAACTTAAAATTCGAAAAATTGAAAAATTGAGAGATTGAATGATCAAAAGAACGAGAAATCGAAAAGTGATGAAGTCGAAAAATTGAAAAATAGAGAAATCGACAAACAAAAAGTTAAAAGTTGAAAAACTGGAAAAGCGGAAAAATAAAAAAAAACGAATAAATGGAAAACTGGAAAAAATGAGAAACCGAAATAGACCAAAATAAAAAATTGAAAAACTGATAAATCGAAAACCTGAACAATCAAATCTCGATAAATCGGGAATGAAAAATTAACAAATCGAAAAATTGAAGAACAGAACATCTAAAACCAGGAAGTCGAAAAATCGAAAGACTCAGAAATATTGAAAAACTAAAATATCAAAAGATCGAACAATCTAAAATTTAAAAATCCAAAAATTGAAAAATCGAAAAAGTAAAACACATCGAAAAATCCAGAAGTCAAAAATAGAAAAGTCGAAGAATTGAAATATTGAAAAATCCTAAAACTGAAATATCTAAAAACTGAAAAATCGAAAAATCAAAAAAGTGAAGTCGAAAAATAGAAACTTTAAAAATCGAAAAATTGAAAAATCAAAAACCTAAAAAATCAAAAAATTAAAGAATTGAACAACAGAAAAATCGAAACACTCGAAGGTCAAGAAATCGGAAAATCAAAACATCGATTAATTGAAAAATCTAAAAATTGAGAGTTTATAAAAGTCAAATTTGAAAAATTAAAAAATCGAAAATTTGACAAAATGACAATTGAAAAACAGAAAATCTAAAACCGGGTAGTCGAAAAATCAAAAGATTAAGAAATCGAAACATTTGAAAAATTCGAAAACTTGAAAAATTGAAATATCGAAGAACTGAAATGAAAAATCGAGAAATCGAAAAATCTAAAACTTTAAAAATTAAAAAATCGAAAAATTGAAAAATCGAAAAAGTAAAAAAATCGACACATCGAAAAATCCAGGAGTCAAAACTCGAAAAGTCGAAGAATCAAAATATTGAAAAATCCCAAAACTGAGATCGAAAAACTGAAAAATGGGAAAACCTGAAAAATCCGAAAACTGAAATATCTAAAAACTGAGAACTTAAAAAGTCAAAAAATTGAGCAATCGAAAAATTCATAAAGTGAAGTCGAAACCTTAAAAAATCGAAAAATTGAAAGATCAAACACCTGAAAAATCAAAAAATTAAAGAATTGAAGAACAGGAAAATCGGAACACTCGAATGTCAAGAAATGGGAAAATCAAAACTTCGATTAATTGAAAAATCTAAAAATTGAGAGTTTATAAAAGTCAAATTTGAAAAATTAAAAAATCGAAAATTTGACAAAATGACAATTGAAAAACAGAAAATCTAAAACCGGGTAGTCGAAAAATCAAAAGATTAAGAAATGGAAACATTGGAAACATTCGAAAACTTGAGAAATTGAAATATCGCAGAACTGAAATGAAAAATCGAGAAATCGAAAAATCTAAAACTTTAAAAATTAAAAAATCTAAAATTTAAAAATCGAAAATTTGAAAAATCGAAAAGTTGAAGAATCAAAAATTGAAAAATCCCAAAACTGAGATATCGGAAAACTGAAAAATGGAAGAAAAACTGAAAAATGGGAAAACCAGAAAAATCCGAAAACTGAAATATCCAAAAACTGAGAACCTAAAAAGTCAAAAAATTGAGCAATCGAAAAATCCATAAAGTGAAGTCGAAAAATCGAAACCTTAAAAAAACTAAAAAATGAAAGCTCAAAAACCTGAAAAATCGAAAAATTAAAGAATTGAACAGGAATATCGAAATCCTCGAAAGTCAAGAAATGGGAAAATCAAAACATCGATTAATTGAAAAATCGAAAAATTAACAGTTTATAAATGTCAAATTTGAAAAACTGAAAAATCGAAAATTTGACAAAATGACATGTGAAAAACAGAAAATCTAAAACCGAGAAATCGAAAAATCAAAAGATTAAGAAATCGAAACATTTGAAAAATTCGAAAAGTTGCAAAATTGAAATATCGCAGAACTGAAATGAAAAATCGAGAAATCGAAAAATCTAAAATTTTAAAAATTAAAAAATCTAAAATTTAAAAATCGAAAAAGTAAAAAAGTCGACACATCGGAAAATCCAGGAGGCAAAAATCGAAAAGTCGAAGAATCAAAATATTGAAAAATCCCAAAACTGAGATATCGACAAACTGAAAAATGAAAGAAAAACTGGAAAATGGGAAAACCTGAAAAATCCGAAAACTGAAATATCCAAAAACTGAGAACCTAAAAAGTCAAAAAATTGAGCAATCGAAAAATTCATAAAGTGAAGTCGAAAAATCGAAACCTTAAAAAAACTAAAAAATGAAAAATAAAAAATCGAAAAATTAAAGAATTGAACAGGAATATCGAAACCCTCGAAAGTCAAGAAATGGGATAATCAAAACATCGATTAATTGAAAAATCGAAAAATTAACAATTTATAAATGTCAAATTTGAAAAATTGAAAAATCGAAAATTTGAAAAAACGACAATTGAAAAACAGAAAATCTAAAACCGGAAAATCGAAAAATCGAAAGATTAAAAAATCGAAACATTTGAAAAATTGAAATATGGAAGAGCTAAAATGAAAAATCGAGAAATAGAAAAATCTAAAATTTTAAATATTGAAAAATTAAAATACAAAAAAATTGAGAAATCTAAAATTTAAAAATCGAAAAAGTAAAAAGTCGACACATCGAAAAATCCAGAAGTCAAAAATGGAAAAGTCTAAGAACAGAAATATTGAAAAATCCCAAAATTGAAATATCGAAAAACTGAAAAATGAAAGAAAAACTGACGAATCTAAAAACTGAAAAATCCCAAAACTGAAGTATCCAAAAACTGAGAATCTAAAGAATCGAAAAATTGAAAAATCAAAAATCTGCAAAATCGTAAGATCGAAAAATTGAATAATAAGTATTGACAGAAATATCTCGTCAAGTAAGTTGATTATTATTGTTTTCAAATTTCCAAAATTGTTTGTTTAGGTACGCAGTTGTTCATTTTCCTTACAACACAATCTGACAGGAGGGATGATAACCTTAGAAGCTTCACATTGTGAGTTACATATCTTTCTCTTATTATTATTGTATCTAATATTTGTATTTCTTGATTTGTTTATTTTATATGTATTTAGATGTATGATAATAAATAGTTTACATTACATTCTGTATACTTTTTGTAATTTCATATGAGAATTTACATTAAAATAAAATGAATATATCGCAAATTATATTAATAACCCGCAAAAGTAGCTGGTTGCCTATACAGAAGCACGTGATCCGCCTATTCAAATTTACGCGCGTATAGTATAGTTGGCCAGCTGCACACCGAGGGCGCAAATTTGTTTCCATCGTTAACAACGTAGAACGTAGGTTTCATTTCTTATATTGAAGTTCTGTGGTTACAACACTGGTGTTTTGGAATGTGCCCTTAAAACGACATTGTCAATCAACACCACTTTTAACAAAATATAAGGTAACTAACATTGCAATTGCTTCCGTAGTATAATAACTAATAAAACGATTTTAGGTGGCCACAATGTCGACTTTGGAATATTCGAAAGCACTCGTTGCACGGGGAAGATCTTCGTGGAAAAACGTCCACAACTGTAAACTGTGCCCCTATTTTACGACATCAATTTTGTGTATGGTGAACCACGTGCGGCGACATCGCTCATCTCTGGAAAAATTTACATGCTCTGAAGCCAAAGTTGAAGCGTATTATTGTAAAGACTGCGATTTTAAAACGGATCTAACGATTCTGTTCAAACAACACATTAACAAACATCAGGACCTTAAGACTGAATCTAAAGAAGTTTTGTCAATCGAGGACTTCAGCATACAAAACTACGTTTGCGAAAAATGCGCCTTCGAAACAAATTCCTTGATAAATTTTCTTCAGCATAGTCCAGAATGCACGGAAAGGAAAGAAAATCGTCAAAATCTGAGTTCTGCGAGCCACAACGTCACGTACGAAGTAAATGCTGAATGGCACAAGTGCAAAAAATGTGCTTTCAAAACTAAATTGAAAAGAAGTTTGAAAAACCACATGAATAACGTACACTCGCGGGCAGAAGAAGTTAAATGGCACGAATGCAAGCAGTGTCCATTCAAATCTAAGTATAAGGAATCTTTAAACAGCCACTTCAATGCGAAACATGTAGAGGGAGAAAAAATTAAGTGGCACGAATGCGAAAAGTGTCCGTTCAAAACTAAACATCGCTCGGCGCTAAGAACTCACGTGATTTGTCAACATTTGAGTGAAGAAGAAGTTAAGTGGTACGAATGTGCGAACTGTTCGTTTAGAACTAAAATAAATCATCGTTTAAAACTGCATATAAGAGTTCGCCATTCAGATATCAAATCATTCCAGTGCGAATATTGCCCATGGAAGGCTAAGTCAAAGCGTTATTTAAAGGAGCATCTATACAACCACCACTCGGATTGTAAGCTGTACAAATCTGAACAGGATGCCGAATGGCACGAGTGCGAAAAATGTCCTTTCAAAACCAGATCAAAACAAAATTTAAAAGAGCACATGGGTTACATACACACGCGGGCAGAAGATGTTAAATGGTACGAATGCACGGAGTGTCCATTCAAATCGAAATATAAGAAATCTTTAAAGCTCCACTTGAATGCGAAACATGAAGGAGAAGGAAAAATTAAGTGGTACGAATGCGAAAAGTGCCCATTCAAAACTAAACATCCCACGGGTTTAAAAAAGCACGTGATTTGTCAACATTTAGGTGAAGAAGAAGTTAAGTGGTACGAATGTTCGAACTGTTTGTATAAAAGTAAAAGAAAAGATACTTTGAAATTGCATGTAAGTGCTCGCCATTCAGATATCAAATCAATTCAGTGCGGATATTGTCCATATAAGGCTAAGTTTAAACGTAATTTAAATATGCATATGTACAACCACCATTCCGATTGTATACGGTACAAATGTGAATAGGATGCTGAATGGCACAAGTGCGAAAAATGCCCGTTCAAAAATACATACATAAAAACACATGTGTAGGATTTATTTTTGTATAATTTGGGTGTAGTGGCATTAAGCTGTGTATATAACTTTAATAAAGTGAAAATTTATGGTGGTCGACTTTCTACGTCAATTGTTATGTCGATGGTTTATTGAATTTTTGAGGTTATGTGTATCAATTGTCAATTTAAGGAGGAGATGTTTGTTGGTCACACCACAGTATACTATACAGTAGAGACAGCTTGTCAAATATTAGAACAACGTGTCCTTACCCAACCGTTTTTATTAGGCGAGATTTTTGAAACGAAGTGGAATATTGATTGCCTAAATTACAAATACAACTCGTCCGTAAAACAATGTAAAAGGAGCTGATATAAACATCGGAAGAATATTAAGAAACTGAAACTAATTTTTGGAGTGTGGTATGAAGACTACGAAGAAAATACCATTTTGAACAATAAAAAAGAATTGTGTTTATATTTATTTTATTCATCAATTAAAGTCACTTTACCGAGTTAATTTCAACATAAACGTATCAACTACCTATTTTGTCAACGCCTTCAATTTTCGCCAAGTGTGAACCGTTTGAAGAGTCAGAAAGTGAACGGTGTTGTTTTTATTTTCCCTAGGAAAAGTACTTTGATGTTTTTGGTTGAATTTTTGTTGTTAGTTAAATTAGTGAAGTGATTCTGAGAACCTTTTCATAGTAACATGGACTACAGTGGTAGACCACCTCGTGATTGCAGGCACAATGAAAAAACCTGCTTCAGGGGCTTCTTTAAATTTTCCTTGGAATCTGCAAGATAAGAAATATAAAGAAGTATATTATTCTATAATCAATACAAAATTATTTGGTATGCAATTTTTACAGCACAGTGAAAATACCAATAGTTGTAATGATTTAGGATCTATTTTACTAGCAATTGAATCTAAAGAAAGTAACCAGTGTCAAATTATTAATACAGTTTTAAGCTGAACAACTTTTGCACATAAATCTGTCGAAGTAAATATGACAGACTACAGACATCTGGACATGGCGGAACAAAATTCTTTAAGTTATGTCTGTGGATACTTAATGGAGAAATGCTTGATGAAATATACCTGTGAAACATGTAGTTATTTTGCCGTTGCACGTAATGTCATCATATATGATAAACTTCTCTGTCACTTCAACGCCTTTGATGATGATCCACCATTTGGTAATCCTAAAGCTGGCCATTCACGTTCCAACGCTGCAGTACAATTGTATTCGATGCAACTGTTGTACAATTCTGTTAAAAAGCAGCAATACACACACACGTTACGACCTTGCAGTTAAAAATTTGCGATCGTGATGACAACATGTCCGACGAAATGACGAAAATGTACTTTTATAGCTGCTCTCACGGTTTGAATAACATACACTGTCGAGTCATGTCCACACATGATCAAATTTCCATCCAATACAACACGATTGTACTGCTGCAGACAGACTTGTTCACCGACCGTCCACATCCAACCGATTTGCTTGATCGCATACACAGACGTTCAAAAACACTTCTATTTCGTCGTATCCAACACAATTCTACTGCGGCGTTGGAACGTGAGTGGCGGGCTGAAGATGCTACATGAAGCATTCACCTTTTATGTTGCAGCCCTAGAAAAACGATTTGCTTCACTATTTTCCACCAACTCAATTTTACCTTCATGTGGCCTATATATAAAAACAGCCCTCGTAACTGTGTCCATACTAGCATACCACACCCCTGTGCCCTGTGTACAGTTTCCACAAGATTATTTATTCTTTTTATTTGTTCGAACGCGCATTTTCTATTCAGTAAAAATAATAAATCACAGTTGCAATATTAAATACCAAACATCTATTAAAATGTCAAATTTGACGCACAATGTTGACATGGTGGTAAATTTTATTTAGTAACAAGGTTTGCCACTACAGTTTCAAGCCAAAATTCAAGGTCATGTCCTTACCCAACGGTGGATTATTGTTGTTCTAGTCCGTTACGTGTATTTCTTATGGGCCTTTCAAAAGCTGTCCTTACTGTATGATATTCTGTGGTCACACTTTGGTAGCATCTTTGGACGTGACGTAAAAGTCTTAGGTTAGAATTCTGGGATCCTAGAATGTGTCCTTAACATAGTGTCAAATATCACAGGATAATTTCCAGCGACAACACTTTAACAAGATTTAAAGGTAACTAAAATTACAACAGCTTCCGTAGTGTAATAAAACGATTTTAGGTGACCACAATGTCGACTTTAGAATATTCGAAAGCACTCGTTGCACAGGGAAGATCATCGTGGAAAAACGTCCACATCTGTAAACTGTGCCCCTATTTTACAACATCGATTTTGATTATGGCGAACCACGTGAGACGACATCGCTCATCTCTGGAAAAATTTACATGCTCCAAAGCCAAAATCGAAGCGTATTATTGTAAAGACTGCGATTTTAAAACGGATCTAACGATTCTGTTCAAACAACACATTCACAAACATCATGGCCTTAAGAGTGAATCTAGAGAAATTTTGTCAATTGAGCACTTCAGCATACAAAACTACGTTTGCGAAAAATGCGCCTTCGAAACAAATTCCTTGATAAATTTTCTTCAACACACTTCAGAATGCACGGAAAGAAAAGAAAATCCTCAAAGTGTGAGTTCTCCGAGCCAGAATGCCACGTACGAAAAAAATGGTGAATGGCACAAGTGCGAAAAATGTCCTTTCAAAACTAAATTGAAAATATGTTTTAAAAACCACATGAAAAACATACACTTGCGGGCAGAAGACATTAAATGGCACGAATGCACGGAGTGTCCATTCAGATCCAAGTATAAGGAATCTTTAAAGAGTCACTTCAGTTTCAAACATGCAGACGAAGAAAAAATTAAATGGCACAAATGTGAAAAGTGCCCGTTCAAAACTAAATATCACTCGGCTTTAAAATACCACGTGATTAGTCAACATTTGAATGAAGAAGAAGTTACGTGGTACGAATGTCCCAACTGTTCATATAAAAGTAAATGCAAATATCGTTTGAAACATCATATAAGTGCTCGCCATTCCGATTATAACCGGTACAAATGTGAACAGGATGCTGAATGGCACAAGTGCGAAAAATGTCCTTTCAAAACTAGAATAAAAAGGAATTTAAACAAGCACATAAATCGCGTACATGCGCGGGCAGAAGACGTTAAATGGCACGAATGCACGGAGTGTCCATTCAAATCTAAGTATAAGGATTCGTTAAAGAATCACTTCAGTTTGAAACATGCAGAGGGAGAAAAAATTAAATGGCACGAATGCGAAAAGTGCCCGTTCAAAACTAAACATCGCACGACTTTAACTTATCACGTGATTAATCAACATTTGAGTGAAGAAGAAGTTAAGTGGTTCGAATGTGCCAACTGTTCGTATAAAAGTAAAAGAAAAGATCTTTTGAAACTGCATATAACTTCTCGCCATCCAGATATCAAATCACCTCAATGCGAATCATGTCCATGTAATGTTAAGGTGGAAGATCATTTAAAGCGTTTCAAATGTGAACAGGATGCTGAATGGCACAAGTGCGAAAAATGCCCTTTCAAAACTAGATTAAAAAAGAATTTAAAAAAACACATGATTAATTTACACTTGCCGGCAGAAGACGTTAAATGGCACGAATGCGAAAAGTGCCCGTACAAAAGTAAATACCGCTCGACTTTAAGATATCACGTGCTTTGTCAACATGTGGATGAAGAAAAAGTGAAGTGGTACGAATGTGCGAGCTGTTCGTATAAAACTAAAAGAAAATATAATTTGAAAGAGCATGTAAGTGTTCGCCATTGTGAGGTCAAATCATTTGAGTGCGAACATTGCCCGTATAAGGGGAAACACCGCAGTCATTTAAAGAGTCATATAAATCGCCGCCATTTGCATGGAGCGGATGCGAAGTGGCACAACTGCGATCGATGTTCCTATAGAAGCAAAGATAAATCAGATTTGACTAAGCACAAAAAAAAAATGCATGTGTAGGATTCACAACCAACTTGTCTGGTTGACTTTCCACTTCGATTGTTATGTCGATGGTTCATTTAATTTTTAAGGTTATGTGCACCAATTGTCATTTTAACTTCCAAATAAAATATCGCAAACGATCATTTCCACAACAATTTTTTCACTAGATTTAGGTAACTAAAGCTGCAGGTGCTTTCGTCGAATTTTTGATTAATTAGGATTATCCAAAGTACAAGGTCACTTATGTCATTAGAGGAATTCGTTCACCAGATGCAATCACTCCAAATAATTGAAGTTTGACTGGTTTTTGTTTATTATTTGATAAATAACAATAAAATGTACAACGCTAAAATAAAAAATTATATAAATCCAGCTTAATACTAGCATGCCCAACTAAAATAAAAATAAAATCTACATATGTATTTTTTTGTGTTTACACAACGCTGATTGATCTTTAACTCTAAAAGAACATTGTTTGCACTTGTACCACTTGGCATCCGGTCCATCCAAATGCCGGATATTTATATGATGCTTTAAACGATAGCCGCGTTTCGCCCTATATGGACAATATTCGCACTGAAACGGCCTGATATCTAAATGGGCCTTTACATGCGCTCGCAAATAGCATTTTTTTGTACTTTTGTAAGAACACTTGGCACATTCATACTGATTAGAATCCTTTGCATCTGAATGGTGGTTGTTCATATGGCATCTTACAGAACGTTTCAGCTTAGCTTTATATGGACATAATTTGCACTGAAATGATTTGATATCTGAATGGAGGGCAGTTATGTGCACTTTTAAGTTATATTTTCTCTTACTTTTATATGAACAGCTTGCACATTCGTACCATTTAACGTCTTTGATTGCCAAATGTCGAGAAATAACATGGTTTTTTAAATTTGACACCTGTTTAGTTTTAAATGGGCAACTTTCACATTCGTGCCACTTAATTTTTTCTTGGTCTAGATGTTTTGCAGTTTGGTGGATTTTTACAGATTTCTTATACTTAGTTTTGAATGGACACTCTTTGCATTTGTACCATGTAACCTCGCCTTTTTTAAAATTACTTTTTGATCTAGTTTTAAACAAACAATTCTTGTGACATTCACTGTTTTCTTCATCTAAATGATCCGTATTTTTGTGGACTGTTAAAGGCACTTTATATTCACTTTTACGTGGACAACAATTTTTCTGGTTCGAAGAATTCAAAATGCATGCTGAAGTGTGTTGTCGCCACTTCATTAAGAAATTTGTTTCGAAGGCGCATTTTTCGCAAACGTAGTTTTGGATGCTGAAGTCCTGGATTGACAGATCCTCTCTAGATTCATTCTTAAGGCCATGATGTTTGTTAATGTGTTGTTTGAACAGAATCGTTAGATCCGTTTTAAAAGCGCAGTCTTTACAATAATACACTTCGATTTTGGCTTCGGAGCATGTAAGTTTTTCCAGAGATGAACGGTGTCGCCTCACGTGGTTCACCATACACAAAATTGATGTCGTAAAATAGGGGCACAGTTTACAGTTGTGGACGTTTTTCCATGAAGATCTTGTCCGAGTAACGAGTGCTTTCGAATATTCCAAAGTCGACATTGTGGCCACCTAAAATCGTTTTATCACGCTACGGAAGCAATTGCAATCTTAATTACCTTAAATTTTGTTAAAGTAGTGTTGCTAACCTAAGATTTTTATGTCACAATTGATGTTCCGATTTTTTTTTAAATAACAGCAAGTTGCAGTTGAAACACACCAAAATTATAGATAGGACTTGAATTTTCCCGCAAGGGAATTGAAAATTAGAATTACGTTGGTAGCGCAAGAATTTTGATGCACATAACCCCAAAAATTGATACATGAACCAATGACAGAAGGTAATGACACGTAGAAGTTGGAAGAGATTGCACCAGAGAACATAGAGAAGCGTCATAGTTTAAATTAAATGACGGTTGAGGACTCCTCGACTTATGTTGGCAACACTGTTCGTTTCTAACTAGGAATAAAATTAACTAGAAAAAATGTAATAATATTTTTAACGACGCGTTTTACTTTCAGGTCACACGAATTACAGTTCGTCGTCTGAGAACTTGTTTGATCTACAGACCAGAGCGCACTCAGGCCAATGTCGACTCTAAGCGTTCCGAAACGATTTGATTTATAAGCCACGATCCGTGACCTGATACACATCCTAACCAATAATTTCTTGCTGTTTCAACTTTCGAATTCTCAGTTTTTCGAAATTTTAGTTTGGGGACTTTTCAGAGTACTCCTATTTATTATTTAATTTTTAATTTCTCAATTTTTCAATTTCTCGGTTTTCAGTTTTCTCTTCAATTTTACGATTTTTAAACATTTCGATTTTTCAATTTTTCACTTTTATAAACTCTTTATTTGTCGATTTTTCAATTAATTGATTTTTCAGGTTTTTGGTTTTTCAATTTTTGTATTTTTTCAGGTTTCGATTTTTCAACTTCACTTTTTGATTTTTCGATTTCTCGATTTTTCAATTTTTTAATTTCTCAGTTTTTCGACATTTCAGTTTTAGGATTTTTCAGTTTACTTATTATTCAATTTTTCGATCTTACGATTTTGCAGATTTTTGATTTTTCAATTTTTCGATTCTTTAGATTCTCAGTTTTTGGATATTTCAGTTTTGGGATTTTTCAGTTTTTCGATTCGTCAGTTTTTCTTTCATTTTTCAGTTTTGGGATGTTTCAATATTTTGATTGTTCGGCTTTTCCATTTTTGACTTCTGGATTTTTCGATGTGTCGACTTTTTACTTTTTCGATTTTTAAATTTTAGATTTCTCAATTTTTTTGTATTTTAATTTTTCAATATTTAAAATTTTAGATGTTTCTATTTCTCGATTTTTCATTTTAGCTCTTCCATATTTTAATTTTTCAATGTTTCGATTTCTTAATCTTTCGATTTTTCGACTTTCCGGTTTTAGATTTTCTGTTTTTCAATTGTCGTTTTTTCAAATTTTCGATTTTTCAATTTTTCAAATTTGACATTTATAAACTGTTAATTTTTGGATTTTTCAATTAATCGATGTTTTGATTTTCCCATTTCTTGACTTTTGGGGGTTTCGATATTTCTGTTCAATTCTTTAATTTTTCGATTTTTCAGGTTTTTGATTTTTCATTTTTTAGTTTTTTTAAGGTTTCGATTTTTCGACTTCACTTTATGGATTTTTCGATTGCTCAATTTTTTGACTTTTTAGGTTCTCAGTTTTTGGATATTTCAGTTTTCGGATTTTTCAGGTTTTCCCATTTTTCACTTTTTCTTTCATTTTTCAGTTTGTAGATGTCTCAGTTTTGAGATTTTTCAATATTTCGATTCTTCGACTTTTCGATTTTTGACTCCTGGATTTTTCGATGTGTCGATTTTTTTACTTTTTCGATTTTTAAATTTTAGATTTTTTAATTTTTAAAATTTTAGATTTTTCGATTTCTCGATTTTTCATTTCAGTTCTTCGATATTTCAATTTTTCAAGTTTTCGAAATTTTCAAATGTTTCGATTTCTTAATCTTTTAATTTTTCGAATTCGCGGTTTTAGATTTTCTGTTTTTCACATGTCATTTTGTCAAATTTTCGATTTTTTAATTTTTCAAGATTCACTTTTATAAACTCTCAATTTTTAGATTTTTCAATCAATCGATGTTTTGATTTTCCCATTTCGAGTGTTTCGATTTTTCTGTTCTTCAATTCTTTAATTTTTTGATTTTTCAATTTTTCGATTTTTTAAGGTTTCTATTTTTCGACTTCACTTTTTTGATTTTTCGATTTTTCAGTTTTTAGATATTTCAGTTTTAGGATTTTTCAATATTTCAATTCTTCGGTTTTTCTATTTTTGGCTTCTGGATTTTTCGATGTGTTTTACTTTTTCGATTTTTCAATTTTTGGATTTTTAAATTTTAGATTGTTCAATCTTTTGATATTTTAGTTTTTCAATATTTCTTAGTCTTTCGATTTTTCGACTAGATTATTTTAGATGTTCTGTTTTTCAATTTTTCAATTTGTTAATTTTTCATTCCCGATTTATCGAGATTTGATTGTTCAGGTTTTCGATTTATAAGTTTTTCAATTTCTTATTTTGGCCTATTTCGGTTTCTCATTTTTTCCAGTTTTCCATTTTTTCGTTTTTTTATTTTTCCGCTTTTCCAATTTTTCAACTTTTAACTTTTTGTTTGTCGATTTCTCTATTTTTCAATTTTTCGATTTCATCACTTTTCGATTTCTTGTTCTTGTGATCATTCAATCTCTCAATTTTTCAATTTTTCGAATTTTAAGTTTTTTGATTTCTCGATTTATCGACATTTGGATTTTCCGATATTTTGATTGTCAATTTATAAATTGTTCAATTTTTAACTTTTCGATTTTTCGATTTTGGCCTATTTCGGTTTCTCAATTCTTCGACTTTTCGACTCCATGATTTATTGATCTTTTGATTTTTCGATTTCTCGGTTTTTCGATTTTCCAGTTCTTCGATATTTCGATTTTTCAATGTTTCGGTTTTACGATTTTTTAAGGTTTCGATTTTCGACCCAACTAGCACAACATAACCTCAATCTGTAATAAACAGCACGAGGTCCCTGCGTAAGACAAAATTGACTCCGTCAAGGCTAGGAAGTGGGGTATCACGTTTATCGTCGCAGATCCTAAAAAAAAATCGATTCAGCAGATCGTTCACAATTTACTAATCAACTTTTAAAATTCGGACCGCAGTGAATCTATTACAATTCTCTAGTGTCTAGTGACTATAGTGTCATTGGTTGTATCAATTTTTGAGGTTATGTGCATCCAAATTCTTGGCGGCCAAAATCATAAACTAACCACGTTAACCACAAGTTAATTTATGCTCATAACAGAACATAATTCTAATTTTTCAATAACCCTACGGGAAAATTCAAGTCCTAATAATAATTTCTGGTGTGTTTCAACTGGAATTTGCTGCTATTTAAGAAAAAAAATCGGGTGTGACCACCATAAAAATCTTAGGTTAGAACTCTGGCGCTTTGGAAACTGCCTTTAACATAGTGTCAAATAAGATTTGAGGTAAAACTAACATTGTAGTGGCTTCTGTAGTATAATAAAACAATTTTAGGTGGCCACAATGTCGACTATCGAATATTCAAAAGCACTCGTTGCACGGGGAAGATCTTCCTGGAAAAACGTCCACAACTGTAAACTGTGCCCCTATTTTACGACATCGATTTTGTGTATGGTGAACCACGTGAGGCGACATCGCTCATCTCTGGAAAGATTTACCTGCTCCGAAGCCAAACTCGAAGTGTATTATTGCAAAGACTGCGATTTTAAAACCGATCTAACGATTCTGTTTAAACAACACATTAACAAACATCACGGCCTTAAGAGTGAATCTAGAGAAGTTTTGTCAATCAAGGACTTCACCATAAAAAACTACGTTTGCGAAAAATGCGCCTTCGAAACAAATTCCTTGATAAATTTTCTTCAACACACTTCAGAATGCACGGAAAGAAAAGAAAATCCTCAAAGTCAGAGTTCTCCGAGCCAGAATGCCACGTACGAAAAAAATGGTGAATGGCACAAGTGCGAAAAATGTCCTTTCAAAACGAAATTGAAAATATGTTTTAAAATCCACATGAAAAACATACACGCGCGGGCAGAAGACGTTAAATGGCACGAATGCACGGAGTGTCCATTCAGATCTAAGTATAAGGGATCTTTAAAGAGTCACTTCAGTTTCAAACATGCAGACGAAGAAAAAATTAAATGGCACGAATGCGAAAAGTGCCCGTTCAAAACTAAATATCACTCGGCTTTAAAATACCACGTGACTAGTCAACATTTGAATGAAGAAGAAGTTACGTGGTATGAATATCCCAACTGTTCGTATAAAAGTAAATGCAAATATCTTTTGAAACATCATATAAGTGCTCGCCATTCCGATTATAACCGGTACAAATGTGAACAGGATGCTGAATGGCACAAGTGCGAAAAATGTCCTTTCAAAACCAGAATAAAAAGGAATTTAAACAAGCACATAAATCGCGTACACGCGCGGGCAGAAGACGTTAAATGGCACGAATGCACGGAGTGTCCATTCAAATCTAAGTATAAGGAATCTTTAAAGAATCACTTCAGTTTGAAACATGTAGAGGAAGAAAAAATTAAGTGGCACGAATGCGAAAAGTGCCCGTTCAAAACTAAACATCGCTCGACTTTAACTTATCACGTGATTAATCAACATTTGAGTGAAGAAGAAGTTAAGTGGTTCGAATGTGCCAACTGTTCGTATAAAAGTAAAAGAAAAGATCTTTTGAAACAGCATATAACTGCTCGCCATCCAGATATCAAATCACCTCAATGCGAATCATGTCCATGTAATGTTAAGGTGGAAGATCATTTAAAGCGTTTCAAATGTGAACAGGCTGCTGAATGGCACAAGTGCGAAAAATGCCCTTTCAAAACTAGATTAAAAAGGAATTTAAAAAAACACATGATTAATTTACACTTGCCGGCAGAAGACGTTAAATGGCACGAATGCGAAAAGTGCCCGTACAAAAGTAAATACCGCTCGACTTTAAGATATCACGTGCTTTGTAAACATGTAGACGAAGAAAAAGTGAAGTGGTACGAATGTGCGAGCTGTTCGTATAAAGCTAAAAGAAAATATAATTTGAAAGAGCATATAAGTGTTCACCATTCAGAGATCAAATCATTTCAGTGCGAATATTGCCCATATAAGGCGAAATGCAGTAGATATTTAACGATTCATAAAAATAGCCGCCATTTGGATGGAGCGGATGCAAAGTGGCACAACTGCGATCGATGTTCCTATAGAAGCAAATATAAATCACATTTGACTAGGCACAAAAAAAAAATGCATGTGTAGGATTCTACCATGGGATTCACAACCAACCTGTCTGGTTGACTTTCCACCTCGATTGTTATGTCGATGGTTCATTTTATTTTTAAGGTTATGTGCACCAATTGTCAATTTAACTTCCAAATAAAATATCGCAAACGATCATTTCCACAACAATTTTTTCACTATAGTCTTTGCCATTTCTATTGAAACACCACTTGTTAATCGTAAATTTGGCAACGTTCATATTCAGAAAATTTTCTAACTAAAAGCCGTTGTCAATCAACCGAAAGCTGTCACCAATTGCTAAATTTTAAGCAAAATCAACAGGTGGTGTTTCAATAGAAATGGCAAAGACAATAGATTTAGGTAACTAAAGCTGCAGGTGCTTCCGTCGAATTTTTGATTAATTAGGATCACAAACTATCTACTCTATATAGTAGGTGGTTTGTGATTAGGATTAGTTTTGGGCGATTACGAATGATATAATCGAGATATCTCGATTATACCCGAATAATCGATCATTCGATTATCGTTTAGAAATCATTCGTTTATTTGATTATTCGTTTCGTTTTTCGTTTCGATTGCGCACGAGTACACGAACCGATTACGATTCGAGATTTCGAAATAATTCATTCGGATTCAGGCAACTAAGCATGGAAAACACAAACCATTTACTAGAGTAGATAGTTTGTGGTGGAAAATAATCGAAATCATTAGGTAAATTTAATTTGTTAGGTTGGTGGTAGTGTGTTACAAGTGTGACTGATTATAACTAACTGCATAATATAATAATTTACAAACATATTGGGCCGTATGATTTCCCTTTTGTTAAGCCAATCGGTTTCTAAAATTTTGATTACAATGAGTGAGAAAAGAATTAGGATAAAAGTATATATCAAAGAGAGAAAAAAAAAAACGAACGTCTCTAAATATTAATTAAGGGAAAAGACTACGGACCACTGACAATGAAACTATTTTCAATCAATAAATAAATCGTAATTGAATGTTCGATTTAGATTTCGTCAAGCCACGCATGCGCACTGGACAATAATCGAATTTTCGAGTGATTATTCGATTATTTTAAACGATTATTTCGATTCATTCGATTAGTGAAATATGTCGATTATGCCCAACACTAATTAGGATTGTCCAAGTACAAGGTCACTTATGTCATTAGAGAAATTCGTTCACCAGATGCAATCACTCCAAATAATTGAAATTTTTCGCCAGATATACATACCCCCTCTAAAGCAACTTTGGACCCATTTTCCCATATCTAGATAAATTTAGAACTTCATTAATATTGTTTCCAAATTTTGCGAACCTGTTTATCATCAAATTTAGACTTGAAATTTTACAAAAGCAGTTTTTGTTTATTACTTGATAAATAACAATAAAATGTACAACGCTAAAATAAAAAAATTTATACATCCAGCTTAATACTAGTATGCCCAACTAAAATTAAATTAAAACCTATATATGTATTTTTTTGTGCTTACACAACGCCGATTGATCTTTAACTCTAAAAGAACATTGTTTGCACTTGTACCACTTGGCATCCGGTCCATCCAAATGCCGGATATTTATATGATGCTTTAAGCGATAGCCGCGTTTCGCCTTATATGGACAATATTCGCACTGAAACGGCCTGATATCTAAATGGGCCTTTACATGCGCTCGTAAATAGCATTTTTTTGTACTTTTATAAGAACACTTGGCACATTCATACTGATTAGAATCCTCTCTATCTGAATGGTGGTTGTTCATATGGCACCTTACAGAACGTTTCAGCTTAGCTTTATATGGACATAGTTTGCACTGAAATGATTTGATATCTGAATGGAGGGCAGTTATGTGCACCTTTAAGTTATATTTTCTCTTACTTTTATATGAGCAGCTTGCACACTCGTACCATTTAACATCTTTGACTGCCAAATGTCGAGAAATCACATGGTTTTTTAAATTTGACACCTGTTTAGTTTTAAATGGGCAACTTTCACATTCGTGCCACTTAATTTTTTCTTGGTCTAGATGTTTTGCAGTTTGGTGGATCTTTACAGATTTCTTATGCTTAGTTTTGAATGGACACTCTTTGCATTTGTACCATGTAACCTCGCTTTTTTTTAAATTACTTTTTGATCTAGTTTTAAATAGACAATTCTTGTGACATTCACTGTTTTCTTCATCTAAATGGTCCGTATTTTTCTGGACTGTTGAAGGCACTTTATATTCACTTTTACGTGGACAACAATTTTTCTGGTTTGAAGAATTCAAAATGCATGCTGAAGTGTGTTGTCGCAACTTCATTAAGAAATTTGTTTCGAAGGCGCATTTTTCGCAAACGTAGTTTTGGATGCTGAAGTCCTGGATTGACAGATCCTCTCTAGATTCATTCTTAAGGCCATGATGTTTGTTAATGTGTTGTTTGAACAGAATCGTTAGATCCGTTTTAAAATCGCAATTTTTACAATAATACGCTTCGATTTTGGCTTCAGAGCATGTAAATTTTTCCAGAGATGAGCGATGTCGCCTCACGTGGTTCACCATACACAAAATTGATGTCGTAAAATAGGGGCACAGTTTACAGTTGTGGACGTTTTTCCATGAAGATCTTGTCCGAGTAACGAGTGCTTTCGAATATTCCAAAGTCGACATTGTGGCCACCTAAAATAGTTTTATCATGCTACGGACGCAATTGCAATCTTAATTACCTTAAATTTTGTTAAAGTAGAATTGCTAACCTAAGATTTTTATGTCACAATTGATGTTCCGATTTTTTTTTAAATAACAACAAGCTGCAGTTGAAACACACCAAAATTATAGATAGGACTTGAATTTTCCCGCAAGTTAATTGAAAATTAGAATTACGTTATGAGCGCAAGAATTTTGATGCACATAACCCCAAAAATTGATACATGAACCAATGACAGAAGGTAATGACACGTAGAGAACATAGAGAAGCGTCATAGTTTAAATTAAATGACGGTGTGGACTCCTCGGCTTATGTTGGCAACAGTGTTCGTTTCTAACTAGGAATAAAATTAACGAGAAAAAATGTAATAATATTTTAACGACGCATTTTAGTTTCGACAAATTGACACTAGATTTACCAGAATATTACAAGCTGCTTACTGTTTCCGTCACTCTAATTCAGGTCACACGAATTACAGTTCGTCGTCTGAGAACTTGTTTGATACTAAAGACCAGAGCGCACTCAGGCCAATGTCGACTCTAAGCGTTCGGAAACGATTTGATTTATAAGCCACGATCCGTGATCTGATACACATCCTAAACTATAATTTCTTGCTGTTTCAACTTTCGAATTCTCAGTTTTTCGAAATTTTAGTTTGGGGACTTTTCAGTTTACTCCTATTTATTATTTAATTTTTAATTTCTCAATTTTTCAATTTCTCGGTTTTCAGTTTTTCTTTTCAATTTTACGATTTTTAAATATTTCGATTTTTCAATTTTTGACTTTTATAAACTCTTTATTTGTCGATTTTTCAATTAATTGATTTTTCAGGTTTTTTGGTTTTTCAATTTTTCTATTTTTTCAGGTTTCGATTTTTCAACTTCACTTTTTTGATTTTTCGATTTCTCAATTTTTCAATTTTTTAATTTCTCAGTTTTTCGACATTTCAGTTTTAGGATTTTTCAGTTTACTTATTATTCAGTTTTTCGATCTTACGATTTTGCAGATTTTTGATTTTTCGATTTTTCGATTCTTTAGATTCTCAGTTTTTGGATATTTCAGTTTTGGTATTTTTCAGTTTTTCGATTCGTCAGTTTTTCTTTCATTTTTCAGTCTTTCGATATTTCAGTTTTGGGATTTTTCAATATTTCTGTTCTTCGACTTTTCCATTTTTGACTTGTGGATTTTTCGATGTGTCGACTTTTTACTTTTTCGATTTTTAAATTTTAGATTTCTCAATTTTTTTGTATTTTAATTTTTCAATATTTAAAATTTTAGATTTTTCTATTTCTCAATTTTTCATTTTAGCTCTTCCATATTTCAATTTTTCAAATGTTTCGATTTCTTAATCTTTCGATTTTTCGACTTTCGGGTTTTAGACTTTCTGTTTTTCAATTGTCGTGTTTTCAAATTTTAGATTTTTCAATTTTTCAAATTTGACATTTATAAACTGTTAATTTTTCGATTTTTCAATTAATCGATGTTTTGATTTTCCCATTTCTTGACTTTCGAGGGTTTCGATATTCCTGTTCAATTCTTTAATTTTTCTACTTTTCAGGTTTTTGATTTTTCATTTTTTAGTTTTTTTAAGGTTTCGATTTTTCGACTTCACTATGAATTTTTCGATTGCTCAATTTTTTGACTTTTTAGGTTCTCAGTTTTTGGATATTTCAGTTTTCGGATTTTTCAGGTTCCCCATTTTTCACTTTTTCTTTCGTTTTTCAGTTTTTGGGATTTTTCATTATTTCGATTCTTCGACTTTTCGACTTTTGACTCCTGGATTTTTCGATGTGTCGATTTTTTTACTTTTTCGATTTTTCAGTGTTTCGATTTTTAAATTTTAGATTTTTTAATTTTTAAAGTTTTAGATTTTTCGATTTCTCGATTTTTCATTTCAGTTCTGCGATATTTCAATTTTTAAAGTTTTCGAATGTTTCGAATGTTTCCAATTCTTAATCTTTTGATTTTTCGACTTCGGTTTTAGATTTTCTGTTTTTCAATTGTCATTTTGTCAAATTTTCGATTTTTTAATTTTTCTAATTTGACTTTTATAAACTCAATTTTTCGATTTTTCAATTAATCGATGTTTTGATTTTCCCATTTCTTGACATTCGAGTGTTTCGATTTTCCTGTTCTTCAATTCTTTAACTTTTTAATTTTTCAGGTTTTTGATGTTTCAATTTTTCGATTTTTTAAGGTTTCGACTTCACTATGGATTTTTCGATTGCTCAATTTTTTGACTTTTTAGGTTCTCAGTTTTAGGATATTTCAGTTTTCGGATTTTTCAGGTTTTCTCATTTTTCAGTTTTTCTTTCATTTTTCAGTTTGTCGATATCTGTTTTGGGATTTTTCAATATTTTGATTCTTCGACTTTTCGATTTTTGACTCCTGGGTTTTTCGATGTGTCGACTTTTTTACTTTTTCGATTTTTCAATTTTCCGATTTTTAAATTTTAGATTTTTTAATTTTTAAAGTCTTAGATTTTTCGATTTCTCGATTTTTCATTTCAGCTCTGCGATATTTCAATTGTTAAAGTTTTCGAATGTTTCAAATGTTTCCAATTCTTAATCTTTTGATTTTTCGACTTCGGTTTTAGATTTTCTGTTTTTCAATTGTCATTTTGTCAAATTTTCGATTTTTTAATTTTTCTAATTTGACTTTTATAAACTCAATTTTTCGAGTTTTCAATTAATCGATGTTTTGATTTTCCCATTTCTTGACATTCGAGTGTTTCGATTTTCCTGTTCTTCAATTCTTTAACTTTTTAATTTTTCAGGTTTTTGATGTTTCAATTTTTCGATTTTTTAAGGTTTCGACTTCACTATGGATTTTTCGATTGCTCAATTTTTTGACTTTTTAGGTTCTCAGTTTTTGGATATTTCAGTTTTCGGATTTTTCAGGTTTTCCCATTTTTCAGTTTTTCTTTCATTTTTCAGTTTGTCGATATCTGTTTTGGGATTTTTCAATATTTTGATTCTTCGACTTTTCGATTTTTGACTCCTGGGTTTTTCGATGTGTCGACTTTTTTACTTTTTCGATTTTTCAATTTTTCGATTTTTAAATTTTAGATTTTTTAATTTTTAAAGTCTTAGATTTTTCGATTTCTCGATTTTTCATTTCAGTTCTGCGATATTTCAATTTTTCAAGTTTTCGAATGTTTCCATTTCTTAATCTTTTGATTTTTCGACTACCCGGTTTTAGATTTTTTGTTTTTCAATTGTCATTTTGTCAAATTTTCGATTTTTTAATTTTTCAAATTTGACTTTTAGAAACTCTCAATTTTTAGATTTTTCAATTAATCGATGTTTTGATTTTCCCATTTCTTGACCTTCGAGTGTTTCGATTTTTCTGTTCTTCAATTCTTTAATTTTTTGATTTTTCAGGTTTTTGATTTTTCAATTTTTCGTTTTTTTAAGGTTTCGACTTCACTTTTTTGATTTTTCGATTTTTCAGTTTTTAGGTATTTCAGTTTTAGGATTTTTCAATATTTCAATTCTTCGGTTTTTCTATTTTTGACTTCTGGATTTTTCGATGTGTTTTACTTTTTCGATTTTTCAATTTTTGGATTTTTAAATTTTAGATTGTTCAATCTTTTGATATTTTAGTTTTTCAATATTTCTTAGTCTTTCGATTTTTCGACTTCCTGGTTTTAGATGTTCTGTTTTTCAATTTGTTAATTTTTCATTCCCGATTTATCGAGATTTGATTGTTCAGGTTTTCGATTTATCAGTTTTTCAATTTTTTATTTTGGCCTATTTCGGTTTCTCATTTTTTCCAGTTTTCCATATTTTCGTTTTTTTTTTATTTTTCCGCTTTTCCAATTTTTCAACTTTTAACTTTTTGTTTGTCGATTTCTCTATTTTTCAATTTTTCGACTTCATCACTTTTCGATTTCTCGTTCTTTTGATCATTCAATCTCTCAATTTTTCAATTTTTCGAATTTTAAATTTTTTGATTTCTCGATTTATCGAGATTTGGATTTTCCGATATTTTGATTGTCAATTTATAAATTGTTCAATTTTTAACTTTTCGATTTTTCGATTTTGGCCTATTTCGGTTTCTCAATTCTTCGACTTTTCGACTCCATGATTTCTTGATCTTTTGATTTTTCGATTTCTCGGTTTTTCGATTTTCCAGTTTTTCGAAGTTTCGATTTTTCAGTTATCCGACTTTTTAAATTTGGGAGTTTCGATTTCTCAATTTTTCGTTATACGATTTTTAAATTTTAGATTTTTGAATTTTACATTTTTTCGATTTTCTGATGTTTCATTTTTCGATTTTCAGTTCTTCGATATTTCGATTTTTCAATGTTTCGGTTTTACGATTTTTTAAGGTTTCGATTTTTCGATTATTAGATTTCTCGATTTTTCAAATTTTCGATTATTTTAATTTTTCATTTTTTTTTCAAATCAACTTTTAAAAATCGGACCGCAGTGAATCTCTTAAAATTCGCTAGTGTCTAGTGTCTATAATGTCATTGGTTGTATCAATTTTTGAGGTTATGTGCATCCAAATTCTTGGCGCCCAAAATCATAATCTAACCACGCTAACCACAAGTTAATTTATGCTCATAACAGAACATAATTCTAATTTTTCAATAACCGTACGGGAAAATTCAAGTCCTATTAATAATTTTTGGTGTGTTTCAACTGGAATTTAAAAAAAAATCAGGTGTGACCACCATAAAAATCTTAGGTTAGAACTCTAGCGTTTTGGAAACTGCCTTTAACATAGTGTCAAACAAGATTTAAGGTAAAACTAACATTGCAATTGCTTCTGTAGTATAATAAAACGATTTTAGGTGGCCACAATGTCGGCTATCGAATATTCAAAAGCACTCGTTGCACGGGGAAGATCTTCATGGAAAAACGTCCACAACTGTAAACTGTGCCCCTATTTTACGACATCGATTTTGTGTATGGTGAATCACGTGAGGCGACATCGCCCATCTCTGGAAAGATTTACATGCTCCGAAGCCAAACTCGAAGTGTATTATTGCAAAGACTGCGATTTTAAAACGGATCTAACGATTCTGTTCAAACAACACATTAACAAACATCACGGCCTTAAGAGTGAATCTAGAGAAGTTTTGTCAATTGAGGACTTCACCATAAAAAACTACGTTTGCGAAAAATGCGCCTTCGAAACAAATTTCTTGATGAAGTGGCGTCAACACACTTCCATATGCACGGAAAAGAAAGAAAATGTGCAAAGTCTGAGTCCCCCGAGCCAGAATGCCACGTACGAAGAAACTGGTAAATGGCACAAGTGCAAAAAATGCGCTTTCAAAACTAAAGCAAAATGGATTTTAAAATACCACACGCATAGCACACACGGGCGGGGAAAACATGATAAATGGCACGAATGCAAGCTGTGTCCATTCAAATCGAAGTATAAGGAATCTGTGAAAAGGCATCTAAGTGTGAAACATCTCGACGAAAAAGAAGTTCAGTGGTACGAATGTGCGAGCTGTTCCTATAAAAGTAAAAGAAGCGATAAGTTGAGACAACATGTAAGTGTTCGCCATCCAGATATCAAACCATTTCAGTGCGAACGTTGTCCATATAAGGCTAAGTTAATAAGTCATTTAAAGGAGCATATATACAACAACCATTCCGATTGTCCCGAAGGAAACGTTAAATGGCACAAATGTGAGAAGTGTCCATTCAGATCTAAGTATGAGATATCTTTAATCAGGCACGTAAAGAACCAACATGTAGATGAGTGGTTCAAATGTACGAGCTGTTCATATAAAAGTAAAGAAAAAGATAAGTTGGAGCAGCATATAAATGTTCGACATTTAGAAATCAGACCATTTCCGTGCGAATATTGTCCATATAAGGCGAAACACAGTAGTCATTTAAAGCGTCATAAAATTCAGATGCATTTGGACGTTAAATGGTACAAATGCTTTCTATGTTCTTACAAAACTAAAAACAAATTGGCTTTGTATAAGCACAAAATTAAATGTATAGATTTTCATTTTTAATAATTTGGTTGTAGTAGCATTAAGCTGTGTATGTAACTTTAATAAAGCGAAAGTTTATGGCATAATTTGTGTGTAAATCATAAAAGTCCCTATAAGAAGTTAAACTTAGCTCCGCCCACCCACCCGCCTCCATTTCGGAGATTAATTTTATCTACTTTGGTAGAAAAGTGGATCTTCTACAGAAATAAAAGTCGCTAAAACGAGAAGATTTTTATTAACCACAGTTCACGTGTTTTAAAATATCTCATTACAAACTTAAAAAAAATAAACATTACACATGTATTTTTTTGTGCCTACGCACATAAGCTCCATCCTTGGCTTTAAAAGAACATTGTTCGCATTTGTACCACTTAACATCCGCTCCATCTAAATGGTGGCAATTCATGTGCCGCTTTAAATAATCGTTGTGTTTCGCTGTATATGGACACAATTCACACTGAAACGATTTTACATCAGAATGGTGGATGGCTATATGTCTTTTCAAATTTTCTTTTCTTTTACTTTTATACGAACAGCTCGCACATTCGTGCCACTCAATCGGCTCGTGATGCTTTTTTACAGTTGAATGTTTTGTAATTAATTGTGTCTTTTTGACAGTCGAATGTTTGGCAGTTATGTGTGTCTTTAAAGACGACGTGTACTTGGTTCTGAATGGACACTCTTTGCATTCGTACCACTTGACATCTTCTCCTTTCAAATGCAAAGCGTTTATGTGCCTTTTTAAACTAGATTTTGTTTTGGCCTTGAATGAACATTTTTCGCACGAGTGCGATTCAGTACCTAGTTTGTGTAAATGGTCGCAGTTTGTGTGTGCATTTTTAAATGGACACTTGTCGCATATTGAGTGGCTGTGTCTCATGTGATATTTTAAATAACTTCTGAATTTAGCCTTGTATGGGCAATGTTTGCACTGGAAAGATTTGATGTCCGAATGGTGGATATCCATATGCACTTTCAAATTATCTTTTCTTTTACTTTTATACAGACAGCTGGCACATTCGTACCACTTAACTTCCTCTTCGTCCAAATGTTGACAAATCACGTGATATTTTAAAGTCGGGCGGTATTTAGATTTGAACGGGCACTTGGCGCATTCGTGCCACTTAATTTTGTCTTTGTCTAGGTGTTTTGCAGTGACGTGCGGCTTCAAAGACGATTTATATTTAGTTTTGAATGGACACTGGTTGCATTCGTACAATTTAAAGACTTCTTCTTTTAAGTGGACCCGATTTACGTGCCTTTTTATACTAAATTTTAACTTCGTTTTAAAGGGGCATTCTGGACAGTAGTACCAACGTGCTTGGTCAGTTTGGCTGAAGTCTGAACTGTTTTGAAGCTTTTTCTTTTTTGAGCATGCTGAAGTATGTTGAAGCCACTTCAATGAGAAATTTGTTTCAAAGTCGCACTTTTCGCAAACGTAGTTTTGAATGCGGAATCCGGATTCTCTTTTAAAGCCGTGATGTTTGAACAAGAGGGTTAGCTCCGTTTCAAAATTGCAGTCTTTACAGTAGTATGATTCAATTAAAGCCTCGGAGCAAGTAAATTTCTCCAGACATGAACGGTGTCGTTTCACGTGGTTGTTCATAAGAAAAAGTGATGTTGTAAAATAGGGGCATCGTTGACATTTATGAACGCTTCGCTGAGCTGCCAGTGCTTTCGAATATTCCAAAGTCGACATTCCTAAAATCACTTTAATCCACTACGATAGTAGTTGTAATTTTAGTTACCTGAATCCCATCAAAGTACTGTTAAAATTGGAAATTATCGTTTGCGATATTTTGTGATTTTGACACAACACATTCTGGAAAGTCAGTTTCAAATTATTTAGAAAGTTCTTAACAAGCCTGCAACATTTCCGAATTCCGATGCACATAACCTCGAAAACTGCACAACTACAGCGTTGCCATATCTACCGAATTTTCCTGCTTTATATGTATAATAAGTCTGCCATTTCTATTGAAACATTACCTATAGATTTTGCCTAAAATTTAGCAATTGCTAACAGTTTTCGGTTGATTGACAACGGCTTTTAGTTAGAAAATTGTGTGAATATGAACGTTGCCAAATTTACGATCAACAAGTGGTGTTTCAATAGAATGGCAACGACTATAATTTTCAAAAATTGTTCGAAATTTCGCTAAATACATTTTCTTGTAGATTTCGGGCCCCAGAAGTCATATCCGTTTTCATTTATTCGATAACTCCAATGGTTCTTCCAGAATCGTCCTTAGAAATATTCAAAAATATGCAAAAAACGCACAATTTTCAACTAAATTTTCGAAATTTCACTAAAAACATTTTCTTGTAGATTTTGGGCCACAGAAGTCATATCCGCTTTCATTTCTTTGATAACTCCAATGGTTTTCCCAGAATCGTCTTTTGATATATTCAAAAATATGCAAAATAACCCCAATTTCCCATCAAATTTTAACAAAATTTTTGAAATTTCACTTAATACATTTTCTTGTAGATTTCGGGCCGCAGAAGTCATATCCGTTTTCATTTCTTCGATAACTCCAATGGTTTTCCCAGAATCGTCGTTTGAAATATTCAAAAATATGCAAAATAACCCCAATTTTCCATCAATTTTCAACAAAATTTTCGAAATTTCACTTAATACATTTTCTTGTAGATTTCGGGCCGCAGAAGTCATATCCGTTTTCATTTCTTCGATAACTCCAATGGTTTTCCCAGAATCGTCCTTTGAAATATTCAAAAATATGCAAAATAATCCCGATTTCCCACCGATTTTCAACAAAATTTTCGAAATTTCACTTGATACATTTTCTTATCGATTTCGGGCCACAGAAGTCATATCCGTTTTCATTTCTTCGATAACTCCAATGGTTTTCCCAGAATCGTCCTTTGAAATATTCAAAAATATGCAAAATAACCCCAATTTTCCATCAATTTTCAACAAAATTTTCGAAATTTCACTTAATACATTTTCTTGTAGATTTCGGGCCGCAGAAGTCATATCTGTTTTCATTTCTTCGATAACTACAATGGTTTTCCCAGAATCGCCCTCTGAAATATTCAAAAATATGCAAAATAACCCCAATTTTCCATCAATTTTCAACAAAATTTTCGAAATTTCACTTAATACATTTTCTTGTAGATTTCGGGCCGCAGAAGTCATATCTGTTTTCATTTCTTCGATAACTACAATGGTTTTCCCAGAATCGCCCTCTGAAATATTCAAAAATATGCAAAATAACCCCAATTTTCCATCAATTTTCAACAAAATTTTCGAAATTTCACTTAATACATTTTCTTGTAGATTTCGGGCCGCAGAAGTCATATCTGTTTTCATTTCTTCGATAACTACAATGGTTTTCCCAGAATCGTCCTTTGAAATATTCAAAAATATGCGAAATAACCTCAATTTCCCATCAACTTTCAACAAAATTTTCGAAATTTCACTAAATACATTTTCTTGTAGATTTCGGGCCGCAGAAGTCATATCCGTTTTCATTTCTTCGATAACTCCAATGGTTTTCCCAGAATCGTCCTTTGAAATATTCAAAAATATGCAAAATAACCCCAATTTTCCATCAATTTTCAACAAAATTTTCGAAATTTCACTTAATACATTTTCTTGTAGATTTCGGGCCGCAGAAGTCATATCTGTTTTCATTTCTTCGATAACTCCAATGGTTTTCCCAGAATCGTGCTTTGAAATATTCAAAAATATGCAAAATAATCCCAATTTCCCACCGATTTTCAACAAAATTTTCGAAATTTCACTTGATACATTTTCTTATCGATTTCGGGCCACAGAAGTCATATCCGTTTTCATTTCTTCGATAACTCCAATGGTTTTCCCAGAATCGTCCTTTGAAATATTCAAAAATATGCAAAATAATCCCAATTTCCCACCGATTTTCAACAAAATTTTCGAAATTTCACTTGATACATTTTCTTATCGATTTCGGGCCACAGAAGTCATATCTGTTTTCATTTCTTCGATAACTACAATGGTTTTCCCAGAATCGTCCTTTGAACTACATAGTCATAGTTACTCCCCCCCAGACAAATTTGCATTTTTCTCGCTTATTTGAAGAGATCCGGCAAAAGCGAATATGGAATCATAATCCTGAGGAAATTCCGGGTCATATGATACCCCAACGGAATGTCATAGTTCCTCCCACCGGAGAGTCATAGTTACTCCCCCCAAAATTCATTTTACTCTTTTTGCCCTTTTCCTCATTTTTCTTCCTTTTTCGTCCTTTTTCGTTCTTGTCCGTCCTTTTTCGTCCTTCTTTCGTCCTTTTTCGTCCTCCTTTGTCCTTTTTCGTCCTTTGTATCCTTTTCATTCCATATTATCTTTTTTCGTCCGTTTTCGTCCTTTTTCGTCGGTGTCAAGTTCAACACTATGCTTAAAGAGCCATTCCTGCATTTCACATTTTTTACTAGAAAAAGTGGGACTGGAAACTAATAATAGAAACTAGAACAGTCTAATAAAAAAAGTAAAAAAAAAACGCTAATCGTATTTTTTTTGTTATACTATTTGCCATAAAATTTATTTGTTATTTCATGCATCTGACCTGACTTGACCAACCGTGACCTGACCTCTTCTAGTTAGAAAAATAGTCGAAAATGTCAATAGTGTCAAAATCAGTTTTATCTTATCAAATATTAGCCCCGCCCACCCACCCTCTGTTTTTTTTGGAAGGTATTTGATTTGCCAAAATCAGCCTTATCTTAGTAAGTCCTAGCCTCCCCCCTCTTCTATTTCTAAGGACAAATTCTACTTCTGTTAAGTATAAGGTCATTTATTTGATTCAGATCGGATAAAATCGATCACTGAAAAAGCGGCAGGGTGGGTGGGCGGGGCTAGTTATGTTCTTCTGTCGAGTGAGACTGGAGACTAATAATAGAATCTAGAACAGTCTAATAAAAAAAGTAAAAAAAAAAACGCTAATCGTATTTTTTTGTTATACTATTTGCTATAAAATTTATTTGTTATTTCATGCATCTGACCTGACTTTACCTACCGTGACCTCACTTCTTCTAGTTAGAAAAATAGTCGAAAATGTCAAAAGTGTCAAAATCAGTTTTATCTTATCAAATATTAGCCCCGCCCACCCACCCTCTGTTTTTTTGGAAGGTATTTGATTTGCCAAAATCAGCCTTATCTTAGTAAGTACTAGCCTCCCCCCTCTTCTATTTCTAAGGACAAATTTTACTTCTGTTAAGTATAAGGTCATTTATTTGATTCAGATCGGATAAAATCGATCACTGAAAAAGAGGCAGGGTGGGTGGGCGGGGCTAGTTATGTTCTTCTGTCGAGTGGGACTGCAAACTAATAATAGTTAGAATTCTAGTTCTAGTTCTGATAAAAAAAGTAAAAAAAACGCTGACCGTATTTTTTTTGTTATACTATTTGCTATAAAATTTATTTGTTATTTCATGCATCTGACCTGACTTGACTAACCGTGACCTGACCTCTTCTAGTTAGAAAAATAGTCGAAAATGTCAAAAGTGTCAAAATCAGTTTTATCTTATCAAATATTAGCCCCGCCCACCCACCCTCTGTTTTTTTTGGAAGGTATTTGATTTGCCAAAATCAGCCTTTTCTTAGTAAGTACTAGCCTCCCCCCTCTTCTATTTCTAAGGACTAATTTTACTTCTGTTAAGTATAAGGTCATTTATTTGATTCAGATCGAATAAAATCGATCACTGAAAAAGAGGCAGGGTGGGTGGGCGGGGCTAGTTGTGTTCTTCTGTCGAGTGGGACTGCAAATTAATAATAGTTAGAATTCTAGTTCTAGTTCTGATAAAAAAAGTAAAAAAAACGCTAACCGTATTTTTTTTTGTTATACTATTTGCTATAAAATTTATTTGTTATTTCATGCATCTGACCTGACTCGACCTACCGTGACTTTCCCTCTTCTAGTTAGAAAAATAGTCGAAAATGTCAAAACTGTCAAAATATTATCAAATATTAGCCCCGCCCACCCACCCTCTGTTTTTTTGGAAGGTATTTGATTTGCCAAAATCAGCCTTATCTTAGTAAGTACTAGCCTCCCCCCTCTTCTATTTCTAAGGACTAATTTTACTTCTGTTAAGTATAAGGTCATTTATTTGATTCAGATCGAATAAAATCAATCACTGAAAAAGAGGCAGGGTGGGTGGGCGGGGCTAGTTATGTTCTTCTGTCGAGTGGGACTGCAAACTAATAATAGTTAGAATTCTAGTTCTAGTTCTGATAAAAAAAAGTAAAAAAAAAACGCTAACCGTATTTTTTTTGTTATACTATTTGCTATAAAATTTATTTGTTATTTCATGCATCTGACCTGACTCGACCTACCGTGACTTTCCCTCTTCTACTTAGAAAAATAGTCGAAAATGTCAAAACTGTCAAAATATTATCAAATATTAGCCCCGCCCACCCACCCTCCTGTTTTTTTGGAAGGTATTTGATTTGCCAAAATCAGCCTTATCTTAGTAAGTCCTAGCCTCCCCCTCTTCTATTTCTAAGGACTAATTTTACTTCTGTTAAGTATAAGGTCATTTATTTGATTCAGATCGAATAAAATCGATCACTGAAAAAGAGGCAGGGTGGGTGGGCGGGGCTAGTTATGTTCTTCTGTCGAGTGGGACTGGAGGTTAATAATAGAATCTAGAACAGTCTAATAAAAAAAGTAAAAAAAAAAAAACGCTAATCGTATTTTTTTTGTTATACTATTTGCTATAAAATTTATTTGTTATTTCATGCATCTGACCTGACTTTACCTACCGCGACCCCACTTGGTTTTTACAGAATCTTACTTCGAAATATTCAAAAATATACAAAATAAAACCCCAATTTCCCATCAACTTTCAACAAAATTTTCGAAATTTCACTTAATACATTTTCTTGTAGATTTCGGGCCGCAGAAGTCATATCCGTTTTCATTTCTTCGATAACTCCAATGATTCTTCCAGAATCGTCCTTTGAAATGTTCAAAAATATGCAAAATAACTCCAATTTCCTATCAATTTTCAACAAAATTTTCGAAATTTCACTTAATACATTTTCTTGTGATGACGTCACTTCAACATTGTATATAGTAAAGGGGTTTTAAATTGTATAAAATAACATACTCCTGCTAGAGACAACATTGGTAAATTTGTACAGCGAAATATCGATTTTGCAGTTAAGCTCCGCCCCTCGGTCTGACAACGAATGAAAAATTCATCACGTTTGAGATCGAGATGGATGGGTGGAGCTTCTCTTTTCGTTTTCTTTGGATAACACGATTACTAAAGAACATATTTCACATGGTAATTTCTCGTAGAAAAAAAAATCGTCAGAATTGAGATAGGGCAGGTGGGTGTGGCTTATATTTTGCGTTTTTGTTTTCGTAATATACATAGCCATCTTTTCACAACAAGAAACTTAAAACTTGGTTACAATGGTACATTTTTGGAAGAAAATATCGATTTTGCAATTATGGCGGGATTGTTTGTAGTTTCTCTGTTTCACGTATACAATCTCAACAAGTTAGAGTTTAAAATGTTACTAAAACACACGGAAAATTTACTTTATTACTTTATTTAGACTCAAAAACTACAAAATCTTCCTCGCACTGATACTAGCTAACATTCAAATGAACTTTGACATGATTTTTTAAATACTTCTTTACTTTAGTTTTGTACGAACACTCTTCGCATTTGTACCACTTGACTTCTTTCTCGTCCAAGTGTCGACAAATCACGTGATTGTTCAAAGCCCATACCCGTTTAGTCTTAAACGGGCAATGTTTACATTCATACCACTTGACTTTTTCTTTGTCTTGATGTTTCGCATCTACGTGATTCTTCAAGTTTGGTTTATACTTGGTTTTGAATGGACACTCGTCGCATTCGTACCACTTAACGTCTCCTTCGTTCAAGTGTAAGCAATGTATGTGTCGTTTTAAACTGGCTTTTATTTTGGTTTTGAACGAACACTTGTCACAGTTGTACCATTCAACGTCTTGTTCATCCAAATGTGTTCGATTTATGTGGTCTCTTAAAGGTGCTTTGCACGTACTTTTATACGGACACTGGTCGCATTTGTACCACTTACCGTCTTCTTCAGTCAAATGTAAGGCGTTTATGTGTCTTTTTAAACTAGATTTTAATTTGGTTTTGAACTGGCACTTGTCACACTTGTGCCATTCGTCTAAATGGATGCAATTCATGTGCCTTCTTAAGTGGTCTCTCAACTTACTTTTATAAGGACACTGTTCGCATTCATACCACTTGACTTTTTCTTCGTCTAGATGTTGCACAGTTACGTGTATTTTTAAAGACGTTTTGTACTTGGATCGGAATGGACACTCTTTGCATTCGTACCACTTAACGTCTTCTTCGTTCAAATGTAAACAATTTACGTGACCTCTTAAACTAGCTTCCAATTTAGTTTTATATGGACACTTTTCGCACTGATACCACTTAATTTTTTCTTCGTCTGAATGCTTCGAATTCACGTGTGTCTTCAAAGAATGTTTATACCTAGTTTTGAACGGGCACTTTTCACATTTGTACCAATCACGGTCGTGTTCATCTGAATGGACCGAACTCTTCAAATGGAGGTTTTTTATATGCCGCCTTAAGTTACTTTTGGATTTAGTTTTGTACCCACATTCGGAACAGTAATACCAAAGTATTTCCTCAGTGACACTCTCGTTTTTTGTATTTTCTGAACAAGCCGAAGTATGCTGAAGCCACTTTAACGCGGAATTTGTTTCAAAGTCGCATTTTTCGCAAACGTAGTGTTGTACACAGAAGTCCTGACCTGATAAATCGTCCCCCGGTTCTCTTTTAATACCATGATTTTTATTGATGTGTTGTTTGAAGAAAATTGTTAGTTCGGTTTTAAAATCGCAGTTTTTACAATAAAACGGTTCGATTTTGGCGTTTTCACAGATGAATTTTTCCAAAGATGAGTGGTGTTGTCTCACGTGGTTCATCATGGGGCAGAGTGGACGTTTTTCAATGACGGACTTCTGAATAATCCAAAGTCGACATTTTGGTTGCCTAAAGTCGTTTTATTACACCAGGGAAGAAATTGAAGTCTTATTTACCTAAATCTCGTTCAAGACTATCGTCTTGTCTCCACTCTGTGGTATTTGACACTTCGTGCTAACCTCACATTTTTACGTCACGATTCATGTTTCTGGTTTTTGAAAAAAGGATGATGCTCCATTCCAATGTACTCACTTTGCTTTAGATAGATTTTGTTTAAATGAACTGAGAAATTATTTAAAATTTTGTTTATGTTGTTTACAAGCTTGCTACATTTTCGATACACATAACCTCAAACATTGATTGAATCAACCAATGACATCACAAAAACGTGAGGGTCAACTAGGAAATAAAAAAAAATTAATGTTTTTTCAAATTTTACTCAAAATACAAAACATATTATACAAAATGTTGTTATACATGTTTTTTTCTATGTAGATAAAACGATGTTTTATTTTTCGCTTTGTAAGGACAGTGTTCGCACTTGTACCACTTAACATCCTCTCCATCCAAATGTTTGGAATTCATATGAAACTTTAAATCCTCGCTGCGTTTACCCTTATATGGACAATATTCACACTCGAACGATTTAACCTCCAAGTGAACATTCACATGCCTGTTAAAATTCTTTTTCGTTTTACTTTTATACGAACAATGCGCACATTCAAACAGTTTCGTCGTTTGTGAATGCGCACAATGTATATGTTTCCGTAGATTTTCAGGAAATTTAGCTTTGAAAGAACACTCTGTACACTCGTACCACTTAACTTCGTTATCGTCCAAATGCAGCGAAATTACGTGCTTTTTTAAATTCAACAACCACTTACTTTTAAATGGACAATGTTCACACTGATACCACTTAACTTTTTCTTCGTCTAGATGTTTCGCGGTTATGTGTGCCCGCACCGATTTTTCGTACTTGCTTTTGAACGGACACTGTTTGCATTCGTACCACCTAACCTCTTTGTCGTCCAAGTGTAACCCATTTATGTGGTTTTTCAAATTACATCGTGCTCTGGTTTTAAACGGGCATTGGTCACATTTGTACCATTCGGCGTCTTCATCGTCTAAATGGATACGATTTACGTGCTTTTTTAGACATTCTTTACGCGTACTTTTATAGGGACACTTGTCACATGCGTACCGTTTATCTAAATGGAGCTCTGTTACGTGAATTTTCAAATTCCTTTTGACGTTACTTTTATAGGGACATTCTGAACAGTAATACCAACTTGGTTCGTCTGTCTGATGATTTAGTTGCTTTCCGGTGCAGGTTGAAGTGTGCCGAAGCCACATTAATGACAAATACGTTTCAAAGTCGCATTTTTCGCAAACGTAGACTGGTATGTGGAAATCCTCACCCCCAGATTCTCTTTTAAAACCGTGATATTCATCGATGTGTCGTTTGAACACAATCGATAGTTCCGATTTAAAATCGCAGTCTTTACAATAATAGGGCTCAATCTCGTTTTCACATTTGAAACGTTCCAATGATGAACGGTGGCGCTTCACGTGGTTGTTCATAAGAAAAAGTGATGTTGTAAAATACGGACACAGTTTACAGTTATGAATTATTTTTCTGGAAGATCTTGACCGTGCTGCTGAATATTCCATTGACGTTTGGGGTGCCTAAAACCGTTTTATTACACAGTGAAAGAATGCGGCATTCTTTTTACCCAAAACTTGTTGAAACCCAGTTAAAAAATTGAAACTGTCATAGACATAACCTCAAAATTTTTCTTCAACTTCTGCTACAATTTTTCGTTTTGGGTGGGCTTTCCTGTTTGTAGTTGGTGTCTGTTTCTACTCCAATTGAGACACCTTCAGGAATAAACGTTAAAAGTTAGGGAACGACGGTATTTTTGTATGTTGTCCACGTTCACAGCAGCTGTCTAGGGTTTTTCACTGACTGGGTTGGTAGAACTTTTGACAGGAATTTGACAGACGATGACAGATCTTTTATTATTCGATAAATAACGACAAAATTAGATAAAAAGTTATAAATACACTTATACCACTTCATTCAAATGCCGGTTTTCTATATGACGCTTTAAATGACCACCGCGCTTCGCCCTGTATGGACAATATTCACACTGATACGACCTAATATCCAAATGGGCCTTTACGTGCCCTTTTAAATTATTTTTTATATTACTTTTATACGGACACTTCGCACATTCATACCACTCCGTTTTTCCCGAATGATTAACAACCATGTGCTTCTGTAAAGACAAATTGTGTTTAGCTCTGTACGAACACTCCTTGCATTCCAACCATTCCACACTTTGTTTTTTTAAATGGACGACTTTTATATGGATTTCTAACGCCGTTTCATACCTAGTTTTATAAGAACACTGGTCGCATTTGTACCACTTAAACTTCTTTCCGTCTGAGTGGTGACTGTTCATGTGCTCGGTTAAATATCGTTTCAACTTAGCCTCATACGGACACAATTCACACTGAAACGATTTCATATAGTCGATATCTAAATGTCGAAGGGTTATATGCTCTTTCAAATTATTTTTTCTTTTACTTTTGTATAGACAGTTGGTACACTCGTACCACTTAACGTCTTCCGCCGATAAATGTCGAGACACTACATGTTTTTTAAAATTCGATGCGTCTTTACATTTAAACGGGCACTTTTCACATTCGTGCCATTTAATTTTTTCTTCGTCTAGATGTTTCACGGCTAGGTGCCTCTGCATAGATTTTCTATGCTTAGTTCTGAACGGACACTGTTTGCATTCGTACCATTTAACATCGTCTCCTTGTAAGTGAAATGAATTCATGTGGTTTTTTACACTTTTTTTTGCTTTAGTTTTGAAAGGGCATTCCGTACAGTGGTACCAACGTATTTCGTCAGTGATTTTCTCGTTCAGACAAGTCAATTTTTTTTTCGTTTCTATGCATGCTGAAGTGTGTTGACGCCACTTTATCAAGAAATTTGTCCGAAAGTCGCACTTTTCGCAAACGTAGTGTCGAATGGTGAAGTTCTCACTCGACAAATCCTCCTTAAGACCGTGATTTTTGCTAATGTGTTGTTTGAACTCGATCGTTAGTGTCGATTTAAAATCGCAGTCTTTACAATAATACGCTTCGATTTTGGCTTCGGAGCATGTAAATTTTTCCAGAGATGAGCGATGTCGCCTCACGTGGTTCACCATACACAAAATTGATGTTGTAAAATAGGGGCACAGTTTGCAGTTGTGGACGTTTTTCCATGAAGATCTTGTCCGAGTAACCAGTGCTTTCGAATATTCCAAAGTCGACATTGTGGCCTCCTAAAACCGTTTTATTACACTAGAGCCAACAATACAATCTTAGTACCTTAAAAATTACAATTTCTTCGCAAAAATGCAATTTTCGACTGACATAACCTCACAAATTGAATCAACCAATCAGAACGTTCCGGAAAACTGTTACCAACCGAATGTAAATAAAAAAATTCCTGTCAATTATTTATTGTTTAAAAAAATATACACATTTAGCACTTATAACAATTCGATTCCATGTACTGCAGTCATGTGCCTCTCCAAAAACAGTTTATGCATACTTCTGAAAGGACACTCGTTACATTCGTGCCTCTTAACGACTTTCTCATTCAAATGAAAGCAATTAATGTGTTTTTCTAAATTCGATTTGAGCCTGGTTTTGAACGCGCACTTTTCACACTTGTGCCATTTCCCGTCTTGTTGGTTTCGATGGATTCGATTGACGTGCTTTCTTAAAGACGTTTCAAATTTACCTTTATATGGACACTCTTTGCATTCGTACCATTTAAGCTCTTCTTCGTTCAAGTGGATGGAAATGATGTGTTTTTTCAAATAAGATTTTTGTTTGACTTTGTATGGGCACTTTTCGCATTCGTACCACTTAATTTTCTCGTCATTTAAGTGTTTCATACGTAGGTGGGACACTAAAGATGTTTTATACTTTGTTCTGAACGGACAATGTTCACATTCATACCATTGTCCATCCGAGTGGTTTTCTTTTATGTGTTTTGTTAACGGTTTTTTACATCTAGTTTTAAATGGACACTTGTTGCATGCATACCGCTCGTTTAAGTGCAGTTCTCTCATGTGAAGTTTTAATTTTGTTTTCGTTCTAGCTTTGTATGAACAATTAGTACAATGATAATATAAATGTGTGTCTTCGGGTGGCTCAAAATCGAAACTATTCTGGTTCACTCCTGTGCAAATTGAAGCATGCCAACGCCACTGTACTGTGATATCTGTTCGGAAGTGGCAGTTCTCACAAACGTACTTTTCTATGTCTCTATATTCTGTTTTAAAACGGTGACGTTTGTTGATGTGTTGTTTCAACAGAATCGTTAGTTCAGTTGTAAAACCGCAGTCTTTACAATAGTACTTTTCAATTGGGTGTCCACAATCGAATTTTTCCAAGGATCGGTGTCGTCTCACGTGGTTTACCAACAAGAAAAGCGAAGTTGTAAAATAGGGGCACAGTTTACATCTGTGGACGTTTTTTCTTGCTGCAGAAGCTTCCGAATATTCCAAAATCGACATTTTGTTGCCTAAAACCGTCTGATTATTAAAACAATACTTCATAATTTATATAAACCTATTTGAGTACATAACCTCAAAACGTCAAACAACTAATGACAGAACAAGGTCAAGGAGTACAATGAACAGGTGTTCTCATTCACAATTTGGTGTATTTTTTAAAAAACGTTACATTTATTAAAACCTACACATGTTTCTTTCTGTGTTTATAAAGCGCTGACCGACTTTTGCTTTTGTAGGTGCAGTGTTCGCACTCGAACCATTTAGCGCCAGTTCCATCCAAATGACAGTTATTTTTATGATCGGCTAAGCTGCCACCGTATTTCGTTTTAAATGGACAATATTCGCACTGATAGGGTTTGGTTTCCAAATGCACCCGTAAATGACTGTCTAAATTCGGCTTCGTTTTAGTTTTGTATGAACATTTCCCACATTCAAACCAATTCGGAATTTTTGAATGTTCACGTTTCATGTGCGTCTTCAATTTATGGCGAAATTTGGCTCTGAAAGGACACTGTTCGCATTCGTACCACTTAATTTTCTCATCATCTGAGTGTTTTACAATTAAGTGGGTCGCCAAAGATGTTTTGTATTTCGTTCGTAATGGGCATTTGTCACACTCGTACCATTTTTCAACGAAATGGTTTTCATTTATGTGTCGTTTTAGAGGTGTTTTATATCGACTTTTAAATGGACACTTGGTGCAGGCGTAGCGCTCGTTTAAATGGAGAGCTCTCACGTGGAATTTTAAATTTTTTTTAGTTCTAGATTTGTAGGAACAATAACTGCAGTAATAGTACAAGTGTAAGTCTTTAGGTGGCTCGAAATCGCAACTATTAGTGGCATTCTGTTCAATTCTTGTGCAAGTTAAAGCATGCCGAAGCCACTTTAACGAGAAATTTGTTTCAAAGTGGCACTTGTCACAAACGTAGTTTTCTAAGTTAAAGTCCTCTCTAGATTCGGTTTTAAAACCGTGATTTTTGTTAATGTGTTGTTTGAATAAAATCGTTAGTTCGGTTTTAAAGTCGCAGTCTTTACAATGGTACGTTTCAACTGGGTGTCCACAGTCGAATTTTTCTAGAGTGGAACGGTGTCGTCTCACGTGGTTTACCATCAAGAAAAACGAATTTGTAAAGTAGGGACACAGTGTGCAGTTGTGGCAATTTTTCCATGATTTTCGCCACGTCGTGGATGCTTCAGAATACTCCAAAATCGACATTTTGGGGCCTAAAAGCGTCCGATTATACTGGGGATGCAAATCCAATTTGATTACCTGAATGACACCTAACCTAACATTTTTACGTCAAACATGACATTTGTATTTTTGGAACAACGAATTACGCTGTTTTCGTTGATTTTGTTGTTAAATCAAGAAAGAGGGGCCGCTAAATTGTTTAAAAATTAGTTTATTACGGTTAAATCAACACGTTTTCGAACACATAACCTCAAATAATGACAGTGTTGACACAACAGGAACGTCAAGTGGGTATAATGAACAGGTGTTCTCATCTACAATGTTTTTTTCTGTGTTTATAAAAAGTTGACCGACTTTTGCTTTTGTAGGTGCAGTGTTCGCACTCAAACCATTTAGCGCCAGTTCCATCCAAATGACAGTTATTTTTATGGTCGGTTAAGCTGCCGCTGTATTTCGTCCTAAATGGACAATATTCGCACTGAAACGGTTTTCTTTCCAAATGCACCTTCAAATGACTCTTTAAATTCGGTTTCATTTTGCTTTTGTATGAACATTTCGCACATTTATACCATTCCGACTTTTTCGAATGGTCGCGTTTCATGTGCTCGGTTAAATTATAGCGAAGTTTAGCTCTGAAAGAACACTGTTGGCATTCGTACCACTTAATGTCAATTTCATCCAAATGTACGGAAATTACGTGTCTTCGTAAATTCGAAACGTGCTTGGTTTCAAATTTGCAACTTTTGCATTTGTAGGTTTTGAATTGTTCTTGTAGATTTGGGTGTTTTGCAACTGTGTGAAACTCTAGAGATGATTTGTGTTTGGTTTTGAAATGGCAGTTGTTGCATTCGTACCATTTAGCGTCTTGTCCACTCAAGTGGAGCGAATTTTGGTGTCTTTTCAGTTTGTGTTTAAATGTGGTTTTGTATGGACAGTGTCCACATTCGTACCATTTGCAGTCCTTTTTACACGAACACCTTTTAGCTTTCTCTCTGGTACATCGCGAAGTATGCTGAAACCACTTTAACGAGAAATTTGTTGCAAAGTCGCAATTTTCACAAACGTAGTTTTCGATAACCAAGTCCAGACTTGATGAATCGTCTCCTGATTCTTGCTTAAAGCCGTGGTTAGTGTCGATGTGTTGTTTGAACAGAATCGTGAGATCAGTTTTAAAGTTGCAGTCTTTGCAGTAATAAGGTTCAATTTTGGCGTTTTCGCATTTAAATTTTTGGGGAGATGAGCGGTGTTGTCTGACGTGGTTGAACATAAGAAAAAGCGTTGTGGTAAAATAGGGGCATTGTTTACAGTTGTGGACGTTTTTCCGGGAAGATCTTCCATAGGTTGAGAGTGCTTCGGAGTATTCCAAAGTTGACATTTCAGCCACCTAAAACCGTTTTATCACACTACTGAATAATGTTGGAGATTTTCTTACCCAAAACTTACGGCACAGTTAAAACTATTACTAATTTTCAAACAGAAATTATTTAAATATTTGTTCTAACAAACTTGCAACGTTTTCACTGTACATAACCTCAATTTTTTGTGCACTAGAGTATATCTGGTTGCCTATCTAGCAATTTCATTTAGAAATTTGTTTACAAACCTGTAACATTTCTAACCTCAAAAATTGTACCAACCAGTGACATTACAAAAACGTGGAGGGTCAACATTATCAGTTTTGTCGACATAAAAAAAAAAAACGTCCTGGATTCTTTTTCTTTAAAATTTTAATCAAAAGATAGCCACAAAATATAAATCATGTAAAACAAAGCGCTGACACCAATCCCTAACCCTACTGCACCAAATTTAAACCAAACTTATGCTTCTTCCTGTGTTTGGTCAAAGACGACCTATTCTTAATCTTGTACGGACAGTACTCACACTGGTACCATCTAGCTTCCGACTCATCCAAATGGTGGTTATTGATGTGACACTTCAACCCACCGCTGCGTTTCGCCGTATACGGACAAAACTCGCACTGATACGCACTAACCTCCACATGAACTTTCAAGTGCTTCTTTAAATTATACTTCGTTCGATTTCTATACGAGCACTGCGTGCATTCAAACCACTGCTCATTCTCTGCATGATTAACATTCACGTGCTTCCTCAAATTCGAGCTAAACGTAGTTCTATAAGGGCACTTCTCACACTCGTACCACTTGACGTCTTTCTCGTCCGTGTGCTGACAAATCATGTGATTTTTCAAATACGACGCCTGTCTAGTTTTAAACGGGCAATTCTCACAGTGATACCACTTGATGTTTTCTTCAACCGGGTGTTTAGCGTCTAGGTGCGTTTTCAAAGACGTTTTGTACCTAGTTTTAAACGGACACTTTTTGCATTCGTACCAGTTGACCTCTTCTTCGTTCAAGTGAAAAAAACTTATATGTCTTTTGAAGCTATTCTTGAATTTGGTTCTAAACTTACACTTTTCACAGGCGTACCATTCGATGTCTTGTTCGGCTAAATGGACGCGTTTTGTGTGCATTCTTAGCGCCGCTTTCCATTTAGTTTTGTATGAACACTTGTCACAAGGATATAGTTTAACCAATTTGTCTTTTACATAATCTCCGAGTATCGATTGGATCGTAATAGTTTCCTTCAAAGCGGCGTAGTCTTTCACAGGACTCACACTTGGAAGATTTTCTTTCGTGCAACTTAAAGTGTGCTGAAGCCACTTTAGCGAGAAATTTGTTTCAAAGTGGCACTTGTCGCAAACGTACTTTTGTACGTGGAAGTCCCCCAAATCGGTTCCAAACTCTCTTTTAATTCCGTGATTTTTGTTAATGTGTTGTTTGAACAAAATCCGTAATTCGGTTTTAAAATCGCAACTGTTGCAGTAATATAGTTCGACTTCGACGTTCCCGCAAGCGAAAAATGACGTAGTAAAGTAGGGTAAGAGTTTGCAGTTGTTGGCTTCGTTCCATGATGAAGTTCCCCATGCTCCAGGAGCTTCAGAGTATTCGAAAGTTGACATTTTTCTAAAAAAATTAATGAAGTTGACCTACTGACATTAATCGTTATTGGGGGGCTTCACACTCTATTTTGGACTTTTAATTACGTTACGAGGTCTACTCTACTTTTATCGCTTCATCGTCCACAAATTATTACAAATTTCTTCATAAATCTGAAACATGTCGGGTCAACATAACCTCAAAAATTGACAAAGAACAGGTGTGCTCATTGGGCATTCCACGTTACTTACGTGTATTATTATTACATTTAAGCACTGTATTTTCACAAAAAATAAAGCGTAGCACGTATTTACTACTGTTATTACTAAAACAACAGTGTAAAGATCGTGTTTGTGCATTGACAAAACGTGACGTGATAGGCAACCAACTATACACATCCACACTTTATTTAACAGAAAAAATCTACACATGTATTTTTTTTGTGTGTTTATACAAAGACGCTCTGTTTTTACTTCTATAAGGACAGCGTTCGCACTCGAACCATGTAACATACGCTCCATCCAAATGGTGGTTATTTATGTGCCGCTTCAAGTACTCGTTGTGTTTCGCCTTATATGGACAAAATTCGCACTGAAACGACTTTACCTCCAAATGGACCCTTACATGGCTTTTTAAACTATTTTTCGTTCTACCTTTATACGAACAATTCGCACACTCATACCATTCTGGTCGTTTCGAGTGATTACGATTCGTGTGCTTCTTCAAATTTTCAAGAAGCTTAGTTTTGAAAGAACACTCTTCGCATTCGTGCCACTGAACTTCATTATCATCCAAGTGTCGCGAAATTACGTGGTTTTTTAAATCCCACGCCCGTTTAGTCTTAAACGGGCAATTTTTACATTCGTACCATTTAATTTTTTCTTCAGGTAGATGTTTCGCGTTTATGTGTGTCTTCAAAGACGTTTCATACTTGGTTTTGAATGGACACTCACCGCATTCGTACCATTTAACCTCGTGAAATACCTTTATATGTTTGTTTAGAGTGTTTTTTAACCGGGTTTTAAACCGACACTTTTCACATGCATGCCATTCAGCGTCGTGTTCTTTCAAATGGTGAAGGTTTATATGGGTTTTTAAACCCGATTTACGTGTGGTTTTGAATTGACACTGGTCGCATTTAAACCATTTACCATCAGTTTCGCTTGAGTGGCGCTTGTTTAAGTGATCTTTTAAATAGCTTTCCAGTTTAGTGGTATACGGGCAATAGTTGCACTGGAGCGACTTAATATCTGAGTGGTGGGCGGTCACGTGCATTTTTAATTGACTTTTTCGTTTACTTTTATAACAACAGCTGACACATTCGTACCACTTAACTTCAGTTTCGTGCAAGTGTTTGGAAGTTACGTGACTTTTTAAACTCGACGGTAGTTTAGTCTTGAAGGGGCAATTTTCACATTTGTGCCACTTGATTCGTTCTTCGTCTACATGTTTCACAGTTACGTGCGCATTTAACGATGTTTTATATCTAGTTCTGAAGGGACAGTGTCTGCACTGGTGCCACTTAGCTTCTTGTTCGTTCAAGTGCAAGTAGTTTATGTGGTTTCTTAAGTAACTTTTGGCTCTAGTTTTGAAAGGACACTTGTCGCACTTGTGCCATTCACTTTCTTGTTCAGCTAAATGAGTTTGATTCACGTGGATTCGTAACGCTTGTTTATATCTACTTTTATATGGACAGTTGGAGCATTCGTAGCGTTTTTTGGAGTGACAGTTTGCGATGTGTCGTTGTAAATATTTTTTGAGGTTAGTTTTGTAGGAGCACTGCACGCAGAAATGCTCTTTTGGAAATCTCAGACTTTGAAGATCTCTGGGTTCTGGTTTAAAACCATGATTTTTGTTAATGTGTTGTTTGAACTCAATCGTTAGGTCTGTTTTAAAATCGCAGTCTTTGCAGAAATAAGGTTCAATTGTGGCGTTTGAGCACCTAAATTGTTCCAGACTTGGTCGGTGGTGCCTCAAGTGGTTCACCATAAAAAAGGGCGAAGTTGTAAAATAGGGACACAGTTGGCAGTTGTGGATGTTTTTCCATGGATAGTCTAAGGGTGACATTTCGGCCCCCTAAAACAGTTTTATCACACTAAGAAAGAATATTTTGTTACCCCAACCTCGAAAACCACATTCAACCTAACCTCAATTCAAAATCCCATAGACATTGTTTCCGCTTGAGACGTCTTTTAATTTTTGAACAGATAAAACACCAGAAGTTTAAATATTCAAAATTTTATTGAAATAAATTAACCTACAGATGCATTTTTTTGTGTGTGTAATAAGACGACTGATTTTTATTTTTGTACGAACAGTGATCACATTTATACCATACTACATCGGCCCCAACCAAATGTTTGCAGTTCACATGGCGCCTTAAATCACCGCTGCGCTTCGCCTTGTATGAACAATACTCACACTGATGCGACTTGATCTCCAGATGGACCTTCACGTGCTTTTTGAACCGAATTTTACTGTTACTTTTATACGAACAATTGTCACATTCGTACCATTCTGGTTTTTTTCGATGCCGAAGATCTATGTGTCTTTTTAAATTGGCTTTCTGTTTGGCTCTGAAAGGACACTCCGCGCATTCGTACCACTTAATCTTGTCTTCATCCAAATGCCGAGAAACCACGTGACGTTTTAAATGCGACGAGGTCTTACTTTTGAATTGGCAATCCACGCATTCGTAACACTTAATCGTTTTTCCGTTTGAGTGTTGAGTAACCTCGTGTGTCTTCAAAGAACTGCTGTACCTAGTTTTGAACGGACACTGGTTGCATTCGTACCATTTAACACGGTTTCCGTCTGAATGTCGATAGTTTATGTGATCTTTTAAGTAGTTTTCCAGTTTAGTTTGAAATGGGCAATATTTACACTGAAACGATTTGGTGTCTAAATGGTGGACGGTGATATGCGCTTTTAACAGATCTTTTCTTTTATTTTTATACGGACATTTGGGACATTTGTACCTCTTGACTTCGTCTTCATTCCCGTGCACGTTATTTAAGTGTTTATTTAAATTACTTTTGGATCTAGTTTTAAAAGCGCATTTGTCGCACCGGTGCCATTCGGCGTTTTCAGCATCTAGATGGATCATGTTAATGTGGATTCTTAAGGCTGTTTTACCTGAACATTTGTACGGACACTGGTTGCACGCGTGCCGCTTTTTACGTTTGAATTTGGCTTTAGTTTTGGTTTTCTGTCCTGTGCACGCTGAAGTGTGTTGGCGCCACTTTATCAAGAAATTAGTTTCGAAGTCGCATTTGTCGCAAACGTAGGTCCTGATGTGGAAATCGTCGCCTGGGAAATCGTCTCTGAATACGTGTTTATTGGTGTGTTGTCTGAACAGAATCGTTAATTCTGTTTTAAAATCGCAGTTTTTGCAGTAAAATAGTTCAAGTTTGGCGTCTCCGCAGACGAATTTGTGTTTCCTTCGATACATATCTCGTTCGGGGAATTCCAAAATAGATTTTGGTGCCTAAAACCGCCTTATTATTATTTAAAGGAAGCAAATGCAGCTTTGGTTACCTAAATTCCGTCGAGGCAGTTCTAACCTCACATTTTAACCTCAAAAATGACGTTTCGATTTTTTTTTAAATAACACAGGAGTAGTTTAGGTGATGATTAGTGCTTGAATATTCTTGTTCCAGCCAAAACGAACTAAAATTATACCAGACGTAAATCGTTCTTCGCCGGAAATAACAACAATTATAATAAAGTGAGGTTAGGGATCATACAATTTTATTAAGACTAAAACCCTACTTATACACAACTTACACATGAGTTTTTTTGTGTTTATACAAAGACGCCTTGTTTTTATTTTTGAAGGGACAGTGTTCGCACTGGTACCACTTGACTTCGTCTCCAACCAAGTGTCGACAGTTCAGATGACGCTTCAAACCCTCGCTGCGTTTCGCCTTATACGGACAATACTCACACTGATACAACCTGACTTCCAAATGCACCTTTAAATGTCTTTTCAAATTCACTTTTATCGTACTTTTATATGGACACTTGGCACACTCAAACAACTCTGGTTTTTCTAAATGGTTAAGATTTATGTGTCGGTTTAAATTAATCCTGTGTTTGGTTTTGAAAGGGCACTCTTCGCATTCGTACCACTCGATTTCTTTCTCGTCTAAATGCAACGAAATCGAGTGTCTTTTGAAAATCGACAACCATTTAGTTTTAAACGGGCACTTGTCGCACTCGTACCACTTGATTTTTTCCTCGTCTAGATGTTTCGCAGTCACGTGTAAGTTTAACGAGTTTTTGTGTTTAGTTCTAAACGGGCAGTCGTTGCATTCGTACCATTTAACATCCTCGCCTTTCAAGTGTAAGCAATTGATGTGTTTTTTTAGGCTCATTTTCTGTTGGGTTTTAAACGGACAGTGTTCACACTTGTGCCACTTGCTTTTCTTTCCAGTCATGATTTTGTTCAAATACAGGTTCATTTTTTCGGTGTGAGGTATATACTTGTACAAGTACGACTGGATATCCAAATGGACTTTAACGTGACTTTCTAAATGACTTTCACTGTCACTTTTATACGAACAATACTCACATTTGTACCGTTTTATTTGTTTCGGGTGTTTAACATTCACGTGTTTGTTTAGACTTACGTGACACTTGGTTATGAAAGGACAGTCTTCACATTCGTACCACTTGATTTCTTCCTTGTTTAGATGTCGCGCGACGACGTGTTTTTTCAAATGCGCCATCCGTTTCGTCTTGAATGGGCAATTGTTGCATTCGAACCACTTAATTTTCTCCGCCTCTAAGTGTTTCGTGAGGATGTGTCTCTTAAAAGACGCTTTGTTCGTGGTTTTGAACGGACAATGTTCGCATTCGTAGCACTTAACGTGGCGATTTGAATTGCGTTCCGATTTGGTTTCAACACAAGCATCTTGTTTCATGTGCCGCTTTAAATTGTTGTTGAATTTCGCCCTGTATGAGCAATTCGGACAGTAAAACCAACCTTTTCCGTTGGCTTGCTTGAAGCGATTTTCGTTCGAGCATGCTGAAGTATGCTGAAGCCACTTTAGTGAGAGATTTGTGTCGAAGTTACAGTTGTCGCAAACGTAGTTTTGTATGTGGAAGTCGTTGGGTTTTGTTTTCAGGTGATGTTTATCGATGTGTTGTTTGAACACAATTGTTAGTTCGGTTTTAAAGTCGCAGTTTTTGCAGTGGAAGGGTTCGATTTTGGCGTTCGAACAGGTGAATTTTTCCGGGGGCGACCGGTGTTGTCTCACGTGGTTCACCATGAAGAAGAGGGAAGTTGTGAAGTAGGGGCATAGTTTGCAAGTGTGGACGTTTTTCCACGAGGATTTTCCACGTGTTGAGAATGTTTCGCGATATTCCAAGGTGGACATTAGGGGCGCCTGAAATTGTCGTGTTACATTAGGGACTAAGTATGAATTGTGTGAGTTTTCTTGCCTAAATTTCGCACTAGATCGACTAGAACTAGGAGTTTGGCACTCCTAACCTCACAATTGTGCAACTGCACGAAATTAATAAACAGGTAGGCTCATTGTCAAATTTGGTTATGACGTTAAAAAAAATACACCTTTATTAAAGTTATTACACAGGTTAATGCTACTACATTAAACAAAATTAAATCCTATACATGTTTTCTTTTGTGCTTCCATAAAGATGATGAATTTTTAACTCTATACGAACATTGGTCGCATTTGTACCACGTAACATCCGCTCCATCCAAATGGTGGATATTTATATGCTGCTTTAAACGATTTTTGCGTTTCGCCTTATATGGACAATATTCGCACTGAAATGATTTGATATCCGAGTGGTGAACACTGATATGCGTTTTCAATACATCTGTTAGTTTACATTTATACGAACAGCTCGCACATTCGTACCACTTAACTTCTTCTTCACCCAAATGTTGACAAATCACGTGAGATTTTAAACCCCAGCTGTATTTAGTTTTGAACGGGCACTTTTCGCATTCGTACCATTTAACGTCTTCTGCCCGCGAGTGTAAGCGACGCATGTGGGTTTTTAAATACCCTTTTGCTTTAGTTTTGAAAGGACATTTTTCGCACTGCTGCCATTGAGCGTCCTGGTCACATTTGTACCACTTACAACCGGAACGGTGGTTGTCCATGTGTTTCTTTAAGTGACTTTCTACCTTAACCCTACATGGACATGATTCGGATTCGATATCTTTATGGCGAGTCATATGCTGTTTCAAATGATCTTTCCTTTTACTTTTATACGAACAGTTGGGACATTCGTACCACGTAACTTCTTCTTCACTTAAATGTTGACTAATAACGTGATGTTTTAAAGCCGAGCGGTGTTTGGTTTTGAACGGACATTTGTCGCATTGGTGCCATTTAACCTTTTCTTCCTCTACGTGTTTCACAAGGAAGTGGCTGTTTAAAGATCCCTTATGTTTAGATTTAAATGGACACTCCGTGCATTGGTGCCATTTAACGTCTTCCGCCCGCGAGTGTAAGTTATTCATGTGGTTTCTTAAACTTTTTTTGAATTTGGTTTTGAAAGGGCATTTTTGGCACTTGTACCATTCACCGTCTTTTTCATAGGTGATATTCTGGCTCAAACGATTTTCTTTCCTTTCTGTGCATGCAGAAGTATGTTGAAGCAAATTTATCAAGGAATTTGTTTGGAAGGCGCATTTTTCGCAAACGTAGTTTCGTATGCTGAAGTTCTCACTTGTCAAATCTTCTCTAGATTCGCTCTTAAGGCCGTGATGTTTGTTAATGTGTTGTTTGAACAGAATCGTTAGTTCCGTTTTAAAGTCGCAGTCTTTGCAATAATATACTTCGATTTTGGCTTCAGAGCATGTAAATTTTTCCAGAGATGAGCGATGTCGTCGCACGTGGTTCACCATACACACAACTGATGTCGTAAAATAGGGGCACAGTTTACAGTTGTGGACGTTTTTCCACGAAGATCTTCCCCGTGCAACGAGTGCTTTCGAATATTCCAAAATCGACATTGTGGCCACCTAAAATCGTTTTATTACACTACGGAAGCAATTGCAATGTTAGTTACCTTTTAAATCTTGTTAAAGTACAATTATCCTCGTGTTAAGTCTATATTTTAAAACGACACAATTCTAACCTAAGATTTTTATGTCACCAAAGATATTGAATAGATAGAGCTGTCGTTACACAGCATATATTAATTTCCGTACAGGTGCCGACCAATCACAACAAAGTACATCGGCGCTAAATTCAAACTGGCGCAAAGTCGAATATCATTGCTTTCATCTGAGTGGTCTGAGCATTTTTGAAGTTTTTAGCTTTTCGATTTAGGATTTCTCAGTTTCTCGATTTTTGTTTCGTCAGTTTTTCAGGTTTCAATGTTATAATTTTTAGATTTGACAGTTTCTTTTTTTATTTTTCAACTGTTGATTTTTTTGTTATCCGATTTTTTAATTTCGGTATTTCAAATTTTTTTCGTTGCTCAATGTTTCGTTTTTTTTTTCAATTTTTCAGTTATTGATTTTTTAATTTTACAGTGTTTCGATGTTTATTATGACATTTTTGGAATTTTCAGTTTAAATTTTTTGTATTTTTCGTTTTTTTAGTGTCTAGATATTTTTAATTAATCAGTTTTTCGATTTTAGTTTCTTTTTTAAATTTTTCGAATTTTTCAATTATCGAAGTTTTCAGTTTCTCAAGTTTTAAGATTACAATTTTTAAATTTCTCCGTGTTTCAAGTTTTGTTTTTTCTAGTTTTGATTTTCAATTTTGCAATTGTTAGATTTTTCTATTTTTTTTTAATTTCATTCTTTCATTTTTAAGGTTGCAGTTTGTCCTTTTCCAATTGTTGACCTCTTAATTATTCGATTTTGAGTTTTTTTATTTTTCGAGTTTTCAGTTTTTAGTTTTTTGATTTATCAATTTTCAGTTTTACAATTTTTCGATGTTTCGGTGTTACAGTTTTCCGATTTTTTGTTTTCTTTTTAAATTTCAGTTTTAATAAATTGGCTCTTTGTTGAAAAATTAAAAAACGATAAATTGGGAAAACGAAATATTAAAAATAAATTACTTCCAAGTAATTAATTTGTTTTACAATTTTTCCGTGTTTCGTTTTTACATTTTTCGATATTACAATTTTTTTATTTTTCCATGTTTCGTTTTTACAATTCCTTATTTTTTTAGTTTTCCGGTTTTCATTTTAAAATTTTTGGATTTATAAATTATTTTTTTTTGTATTTTTGATTATTTAATTTACAATTTTTCAATTTCTCGATTTTTAATTAATCAAAGTTTGCAGGTTTCAATATTACAATTTTTCGATTTTTCAATTATCCAATTCAATTTCTCAATTTTTCAATTTTTTGATATTTTAAGTTTCATTTTAAAATTTTTGGATTTCGAAATTATTTTTTTTTTTGAATTTTTGATATTATTTAATTTACAGAAATTTTTGTTTTTCGTTTTCTCAATTTTTCAATTTCTCCATTTTTAATTAATCAGGGTTTTCAGGTTTCTATATTACAATTTTTCGATTTTTCAATTGTTTTTTCAATTTTTCAGTGTTACAATTTTCCGGTTTTTTGATTTTTTAAAATTTCAGTTTTAATAAATTTGTCCTTTTGTTGAAAAATTAAAAAATGAAAAATTGAGAAAACGAAAAATTAAAAATAAATTACTTACCAAATTACTTTGTTTCGTCGATTTTTTGATTTCTCAATTCGAGATTTTTATATTTTTCGTTTTTTTAACTGATAATTTTTCGATTTTTCCGCGTTTCGTTTTTACATTTTTTAGTTTTTCGATTTTCATGATGAAAGTGTTGGATTTTTCAGTAAAATTTTTGTATTTTCGATTTTTTTATTTGTAGATATTTAATTTTTCGATTTTCTATCTCTTGAATTTTACAATTTTTCGTTTTTACGATTTTTCAATTCTTCGATTTTTAATTTGTCTCTATTTCAGGTTTCAATGTTACAAATTTTCGATTTTACAGTTTCTTCTTTTTCTCGGTTGATTTTCAAGTTTTCATTTCTTCAATTTTTCCATTTTTAATTTTTTTTTTTCAAATTTATAATTTTGTAATTGTTTCATTTTTAAATTTGCCGATTTGTAATTTTTCACTTTTTTCAAATAATTATTAGGGTTTTTATTATTCAATTGTACAATTCTTGGCTTTTCGATAATCCGATTTTTCAGTTTCTGTATTTTTTCAATTCTTCGATTTCTCAACTTCTAAATTTTTAGGTTTTTCAGTATTTCGTTTTTTCGATGTTACAGTTTTTTTAATTTTTCCATGTTTCGTTTTTATGATTTATTAATTTTTTAGTTTCCCGGTTTTCATTTTAAAATTTTTGGATTTCGAAATTCAAAATTTTTAATTTATAGAAGTTTTTGTTTTTCGGTTTTTCAATTTTTCAATTTCTCGATTTTTAATTAATCAAGGTTTGGAGGTTTCAATATCACAATTTTTGGATTTTTCAATTGTTTTTTCAATTATCCCATTGTTCAATTTCTGAATTTTTTCATTTTGGATTTTTCAATTTTTAAATTTTCGATATTTCAAGTTCAGTTTTTAAGTCTAATTTTGTCGGTTTTTTCAAGTTTTCTTTATTTTTTCAATTCTTCAATTTCTCAATTTTTGATTTTTAAATTCAGTTCTAAATTTCGGTTTGAAAAATTTGATATCGAAAAATTGCAGAATTGCTTCGTTTTATCGATTTTTCTATTTTTCGATTTTTAATTAATCAGGGTTTTCAGGTTTCAATATTACAATTTTTCGATTTTTCAATTATCCAATTCAATTTCTCAATTTTTCAATTTTTTGATATTTTAAGTTTCATTTTAAAATCTTCGGATTTTCAAATTAAATTTTTTTGTATTTTTGATATTATTTAATTTAGAGAAATTTTTGTTTTCCGTTTTCTCAATTTTTCAATTTCGCCATTTTTTATTAATCAGGGTTTTCAGGTTTCTATATTACAATTTTTCGATTTTTCAATTGTTTTTTCAATTTTTCAGTGCTACAATTTTCCGATTTTTTGATTTTTTAGAATTTCAGTTTTAATAAATTTGTCCTTGTGTTGAAAAATTAAAAAATGAAAAATTGAGAAAACGAAAAATTAAAAATAAATTACTTACCAAATTACTTTGTTTCGTCGATTTTTTGATTTCTCAATTCGAGATTTTTATATTTTTCGTTTTTTTAACTGATAATTTTTCGATTTTTCCGCGTTTCGTTTTTACATTTTTTAGTTTTTCGATTTTCATGATGAAAGTGTTGGATTTTTCAGTAAAATTTTTGTATTTTCGATTTTTTTATTTGTAGATATTTAATTTTTCGATTTTCTATCTCTTGAATTTTACAATTTTTCGTTTTTACGATTTTTCAATTCTTCGATTTTTAATTTGTCTCTATTTCAGGTTTCAATGTTACAAATTTTCGATTTTACAGTTTCTTCTTTTTCTCGGTTGATTTTCAAGTTTTCATTTCTTCAATTTTTCCATTTTTATTTTTTTTTTTTTTCAAATTTATAATTTTCTAATTGTGTCATTTTTAAATTTGCCGATTTGAAATTTTTCACTTTTTTCAAATAATTATTAGGGATTTTATTATTCAATTATACAATTCTTGGCTTTTCCATAATTCGATTTTTCAGTTTCTGTATTTTTTCAATTCTTCGATTTCTCAACTTCTAAATTTTTCGGTTTTTCAGTGTTTCGTTTTTTCGATGTTACAATTTTTTAATTTTTCCATGTTTCGTTTTTACAATTTCTTAATTTTTTAGTTTTCCGGTTTTCATTTTAAAATTTTTGGATTTCGAAATTCAAAATTTTTGTATTTTTGTTTTTGATCATTTAACTTATAGAAGTTTTTGTTTTTCGTTTTTTCAATTTTTCAATTTCTCGATTTTTAATTAATCAAGGTTTGCAGGTTTCAAATTGACAATTTTTGGATTTTTCAATTGTTTTTTCAATTATCCCGTTGTTCAATTTCTCAATTTTTTCATTTTGGATTTTTCAATTTTTAAATTTTTCGATATTTCAAGCTTCATTTTTCAGTTTTTAAGTCTAATTTTTTCGGTTTTTTCAAGTTTTCTTTATTTTTTCAATTCTTCGATTTCTCAATTTTTGATTTTTCAATTCAGTTCAAAATTTCGGTTTGAAAAATTTGATATCGAAAAATTGCAGAATTGCTTTGTTTTGTCGATTTTTCTGTTTTTAATTAATCCGGGTTTTCAGGTTTCAATATTACAATTTTTCGATTTTTCAATTATCCAATTCAATTTCTCAATTTTTAAATTTTTTGATATTTTAAGTTTCATTTTAAAATCTTCGGATTTTCAAATTAAATTTTTTTGTATTTTTGATATTATTTAATTTACAGAAATGTTTGTTTTCCGTTTTCTCAATTTTTCAATTTCTCCATTTTTTATTAATCAGGGTTTTCAGGTTTCTATATTACAATTTTTCGATTTTTCAATTGTTTTTTCAATTTTTCAGTGTTACAATTTTCCGATTTTTTGATTTTTTTAAATTTCAGTTTTTAATAAATTTGTCCTTGTGTTGAAAAATTAAAAAATGAAAAATTGAGAAAATGAAAAATTAAAAATAAATTACTTACCAAATTACTTTGTTTCGTCGATTTTTTGATTTCTCAATTCGAGATTTTTATATTTTTCGTTTTTTTAACTGATAATTTTTCGATTTTTCCGCGTTTTGTTTTTACATTTTTTAGTTTTTCGATTTTCATGATGGAAGTGTTAGCTTTTTCAGTAAAATTTTTGTATTTTCGATTTTTTTATTTGTAGATATTTTAGTTTTTCGATTTTCTATCTCTTGATTTTTCCAAATCTTGGTTTTTTCGATTTTTCAAATTCCTCGATTTTTTATTTGTCTCTTTTTCAGGTTTCAATGTTACAAATTTTCGATTTTACACTTTCTTCTTTTTCTTGGTTGATTTTCAAGTTTTCATTTCTTCAATTTTTCCATTTTTATTTTTTTTTTTTTTCAAATTTATAATTTTCTAATTGTGTCATTTTTAAATTTGCCGATTTGAAATTTTTCACTTTTTTCAAATAATTATTAGGGATTTTATTATTCAATTATACAATTCTTGGCTTTTCCATAATTCGATTTTTCAGTTTCTGTATTTTTTCAATTCTTCGATTTCTCAACTTCTAAATTTTTCGGTTTTTCAGTGTTTCGTTTTTTCGATGTTACAATTTTTTAATTTTTCCATGTTTCGTTTTTACAATTTCTTAATTTTTTAGTTTTCCGGTTTTCATTTTAAAATTTTTGGATTTCGAAATTCAAAATTTTTGTATTTTTGTTTTTGATTATTTAACTTATAGAAGTTTTTGTTTTTCGTTTTTTCAATTTTTCAATTTCTCGATTTTTAATTAATCAAGGTTTGCAGGTTTCAAATTGACAATTTTTGGATTTTTCAATTGTTTTTTCAATTATCCCGTTGTTCAATTTCTCAATTTTTTCATTTTGGATTTTTCAATTTTTAAATTTTTCGATATTTCAAGCTTCATTTTTCAGTTTTTAAGTCTAATTTTTTCGGTTTTTTCAAGTTTTCTTTATTTTTTCAATTCTTCGATTTCTCAATTTTTGATTTTTCAATTCAGTTCAAAATTTCGGTTTGAAAAATTTGATATCGAAAAACTGCAGAATTGCTTTGTTTTGTCGATTTTTCTATTTTTAATTAATCAGGGTTTTCAGGTTTCAATATTACAATTTTTCGATTTTTCAATTATCCAATTCAATTTCTCAATTTTTCAATTTTTTGATATTTTAAGTTTCATTTTAAAATCTTTGGATTTTCAAATTAATATTTTTTTTATTTTTGATATTATTTAATTTACAGAAATTTTTGTTTTTCGTTTTTTCAATTTTTCAATTTCTCCATTTTTAATTAATCAGGGTTTTCAGGTTTCTATATTAGAATTTTTCGATTTTTCAATTGTTTTTTCGATTTTTCAGTGTTACAATTTTCCGATTTTTTGATTTTTTAAAATTTCAGTTTTAATAAATTTGTCCTTTTGTTGAAAAATTAAAAAACGAAAAATTACGAAAATGAAAAATTAAAAATAAATTACTTCCTAGTAGGTAATACCAAATTATTTTGTTTCGTCGATTTTTTGATTACTCAATTCGAGATTTTTATATTTTTGGTTTTTTTAATTGATAATTTTTCGATTTTTCCGCGTTTCGTTTTTAAATTTTTCGATTTTCATTATGAAAGTGTTGGATTTTTCAGTAAAATTTTTGTATTTTCGATTTTATCATTTGTAGATATTTTAATTTTTCGATTTTCTATCTCTTGAATTTTACGATTTTTCGTTTTTTCGATTTTTCAATTCCTCGATTTTTAATTTATCTCTTTTTCAGGTTTCAATGTTACAAATTTTCGATTTTACAGTTTCTTCTTTTTTTCGGTTGATTTTCAAATTTTCATTTCTTCAATTTTTCCATTTTTAATTTTTTTTTTCAAATTTATAATTTTGTAATTGTTTCATTTTTAAATTTGCCGATTTGTAATTTTTCACTTTTTTCAATTAATTATTAGGGATTTTATTATTCACTTGTACAATTCTTCGCTTTTCCATAATCCGATTTTTCAGTTTCTGTATTTTTTCAATTCTTCGATTTCTCAACTTCTAAATTTTTCGGTTTTTCAGTGTTTCGTTTTTTCGATGTTACAATCTTTTTATTTTTCCATGTTTCGTTTTTATAATTTATTAATTCTTTAGTTTTCCCGTTTTCATTTTAAAATTTTTGGATTTCGAAATTCAAAATTTTTGTATTTTTGATTATTTAATTTATAGAAGTTTTTGTTTTTCGTTTTTCCAATTTTTCAATTTCTCGATTTTTAATTAATCAAGGTTTGCAGGTTACAATATCACAATTTTTGGATTTTTCAATTGTTTTTTCAATTATCCCATTGTTCAATTTCTCAATTTTTTCATTCTGGATTTTTCAATTTTTAAATTTTTCGATATTTCAAGTTTCATTTTTCAGTTTTTAAGTCTAATTTTTTCAGTTTTTTCAAGTTTTCTTTATTTTTTCAATTCAAAATTTCGGTTTGGAAAATTTGATATCGAAAAATTGCAGAATTGCTTCGTTTCGTCGATTTTTCTATTTTTCGATCTTTAGTTATTCAGGGTTTTGAGGTTTTACTGTTACAGTTTTTCGATTTTTCAATAATCCAATTCAATTTCTCAATTTTTCAATTTTTTGATATTTCAAGTTTCATTTTTAAATTTTTGGATTTTCCAATTAAAAATTTTTGTATTTTTGATATTATTTAATTTACAGAAATTTTTGTTTTTCAATTTTTCAATTTCTCCAAGAAAATGAAAAATTAAAAATAAATTACTTCCAAGTAGGTGATACCAAATTATTTCGTTTCGTCGAGTTTTTGATTTCCCAATTCGAGATTTTTATATTTTTCGTTTTTTTAATTGATAATTTTTCGATTTTTCCGCATTCCGTTTTTACATTTTTCGATTTCTCCATTTTTTAGTTTTTTGATTTTCATTATGAAAGTGTTGGATTTTTCTGTAAAATTTTTGTATTTTCGATTTTTTCATTTCATTTTAATCAGGATTTTCAGGTGTCAATATTACAAATTTTCAATTTTTCAATTATCCACTTGTTTAATTCCCCATTTTTTTTTCATTTTCCGATTTTCCAATTTTAAAATTTTTCGATCTTCCAAGTTTCATTTTTAAATTCTATACTTTTTAGACGTTTCAATGTTACACCTTTATAACTGTCAGTTCAAATATATTTTTTATTGACGATGCACATCCTGACCGATATAAGATCTATGATTCAATTGACATGTAAAAGCTGCGTTGCCAAACTTAGTGCTAATCATAGAGGAAAGAATGCGTAATTAAATTCCAGTTCTTTTTTCGAAAATTTTATTAAAACGGCAGTCACAAACTATAAATACCTAAAAAACTGTCCTAACACAAATATTTTACAACATAAACTAATTTAAATGGGCCTTCACGTGCTTCTTCAACAGAATTTTACTATTACTTTTATATGAACAGTTCGCACATTCATACCGTCCCGGTTTTTCCGGATGATACAAATTCACGTGCTTCTTCAAATTCGAGTTCTGTTTGGCTCTGAAAGGACACTCTCCGCATTCGTACCACTTGACTTTCTCATCATCCAAGTGTCGACAAACGACGTGACGTTTCAAATGCGACGAGTTCTTAGTTTTAAACTGACAATTCCCGCATTCGTACCACTTAATCGTCGTCACGTCTGAATGTGTTGTAATTGTGTGTGTCTTCAAAGAACTGCTGTACCTAGTTTTAAACGGACACTGATTACATTCGTACCATTTAACATCGGTTCCGTTTGAATGTCGGTTGTTCGTGTGATCTCTCAAGTAACTTTCCAGTTTAGTTTTGTATGGGCAATATTTACACTGAAACGATTTGGTGTCTAAATGGTGGACAGTTATATGCGTTTTTAGTCGATCTTTTCTTTTATTTTTATACGAACAGTGGGAACATTCGTACCACTTAACTTCTTCTTCGTTTAAGTGTTGCGAAATTACGTGATTTTTTAAACTCGTTGCATGTTTAGTCTTGAACGGGCAATTTTTACATTCGTACCATTTAATTATTTGTTCGTGTCGATGTTGCCGCGTCACGTGTCGCTTCAACGAGTCGTTGATTTTGGTTCTGAATGGACACTCGATGCAGTCGTACCATTTAACATCTTCGTCGTTCAAGTGGACGTTGTTTATGTGTCTTTTTAAGTTACTTTTTATCTTAGTTTTAAATGGGCATTTGTCGCATTCGTGCCACTCAGCGTCCGCATCGTCCAAATGGGTGTAATTTACGTGGACTTTTAAAGATCCTGTACTTGTACATTTGTATGAACACTGGTCACATGCATACCGTTTGTTCGATTGACGAAGACTCACAAGATTTTCCTTCTTCTGTGGACATGCTAAAGTATGGTGGAGCCACTTCAATGAGAAATTTGTTTCAAAGTCGCATTTTTCGCAAACGTAACTTTGTATGTGAAACTTCTCACTTGATAAATCGTCTCCAGGTTCTTTTTTAAGACCATGATATTCATCGACGTGTTGTTTGAACAAAACCGTCAGTTCCGTTTTAAAATCGCACTCTTTACAGTAAAATAACTCGATTTTGGCATTTTCGCAAGTTTCTTGTAGCAATCTAAACACAAATCAAAATATCAAAACAAAAACAACTTTCTAGACAGGTTTATCTTACAACTTTTTTCTTGTTTTCGAATAGCTAACCATGGGCACTTTTTGCCAGGGAATTGAACCCTTCTTCAGATATTTTTTCTTGGAATTTAAGGTACCTTAAACAAGACTTAACCTTACTTTTTTAATGTCACGAATATTTTCCCCGTTCCTCTAGTGCACAAGATAACCGCTAGGTGTCAGCCACTTTGCACGATTTTCCAAGAAAATGTCTGGAATGTGTCACTATTCCAAACTTGACATTTCGACTAAAGCAATTTCAGGTACATTGTAACATAACCTCAAAATACGTACGACCAACTACAGAACCAGAGAACATAGAGAAGCGTCATAGTTTAAATTAAATGACGGTTGAGGACTCCTCGACTTATGTTGGCAACAGTGTTCGTTTCTAACTAGGAATAAAATTAACTAGAAAAAATGTAATAATATTTTTAACGACGCGTTTTAGTTTCAACAAATTGACACTAGATTTACCAGAATATTACAAGCTGCTTACTGTTTCCTTCACTCTAATTCAGGTCACACGATTTAAAGTTCGTCGTCTGAGAACTTGTTTGATCTACAGACCAGAGCGCACTCAGGCCAATGTCGACTCTAAGCGTTCGGAAACGATTTGATTTATAAGCCACAATCTGTGACCTGATACACATCCTAAGTTATAATTTCTTGCTGTTTCAGCTTTCGAATTCTCAGTTTTTCGAAATTTTAGTTTGGGGACTTTTCAGTTTACTCCTATTTATTATTTGATTTTTAATTTCTCAATTTTTCAATTTCTCGGTTTTCAGTTTTTCTCTTCAATTTTACGATTTTTAAATATTTCGATTTTTCAAGTTTTGACTTTTATAAACTCTTTATTCGTCGATTTTTCAATTAATTGATTTTTCAGGTTTTTTGGTTTTTCAATTTTTCTATTTCTTCAGGTTTCGATTTTTCAACTTCACTTTTTTGATTTTTCGATTTCTCAATTTTTCAATTTTTTAATTTCTCAGTTTTTCGACATTTCAGTTTTAGGATTTTTCAGTTTACTTATTATTCAATTTTTCGATCTTACGATTTTGCAGATTTTTGATTTTTCAATTTTTCGATTCTTTAGATTCTCAGTTTTTGAATATTTCAGTATTGGGATTTTTCAGTTTTTCGATTCGTCAGTTTTTTTTTCATTTTTCAGTTTTTCGATATTTCAGTTTTGGGATTTTTCAATATTTCTGTTCTTCGACTTTTCCATTTTTGACTTCTGGATTTTACGATGTGTCGACTTTTTACTTTTTCGATTTTTAAATTTTAAATTTCTCAATTTTTTTGTATTTTAATTTTTCAATATTTAAAATTTTAGATTTTTCTATTTCTCGATTTTTCATTTTAGCTCTTCCATATTTCAATTTTTCAAATGTTTCGATTTCTTAATCTTTCGATTTTTCGACTTTCCGGTTTTCGATTTTCTGTTTTTCAATTGTCGTTTTTTCAAATTTTCGATTTTTCAATTTTTCAAATTTGACATTTATAAACTGTTAATTTTTGGATTTTTCAATTAATCGATGTTTTGATTTTCCCATTTCTTGACTTTTGGGGGTTTCGATATTTCTGTTCAATTCTTTAATCTTTTGGTTTTTCAAATTTTAAGTTTAGCTTTTTTTTGAGTTTCCCGATTTTTCACCTTCTCGGTTTTTAATTTTTCGATTTTTTTTTTTTCAAATCTGGAATTGTCTCAATGTTTAAACTGTTCGATTTTTCAATTTCATTGTTTTTCAGGTTTTAGAATTTTCAATTTCTTGATTTTAAATTTTTCGTTTCAATTGTCGGGCTTTTCAATTTTAAATTTTCCAGTTTTTCAATTTTGAACTTTTGAATGTTGTCATTTATGATTTTTCAATGTTTCAAGTTTTGCAGTTTTCCGGCTTTTCAATTTTTCATGGGTTCAAATTTTGATTTTCCAATTTCTATAAATTTTAATTTTTCGATTTTTTCAATTTTTAGATTTTTAATTTTCACGATTTTTCGCTTTTTAGTTTTTCAATTTAAATTTTTTTGTTATTCAGTTTCTTGATTTTTAATTTTTTGTTTCAGTTGTTTAAATTTTTTAGTTTTTTATTTATGAACTTTTGAATCTTTCCATTTTAGATTTTTCAATATTTCAAGATTTGCAAGTTTCCAGTTTTTCAATTTTTCCATTTCTTAAATTTTTTGATTTTCCAGTTTATATATATTTTAATGTTTTTTTTAATATTTAGGCTAGTTTTTCGATTTTTAATTTTTGAATTTTTCGATTTTTTTATTTTTCAGTTTTTCAATATCTAAATTTTTTAATTCTTCCATGTTTCGATTTTTCACTTTCACGTTTTTTCAACTTTTAGATCTTCAGTTTTTCAAGCCTCGAGTTATTTCAATTTCCAAAATTTTCGATTTTTCAATTTCTGTATTTTTAATGTTCCTTTTTAATTGTTGGAATTTTTAATGTTAAATTTTTCCGTTTTTCAATTTTTGAATTTTTCCATTTCCATTTTTGACTTCTGGAATTTTCGATGTGTCGACTTTTTACTTTTTCGATTTTTAAATTTTAGATTTCTCAATTTTTTTGTATTTTAATTTTTCAATATTTAAAGTGATTTTTTTTATTTCTCATTTTAGCTCTTCCATATTTCAATTTTTCAAATCTTTCGATTTTTCGACTTTCCGGTTTTAGATTTTCTGTTTTTCAATTGTCGTTTTTTCAAATTTTCGATTTTTCAATTTTTCAAATTTGACATTTATAAACTGTTATTTTATTGATTTTTCAATCAATCGTTGTTTTGATTTTCCCATTTCTTGACTTTCGAGGGTTTCGATATTCCTGTTCAATTCTTTAAGTTTTCGATTTTTCAGGTTTTTGATTTTTCATTTTTTAGTTTTTTTTAAGGTTTCGATTTTTCTACTTCACTTTATGGATTTTTCGATTGCTCAATTTTTTGACTTTTTAGGTTCTCAGTTTTTGGATATTTCAGTTTTCGGATTTTTCAGGTTTTCCCATTTTTCAGTTTTTCTTTCATTTTTCAGTTTGTCGATATCTCAGTTTTGGGATTTTTCAATATTTTGATTCTTCGACTTTTCGGTTTTTGACTCCTGGGTTTTTCGATGTGTTGACTTTTTTACTTTTTCGATTTTTCAATTTTTGGATTTTTAAATTTTAGATTGTTCAATCTTTTGATATTTTAGTTTTTCAATATTTCTTAGTCTTTCGATTTTTCGACTTCCTGGTTTTAGATGTTCTGTTTTTCAATTTTTCGATTTGTTAATTTTTCATTCCCGATTTATCGAGATTTGATTGTTCAGGTTTTCGATTTATCAGTTTTTCAATTTTTTATTTTGGCCTATTTCGGTTTCTCATTTTTTCCAGTTTTCAATTTTTTCGTTTTTTTTATTTTTCCGCTTTTCCAATTTTTCAACTTTTAACTTTTTGTTTGTCGATTTCTCTATTTTTCAATTTTTCGACTTCATCACTTTTCGATTTCTCGTCTTTTTGATCATTCAATCTCTCAATTTTTCAATTTTTCGAATTTTAAGTTTTTTGATTTCTCGATTTATCGAAATTTGGATTTTCCGATATTTTGATTGTCAATTTATAAATTGTTCAATTTTTAACTTTTCTATTTTTCGATTTTGGCCTATTTCGGTTTCTCAATTCTTCGACTTTTCGACTCCATGATTTCTTGATCTTTTGATTTTTCGATTTCTCGGTTTTTTGATTTTCCAGTTTTTCGATGTTTCGATTTTTCAGTTATCCGACTTTTTAAATTTGGGAGTTTCGATTTCTCAATTTTTCGTTATTCGATTTTTAAATTTTAGATTTTTGAATTTCACATTTTTTGGATTTTCTGATGTTTCATTTTTCGATTTTTCAATGTTTCGGTTTTACGGTTTTTTAAGGTTTCGATTTTGCGATTATTTGATTTCTCGATTTCTCAAATTTTCGATTATTTTAATTTTTCATTTTTTTTTTCTCACTGTTAATATCATACAGTGTATCGAAAACAACCACAAAAATTGTCACTAAAAACATTCATACAAAATAGAACACAGCCTTTCCAAAACATTTTCCCGAAAAAAATCCATTGGGTTATTACGATTTCAACAATATTCTTAGTTTAAAACGTTTTGCTAGTATAAAACACAAATAAAGAATTAATTCTTAGTCAAACAAAATATGTAAAATCATCTAAATATGTACCAAAAATATTCACCTAGTCGTTATAAAAACCGACTAAACAACTATTTCCCGCAGAAATTATAGTCCAAACCAACCAAATCGCTTCTGAACGTTTAGAGTCGACATTGGCCTGAGCGCGTTCTGGTCTGTAGATCAAACAAGTTCTCAGGCGACAAGTTGTAGTGAAACAAGTTTTTTTATTCGCATCGACTATTTAAATTTGGCGCTTTCCTTTGACGGTTGAGGACTCCAATGTCAATAAGGGTGGTTTTGCAAAATCAGACTGTATGTCGCTTCTCTATGTTCTCTGACAGAACACTGAAAGTCGAAGAACAAACATGGAACAACAAACAGGTGGGCTCATGATGTCCACTAATAAAATACAATTTTTTTTTTCGAAATTTTAATGAAAATGATGACTTTTCACATGTTTTCTTAAATATGAACCCAATTTAGCTGTGTAGGGACAATATTTACACAAATACGATTTTATATCCGAATGGTGGATATTGATGTGTTGCTTCAAGTTGGCTTTTCTTTTATTTTGATACGAACACTGTGCACATTTATACCACTCCGAGCTTTTGGAATGACGAACATTCACGTGGGTCTTTAAATCCGTAATGAATTTGGTTTTGAAAGTGCACTCTTCACATTCGTGCCACTTGACTTCTCCTTCATCCAGGTGTTTACGAATAACATGGACTCTTAATCCCGATAAGCGCTTAGTTCTGAACGGGCAATTTTCGCATTCGTACCACTTAATTTCTCCTTCGTCTGAGTGTTTTGCAATAACGTGGGTCTGCACACATTTTTTATACCGAGTTTTGAATGGGCACTGGTTGCATTCGTACCATTTAACTTCAGTTCCGTCTGAATGGTGATACTTTAAATGATCTTTGAAATATCGCTCCAATTTAGCTTTATACGGACACTGTTTGCATTGATACTTGATATCTAAATGGTGGACACTTGTATGCAGTTTTAAATGATCTTTTTTTGTACTTTTATAAGAACAGTTGGCACATTCGTACCACTCAACTTCTTTTTCATCCAAATGTTGACTGATTGTGTGCTTTTTTAAACTCGACGCTCGTTTAGTTTTGAATGGGCACTTGTCACATTTGTACCATTTAACTTTTTCTTCGGCTAGATGTTTCGCAATTACGTGTGGCTTCAAAGAAGTTCGATACTTGGTTCTGAATGGGCACTGTGTGCATTCGTACCATTTAATATCTTCTTCGTTGGAGTGAAACCAATTTATGTGTCTTTTCAAGCTATATTTTAGTTTTGTTTTAAATTGACACTCTGCGCAGTCATACCAACCTATTTTGTCATTTTGGTTGAAGTCCCTGCACGATGAAACGTGTTGAAGCCACTTTAACGAAAAATTTGTTTCAAAATTGCAATTTTTGCAAACGTAGTTCAGTACACTAAAGTTGTCACTTGGTTCTTTTTTAAGAGCGTGATGTTTGAACAGAATCGTTAGTGACGTTTTAAAATCGCAGTCCTTACAGTAAAAGGGTTCAATTTTGGCATTTTCGCAATCGAATTTTTCCAAAGGGAGGCGGTGTCGTCTCGCGTGGTTCACCATAGGAAAAAGTGACGTAGTAAAATATGGACATAGCGTACAACTGTGGACACTTTTCTTTGCAGATAGTTTTCGAACTATAAATGTTGTCGGGAAGTCCAAAGTTGACATTTTGGTTGCCTAAAACCGGCTTAGTAAACAAAGGAAACAGATGCACTTTGGTTACCTAAATCCCTTTGTGGCACTGTTTCGCGTCCCAATTAAACCAGAAATAATAAATTTAGATCACTGATTGCTAATACATTATAGGTTAGGGCAGGGTTGCCAATCGTGAAAACAAATAACACTAGTTCTATTACGAAATTTCTTTTAATCCACAAAATAAAACATCGTTTTTTTTGTCCTTCCATCGAAATGACGGTTCTTCATATAACTTAAAGTTAAAACCGTTTTATCAAACTAGGGAATAACGCTGGCACTTTTCTTACCCTTTTTGTTTCTTCTTGACGCACCTAACCTAACATTTCAAGGTTTTCTGAAAACCTTAGTAATTTAGACACGTTTCAAGTTTCTTGTTGTTGAAGTAAGTCTACACATATTAAGAAAAAAAAGGGAAAATGTAGCCCCACCCACCCGCCCTATCATAATTGTGATGATTTTTTTATTCGTCGTGAGCCAAGGGGGCGGAGCTTAACTGCAAAAACCTTATTTCTCTACGAGAAATTAATAACATGTTTTTGACTATCGTATCAATGAATACTATATATATTAAGAAAAATTAAAGCCAAAAATTAAGCCCCACCCATACCTGCCCTGATCTAAATAGTAATGAAGTTTTCATTCGTTGGTAGACCTAGGGGCGGAGCCTAATTGCAAAATCCATATTTCCTTGCAAAAATGTACCATTGTATTATAATCATTCTTTAAGTTTCTTGTTGTGAAAAGATGGCTATGCATATTAAGAAAAACAAAGGTAAAATATAAGCCCCGCCCACCCACCCGTGTCTCAGTTGTGATGAATTTTTTATTCGTTGTCACATAGAGGGGCGGAGTTTAATTGCAAAATCAATATTTTTCCACAAAAACTTACCATTTTAGATGTTTTAAGTTTCTTGTTGTCGAAATAAGTCTACACATACTAATAAAAAAGGCAAAATGTAAGCCCGCCCACCCACCCTATCTCAATTGTAATGATTTTTTTTATTCGTCGTGAGTCAAGAGGGCGGAGCTTAACTGCAAAATCCTTATTTCTATTTCTACGGGAAATTAAAAACATGTTTTAGAGTATCGTGTTGTTCAAAGAATACAAGGTATATTAAAAAATAATAATAATAAAGCCAAAGGTTAAGCCCCACCCACACCTGCCCGGATCTAAATATGTAGTAATGAAGTTTTCATTCGTTGCCATTTTAAACGTGTTTTGAGTTTCTAAGAATAAAAAAATCATCACAAACGAGATGGGGTGGGTGGGCGGGGTTTATATTTTCCCTTTCTTTCTTAATATACCTAGTATTCTTTAAACAACACCATACTTAAAAACATCTTTTTAATTTCTCATAGAGGAGTTTGCAGTTACGCTCCGCCCCCTTGGCTCACGACGAATAAAAAAATCATCACAATCGAGATATGGTGGGTGGGCGGGGCTACATTTTGTCTTTTTTTTTTTCTTAATATGTGTAGACTTATTTCGATCACAAGAAAATTGTCTAAAATTGTAAATTTGTAATAATCAACTTAAATCCTCCACTTTTCTTCTACAATTCCTTTAAATACGACAAAAGTTGAACCTCAAAGTTACTATCAACGGCATGTTTTTGAGTATCATGTTGTTCAAAGAATGCTAAGTTTACTAAGAAAAACGGGCAAAATATAAACCCCGCCCACCCACCCAATCTTAATTGTGATGATTTTTTTATTCTTGAAAACTTGAAACACATTTAAAAAGGTAAATTTTTGTATGGAAATATGGATTTTGCAATTAGGCTCTGCCCCTCGGTTTACGACGAATAAAAAAAAATCATCAGAATTGAGATGGGGTGGGTGGGTGGGGCTTATATTTTGCCTTTTTTCTCGATATACGTGGTAGTTTTTTCAGAACAAGAAACTTAAAACATGGTTAAAATGGTAAATTCTTCTAGACAAATATGAATCTTGCAATTAAGCCCCACCTATCGATATGACAACGAATGAAAAATTCATCACAATTGACAGCTGACGTCGAGGCGGGTATGGGTTGGGCCTAATCTTTGTCTTTATTTTTTTCTTAATATACACAGAATCCTTTGAACAACACAATAATCAAACAGATGTTTTTAATTTGTCATAGAGAAATAAGGATATTGCAGTTAAGCTCCGCCCTCTTGGCTCACGACGAATAAAAAAATAATCCGAATTGAGGTAGGGTGGGTGGTCGGGGCTATATTTTGCCTCTTTTTCGTAATATGTGTAGACTTAATTCGAACTTAAAACATGTCTAAAATGGTAAATGTAGTAAATTCACCACTTTTCTTCTACAACCTCTTTAAATACGGCAAAAGTTGAACATCAAAGTTACTAGTTATTATTCGCCGTGCGCCAAGGGGGCGGAGCTTAACTGCACAATATTTTTTTCTTTATAAGAAATTAAAACATGTTTTTGAGTATGGTGTTGTTTAAAGAATACTAGGTATATTAAAAAAAAAGGCAAAATATATACCCCGCCCGCCCACCCCATCTCGATTGTGATGATTTATTTTTATTCTATCAATTTTTCAAGGTAGATTATCATCAACAAATATAATTTTTCGTGTATTTTATTGAATGGGTTTTTAAGTATCGATTTTTATAAAAATCAAAAGCTTCCAATATTCTAAAATCGATACCTAAAAAGTTATTCAATAAAATACATGAAAAATCCATATCTGTTGATGACAATCTACCTTGAAAAATTGATAGAATAAAAATAAATCATCACAATCGAGATGGGGTGGGTGGGCGGGGTTTATATTTTCCCTTTCTTTCTTAATATACTTAGTATTCTTTAAACAACACCATACTTAAAAACATCTTTTTAATTTCTCATAGAGGAGTTTGCAGTTACGCTCCGCCCCCTTGGCTCACGACGAATAAAAAAAATCATCACAATCGAGATAGGGTGGGTGGGCGGGGCTACATTTTGTCTTTTTTTTTTTCTTAATATGTGTAGACTTATTTCGATCACAAGAAAATTGTCTAAAATTGTAAATTTGTAATAATCAACTTAAATCCTCCACTTTTCTTCTACAATTCCTTTAAATACGACAAAAGTTGAACCTCAAAGTTACTATCAACGGCATGTTTTTGAGTATCATGTTGTTCAAAGAATGCTAAGTATACTAAGAAAAACGGGCAAAATATAAACCCCGCCCACCCACCCAATCTCAATTGTGATGATTTTTTATTCTTGAAAACTTGAAACACATTTAAAAAGGTAAATTTATAAAAATGTAGATTTCTTTTCACAATATGAAACTTAAAATAGGGTTAAAATGGAAAATTTATATAAGGAAATATTGATTTTGCAATTAAGCTTCCCCGCATAATTGCAAAATCCATACTTCCTTGCAAAAATGTACCATGCTTTAAGTTTCTTGTTGTGAAAAGATGGCCATGTATATTAAGAAAAACAAAGGTAAAATATAAGCCCCGCCCACCCACCCGTGTCTCTGTTGTGATGAATTTTTTATTCGTTGTCACATAGAGGGGCGGAGTTTAATTGCAAAATCAATATTTTTTAAGTTTCTTGTTCTAAAAGACGACTGTGTATATAAAGAAAAAAAAAACAAAATATAAGCCCCGCCCACCCGCCCTATCTCAATTGTAATGATTTTTTTTATTCGTCGTGAGTCAAGAGGGCGGAGCTTAACTGCAAGATCCTTATTTCTCTACGAGGAATTAAAAACATGTTTTTGACTATCGTGTCCTTCAATGAATACTATTATATGTATATTAAGGAGAGATTAAAGCCAAAGTAGTAATGAAGTTTTCATTCGTTGCCATTTTAAACGTGTTTTGGGTTTCTAAGAATAAAAAAATCATCACAAACGAGATGGGGTGGGTGGGCGGGGTTTATATTTAGCCTTTTTTTCTTAACGTACATAATATTCTTTGAAGAACACGATACTCAAAAACATGTTTTAATTTCTTGTAAAGAAATAAGTATTTTGCAGTTAAGCCCTGCCCCTTTGGTTCACGGCGAATAAAAAAATCATCACAATTGAGACAGGGCGGGTGGGCGGGCTTACATTTTGTCTTTTTGGTGTAATATGTGTAGACATCTTTTCACAACATGAACTGAAATCTGTTTAAAATAAAAAAAAAAAAACAGTTAAAAGACGAGTGATTGCATCCGATGTACAAATTCCACTTAGTGACCTTGTACATTGTTCTTGTTCAGCGTTTTTCATTATTTATAATTTTACAAGTTTCGTGTAAGTAAACAAAGTATATTTCTTTAGAAACATAATTAATTGTGCTACTAACGATAAACTGACTGTGGGGTACCCTATGATGCATGAATAACAATAAAAACAGTATCATTAAATTTTATGAATTATTTATTATACATGATTTCGACGTAGCTATCACATTACTCGAAATTCATCAGAAAATTAAAAAAATATGACATTTGCAGACCGTGTAATCAGTGTAATCGTTATTTGTGGAAATAAAAAATTATCATAAATAAACCGTGTATTGTGTGTTGCATATGCATCTTTGAGGTTATGTCAAATAATAAATCAAACTTATTAAAGTAAACTAAATCCTGATCATGTATTGCCTTTTTGTGTTCACAAAAACGTGATCTAATTTTACAGAGACGGCATTTGTACCACGTAACTTCCGTTTATTCCAAATGGCATTTTCTTGTATGAGCCTCTAAATGATGTCTGTGTTTCGTCTTATGTGGACAATATTCGCACTCGTACCACTTGCAATGTTTGCAAATTACATGACGTTTTAAGTGACCCGGGACTTTACTTTTATATGGACACTCTTTACATTCGTACCAATTGACTTCTTCGTGTGACCGTTTTATGTGGGTTTTTAAATAAGATTTTGTTGTAGTTTTGTACGGACAATATTTGCACTGAAACGATTTAGCCGCCCCATGGACCTTTACATGATTTCTTAAATAACGTTTCACTTTAGTTTTATACGAACACGTCGCACACTCATACCATTGCGGTTGTTCTGAATGATTAACATCTGTGTGTTCCTTTAATCGTGAAATTAATTTAGTTCTGTACGGACAATTTGTACATTCGTACCACTGAATTTGCTCTCCATCTACGTGTTTCACATTTATGTGGATTTTGAAAGAATGTTTGTACTTAGTTTTGAATGGACACTTGTCGCATTCGTACCATTTAACGTCTTCTTCATTCGAATGAACTCTATTTATGTGTTCTCTTAAAGTATATTTTTTTCTAGTTTTAAGAGGGCACAGGTCACATTCGTACCATTTAATTTCTTCTTGAGCTGTATGTTTTGCTATTGCGTGATTCTTTAAATTAACTTTATACCTAGTTTTGAAGGGACACTCAATGCATCGGTACCATACACCATCTTGTTCATCTAAATGGACGCCATTTACATGTTTTCTTAAACTTGTTTTATATCTACTTTTAAACGGACACTTTTCACATGCATACGCCTTGCTCCAATGGCACCTTTTAATGTGATCTCTTACGTGGCTTTGGACTTTGGCTTTGAAGTTACAGTCCGTACAGCAATGCCAACATATTCCGTCTTGCAGATAACTCACACTTTGGAGATTTTCTTTTTTTCCCGTGCACTCTGAAGTATGTTGAAGCCACTTCAACGACAGATTTGTTTCAAAACTGCACTTTTTGCAAACGTAGTTTTGTATAACAAAGTCCTGACTTGATAAATCGTCTCTAGATTCGACTTTAACACCGTGATTTTTATTAATGTGTTGTTTGAACAGGATCGTTAGCTCCGTTTTAAAATCGCAGTCTTTACAGTAAAATAGTTCAATTTTGGCCTTTCCACAAGTGAGTTTTGCTAGAGGGGAACGGTGTCGTCGCACGTGGTTTACCATAAAGAAAAGCGATGTGGTAAAATATGGGCACAGTTTACAACGGTGAACATTTCTCCATGACGATTTTCCCCAAGCTCGAAAAGATTCCGAGTACTCCAAAACTGACATTGTGGTGACCTAAAACTGTTTTATTGCACTACGGAAGCAAATTCAGTTTCGGTTACCTGAGTTGGTGGCTTGGAAAAACATTCAAAACCTAACCTAACATTTTCACGCCAATCTTGACAGTTTACCATAGAATGATTTATTGTGGATTGCGCGTTTAGGAAGTCACGTAGGCAACCACCAATACACGATATTTTTAAATAAAACAATAATTTTCTTAAAAACTTTATTGAAAAGTTCAAATTAATCATTTACGTTAGGTTCGCACGTGCAGACTTTTCACGTGCTTTCTTAAATACGTCGCCACTTTAGCTTTATAGGGACAATATTGGCAACTGAACGACTTGATATCCGAGTGGTGCACCATCACGTGTTGCTTCAAACTATCTTTCCTTTTGTTTTTATACGAACAATTTACACATTTAAACCAGTCCGAGTTTTTTGAATGGAGAACTTTCACGTGCCGCTTAAAATCCACAAGGAATTTAGTCTTGAAAGGACACTCTTCGCATTCGTGCCACTTCAATTCGTCTTTATTTGCATGCCTACGAAGAACGTGAAGTCTTAAACTCGATGATTGTTTAGATTTAAACTGGCAATTGTCGCATTCGTACCATTTAATTGTTTCATCGTCTGAATGTTTCGCTATTACGTGTGTCTTTAGACATTTTTTGTACCTAGTTTTGAACGGACACTGACTACATTCGTACCATTTAACTTCAGTTCCATCTGAATGACAGTAGGTTGTGTGGTCTTTGAAATACCGTTCCAAGTTAGTCTTGTACGAGCAATATTCACACTGAAACGATTTAATATCCGAATGGTGTACAATCACATGATTTTTTAATTGATCTTTCCGTTTACTTTTATATGAACAGGTTGTACATTCGTACCATGTCACTTCTTCGTCGTTCAAGTGTCGCGAAATTACGTGATTTTTTAAAGTCGTCGAATGTTGGGTTTTGAATGGGCACTTTTCGCATTCGTACCACTTTTTCCTTTTTCCTTCATCCGAGTGTTTTATGACTACGTGCGACTTTAACGATTTTTCGTTCAAACTTTTAAAGGGACACTGAGTGCATTTGTGCCACTTGTCTGAATGTCGTTGGTTCATGTGGTCTTTTACATACCGTTTTAATTTAGCTTTGTAGGGGCAATATTTGCAGTGAAACGACTTGACGTCTGAATGTCGCAGAATTACGTGCTCTTTTAACCGATCTTTTCTTTTATTTTTATATGAACAGGTGGTACATTCGTACCATTTTAAACTATTTTTGTTCGTGCATGTCAAAGTATGTTGAAGCCATTTCAACGAAAAATTTGTTTCGAAATTGCAGTCTTGACAAACGTGGTTTTGTGTGTGGAAATCCTCACTTGATAAATCTCCAGGTTCTGTCTTAAGAGTGTGGTGTTTGTTAATGTGTTGTTTGAATAAAACTGTTAGTTCCGTTTTAAAATCGCAGTCTTTGCAGTAATAAATTTCGATGTTTGTGTTTTCGCACGTAAATTTTTCCAGACGGTGTCGTTTCACGTGATTCACCATAAGAAAAAATGACGTCGTAAAATATGGACATAGGTTGCAGTTGTGGACAGTTTTCCTTGTAGATTGTGTCCGTACTATCAGTGTTTCGGAGAATTCTAAAGCTAACATTTTGTTACAGGTTAAACAAGTGCTTGAGTCACCCCAGCTACAAGGAAACAAAATTATACAGGATTTAAGACACTTTCCGCTGGATATAATTACAAGAATTATAAACTTGGGTCGTGAAAACTAGTTGACAATTGAAGATTGAGGTTAGGACACTTGGAAGCTTTGACATTACGGCGCTTTCGGTCCATCGCTCTATCATAGATTAATATAGATGCGACATACAGTCTGATTTTGCAAAACCACCCTTATTGACATTGGAGTCCTCAACCGCCAAATTTAAATAGTCGATGCCAATAAAAAAAACTTGTTTCACTACAACTTGTCGCCTGAGAACTTGTTTGATCTACAGACCAGAGCGCGCTCAGGCCAATGTCGACTCTAAGCGTTCAGAAGCGATTTGGTTGGTTTGGACTATAATTTCTGCCAGAAATAGTTGTTTGGTCGGTTTTTATAACGACTAGGTGAATATTTTTGGTACATATTAAGATGATTTTACATATTTTGTTTGACTAAGAATTAATTCTTTATTTGTGTTTTATACTAACAAAACGTTTTAAACTAAGAATATTGTTGAAATCGTAATAACCCAATGGATTTTTTTCGGGAAAATGTTTTGGAAACACTGTGTTCTATTTTGTATGAATTTTTAAATTTTTTTAGTGACAATTTTTGTGGTTGTTTTCAATACACTGTATGATATTGACAGTGAGAAAAAAAAAATGAAAAATTAAAATAATCGAAAATTTGAAAAATCGAGAAATCTAATAATCGAGAAATCGGAAGCTTAAAAAATCGTAAAACCGAAACATTGAAAAATCGAAATATCGAAGAACTGAAAATCGAAAAATGAATCATCAGAAAATTCAAAAATCTAAAATTTAAAAATCGAATAACGAAAAATTGAGAAATCGAAACTCCCAAATTTAAAAAGTCGGATAACTGAAAAATCGAAACATCGAAAAACTGGAAAATCGAAAAACCGAGAAATCGAAAAATCTAAAGATCGAGAAATCATGGAGTCGAAAAGTCGAAGAATTGAGAAACCGAAATAGGCCAAAATCGAAAAATCGATAAGTTAAAAATTGAACAATTTATAAATTGACAATCAAAATATCGGAAAATCCAAATCTCGATAAATCGGGAAATCAAAAAATTTAAAATTCGAAAAATTGAAAAATTGAAAGATTGAATGATCAAAAGAACGAGAAATCGAAAAGTGATGAAGTCGAAAAATTGAAAAATAGAGAAATCGACAAACAAAAAGTTAAAAGTTGACAAATTGGAAAAGCGGAAAATAAAAAAACGAAAAAATGGAAAACTGGAAAAAATGAGAAACCGAAATAGGCCAAAATAAAAAATTGAAAAACTGATAAATCGAAAACCTGAACAATCAAATCTCGATAAATCGGGAATGAAAAATTAACAAATCGAAAAATTGAAAAACAGAACATCTAAAACCAGGAAGTCGAAAAATCGAAAGACTAAGAAATATTGAAAAACTAAAATATCAAAAGATTGAACAATCTAAAATTTAAAAATCCAAAAATTGAAAAATCGGAAAAGTAAAACACATCGAAAAATCCAGAAGTCAAAAATAGAAAAACCGAAGAATTGAAATATTGAAAAATCCTAAAACTGAAATATCTAAAAACTGAAAAATCGGAAAATCAAAAAAGTGAAATCGAAAAATAGAAACCTTAAAAAATCGAAAAATTGAAAAATCAAAAACCTGAAAAATCAAAAAATTAAAGAATTGAAGAACAGAAAAATCGAAACACTCGAATGTCAAGAAATGGGAAAATCAAAACATCGATTAATTGAAAAATCGAAAAATTGAGAGTTTATAAAAGTCAAATTTGAAAAATTAAAAAATCGAAAATTTGACAAAATGACAATTGAAAAACAGAAAATCTAAAACCGGGTAGTCGAAAAATCAAAAGATTAAGAAATGGAAACATTCGAAACATTCGAAAACTTGAAAAATTGAAATATCGCAGAACTGAAATGAAAAATCGAGAAATCGAAAAATCTAAAACTTTAAAAATTGAAAAATCGAAAAAGTAAAAAAGTCGACACATCGAAAAATCCAGGAGTCAAAAATCGAAAAGTCGAAGAATCAAAATATTGAAAAATCCCAAAACTGAGACATCGACAAACTGAAAAATAAAAGAAAAACTGAAAAATGGGAAAACCTGAAAAATCCGAAAACTGAAATATCCAAAAACTGAGAACCTAAAAAGTAAAAAAATTGAGCAATCGAAAAATTCATAAAGTGAAGTCGAAAAATCGAAACCTTAAAGAAACTAAAAAATGAAAAATGGGAAAACCTGAAAAATCCAAAAACTAAGAACCTAAAAAGTCAAAAAATTGAGCAATCGAAAAATCCATAAAGTGAAGTCGAAACCTTAAAAAATCGAAAAACTGAAAGATCAAAAACCTGAAAAATCAAAAAATTAAAGAATTGAAGAACAGGATAATCGAAACACTCGAATGTCAAGAAATGGGAAAATCAAAACATCGATTAATTGAAAAATCGAAAAATTGAGAGTTTATAAAAGTCAAATTTGAAAAATTAAAAAATCGAAAATTTGACAAAATGACAATTGAAAAACAGAAAATCTAAAACCGGGTAGTTGAAAAATCAAAAGATTAAGAAATGGAAACATTCGAAATATTCGAAAACTTGAAAAATTGAAATTTCGCAGAACTGAAATGAAAAATCGAGAAATCGAAAAATCTAAAACTTTAAAAATTGAAAAATCGAAAAAGTAAAAAAATCGACACATCGAAAAATCCAGGAGTCAAAAATCGAAAAGTCGAAGAATCAAAATATTGAAAAATCCCAAAACTGATATATCCCAAAACTGAAAAATGAAAGAAAAACTGAAAAATGGGAAAACCTGAAAAATCCGAAAACTGAAATATCCAAAAACTGAGAACCTAAAAAGTCAACAAATTGGCAATCGAAAAATCCATAAAGTGAAGTCGAAAAATCGAAACCTTAAAAAAACTAAAAAGTGAAAAATCAAAAACCTGAAAAATCGAAAAATTGAATAATTGAACAGGAATATCGAAACCCTCGAAGGTCAAGAAATGGGAAAATTAAAACATCGATTAATTGAAAAATCGAAAAATTAACAGTTTATAAATGTCAAATTTGAAAAATTGAAAAATCGAAAATTTGAAAAAACGACAATTGAAAAACAGAAAATCTAAAACCGGAAATTCGAAAAATCGAAAGATTAAGAAATCGAAACATTTGAAAAATTGAAATATGGAAGAGCTAAAATGAAAAATCGAGAAATAGAAAAATCTAAAATTTTAAATATTGAAAAATTAAAATACAAAAAAATCGTGAAATCTAAAATTTAAAAATCGAAAAAGTAAAAAGTCGACACATCGAAAAATCCATAAGTCAAAAATAGAAAAGACGAAGAACAGAAATATTGAAAAATCCCAAAACTGAAATATCGAAAAACTGAAAAATGAAAGAAAAACTGACGAATCGAAAAACTGAAAAATCCCAAAACTAAAATATCCAAAAACTGAGAATCTAAAGAATCGAAAAATTGAAAAATCAAAAATCTGCAAAATCGTAAGATCGAAAAATTCAATAATAAGTAAACTGAAAAATCCTAAAACTGAAATGTCGAAGAACTGAGAAATTAAAAAATTGAGAAATCGAAAAATCAAAAAAGTGAAGTTGAAAAATCGAAACCTGAAAAAATAGAAAAATTGAAAAACCAAAAACCTGAAAAATCAATTAATTGAAAAATCGACAAATAAAGAGTTTATAAAAGTGAAAAATTGAAAAATCGAAATATTTAAAAATCGTAAAATTGAAGAGAAAAACTGAAAACCGAGAAATTTAGAAATTAAAAATTAAATAATAAATAGGAGTAAACTGAAAAGTCCCCAAACTAAAATTTCGAAAAACTGAGAATTCGAAAGTTGTATTTATAATTGTATAAAACAGTTCACATTAAATACAGTTATCACTATTCAAGTGAAACAACCGTATGTGGCTTTTTAAACGCCGCTTTACTTTGGTTTTAAATACACACTTATCACAATTATACCACTCAGGACTTAGTTCTCGTTCTATCGAATGCATCCGATTTGCGTGGTACCTCACAGCTCGTTTACGTTTACTTTTATACGGACACTGGTCGCATTCGTACCAGTGAACTTTGTCGTCTGAATGCTGCGTCTTTCGAGAACTATTCGAATGCGTTAAAACGTGTCTTTTCAAGTGGTACTTCCTCGTACTTTTATACGAGCAGCTCGCACATTCGTACCACCTAGCTTTCTCCTCATCCACATGTTGCGAAATCACGTGATGCCTCAAAGTCGATTCATTTTGAGTTTTAAAGGGGCAATTTTTACAGTCGTACCACCTAATCTTTTTCTTTGTTTTTTTGTTTAAGTGTTGTGCATTCGCGTGTCTGCGTACCGATTGTTCGTACCTACTTTTAAAAAGACAGTGGTTGCATTCGTACCATTTGTGAAGCTTTGTTTCGGAATGGCAACGGTCTACGTGACTTTTTAGATATTTTTTTAATTTAGCTTTATACGGGCACGATTCGCACTGAAACGACTTGGTTTCTAAATGCAGGAGGGTGATATGCTCTCTTAGTCCGTCTTTTCTTTTACATTTATAGGAACAGCTCGCACATTCGTACCACTTAATGTCTTCGTCGTTCGAATGCACGGAAATTACGTGCCTATTTAAACTATTTTTTTTCTTGGTTTTGTACGGACATTCGACACAGTAAAACCAACGTATTTGGTCCGATTTAGTTTGCTTGCACGTTGACATATGTCGGAGCCATTTTAACGAAAATTTCGTATCAAAATTGCACTTTTCGCAGACGTAATTTTGGATGCTGAAGTCACTCGATAAATCGTCTCCAAACTCTCTCTTGAAAGCGTGGTGTTTGTTGATGTGTTTTTTGAACTGGATTGTCAGTTCGGTTTTGAAGTTGCAGTGTTTGCAGTAATAATTTTCGATTTTGGCGTCCGAACAAGTAAATTTGTCTGGAGATCGGTGTCGCTTGACGTGGTTGACCATATGAAAAAGCGACGGAGTGAAGTATGGGCACAGTTTACAGTTGTGGACACTTTTCCTTGTGGATTTTGCCAGTGCTACGAAGGGCTCAGAGAATTCCAAAGTTAACATTTTATTACCTAAAAGTAGCTTGTTATACTGGGGGTTAGAGAAACACGGGCAGCTGTGCTTACCTAGATCTGCACAAAGCACGAAATGCGAAATAAATCGGAAATAATTCGTCTAACCTAACATTTTAACGTCACGATTGACGTTTCGATGGACGCTTTAATACGTCGATCGCGATATCCGTGGAATCGAATTGTACCTGCAGCGCCTCTAGCGTGCACTAATATAAACTAAAATAAAATCTTAATTGATTAAAACAGACTTTTATTATTATTATTGTTACAAATTCGACTTAGTTTTGCTTATGGTGGTTTCTCATATGTTTCCTTAAATACGAACTCACTTTAGCTTTGTATGGACAATATTTGCAATGATACGATTTGACATCTGAATGGTGGACGTTTATATGTTGCTTCAAATTAACCTTTTTTCTATTTCTATAGGAACAATCCACACATTCATACCACTGCGTTTTTTCTGAATGATAAAAATTCACGTGTTTGTTTAAATGTCTCTGAAGTTTAGTTTTGAAAGAACACTCGTCGCACTCGTACCACTTGATTTTCTCTTCGTCCAAATGTCTACAAATAACATGGTTTTTTAATTCAGATGGCCGTATAAATTTCAATGGACAATGTTCGCATTTGTACCACTTAGTATTTCCGTTTGAATGTTTTACCATCATGTGTGACCTCACAGAACTTTCATACACACTTTTGAACGGACATTGATTGCATTCGTGCCATTTAACGTCATTTCCGTCTGAATGGTAGTTGTTTGTATGTTTTTTCAAACAACTATTCCATTTAGTTTCGAATGGGCAATATCGGCACTTGTATGATTTGATATCCGAATGATGCATTCTTATGTGCAGTTTTAAATTATCTTTTCGTTTACTTTTATACAAACAGCTTGTACATTTGTACCATTTAACTTCTTTTTCGTTCAAATGTCGGGAAATTACGTGATTTTTCAAAGTCGTTGGGTGTCTGGCTTCATATTGACACTTTTTACATTCATACCGCTTGATTTTGTCTACGCTTAGATGTTTCGTGGCTACGTGTCTATTCAAAGACGCTTTGTCCCGAGTTTTGAGTGGACACTGTTTGCATTCGTACCACTTACCTTCGTCGTCGTTCAAGTGTAAAGCGTTTATGTGTCTTTTTAAATTATATATTTTTTTCGTTTTAAATGGACATTGCGCACAGTAAAGCCAGTGTATTGTGACACTTTGAGGATTTTCCTTCGTTTTGAGACACACTGAAATATGGTGAAGCCACTTTAACGACAAATTTGTTTCAAAATGGCACTTTTCGCAAACGTAGTTTCGTACACTGAAGTCGTCTCTAGATTCCACTTTAACGCTGTGATGTTTATTAACGTGTTGTTTGAACAGAATCGTTAATTCCGTTTTAAAATCGCACTCTTTACAATAATATTCTTCAAGCTTGTTCGAGCATAGAAATTTTTCTTGAGATGAACGGTGTCGTCGCACGTGGTTGACCATACGAAAAAGCGATGTGGTAAAATATGGACATATTTTACAATTGTGGACACTTTTCCTTGAAGATTTTGCTCGTGCTTTGAAGGCTTCTGAGAATTCCAAAGTTAACATTTTGCCTAAAACCAACTTGTTGTTAGCTAGTTACCAAAAGCTCCTTAAACCGTTGAAAAAACCCCACAACTAACCTAAAATTTTAACGTCACGATTGGTTCAATTTTTTTTTTTTACTAGCAGCAGTTTGAATATTCTCGTCCCGGAAATAATTACAAGAATTATAAATTTGGATCACGCCGCTACTCTAGAGAAGTTAGGTTAGAATACTTGACAGCCATCACAGACTTAGTACAAACAGAGAACATAGAGAAGCGTCATAGTTTAAAATAATGACGATTGAGGACTCCTCGACTTATGTTGGCAACAGTGTTCGTTTCTAACTAGGAATAAAATTAACTAGAAAAAATGTAATAATATTTTTAACGACGCGTTTTAGTTTCGACAAATTGACACAAGATTTACCAGAATATTACAAGCTGCTTACTGGTTTGATCTACAGACCAGAGCGCACTCAGGCCAATGTCGACTCTAAGCGTTAGGAAACGATTTGATTTATAAGCCACGATCCGTGACCTGATACACATCCTAACCTATAATTTCTTGCTGTTTCACCTTTCCAACTCTCAGTTTTTCGAAATTTTAGTTTGGGGACTTTTCAGTTTACTCCTATTTATTATTTAATTTCTCAATTTTTCAATTTCTCGGTTTTCAGTTTTTCTCTTCAATTTTACGATTTTTAAATATTTCGATTTTTCAATTTTTGACTTTTATAAACTCTTTATTTGTCGATTTTTCAATTAATTGATTTTTCAGGTTTTTTGGTTTTCCAATTTTTCTATTTTTTCAGGTTTTGATTTTTCGACTTCACTTTTTTGATTTTTCGATTTCTCAAATTTTCAGTTTTTTAATTTCTCAGTTTTTCGATATTTCAGTTTTAGAATTTTGCAGTTTACTTATTATTCAATTTTTCGATCTTACGATTTTGCAGATTTTTGATTTTTCAATTTTTTGATTCTTTAGATTCTCAGTTTTTGGATATTTCAGTTTTGGGATTTTTCAGTTTTTCGATTCGTCAGTTTTTCTTTCATTTTTCAGTTTTTCGATATTTCAGTTTTGGGATTTTTCAATATTTCTGTTCTTCGACTTTTCCATTTTTGACTTCTGGATTTTTCGATGTGTCGACTTTTTACTTTTTCGATTTTTAAATCTTAGATTTCTCAATTTTTTTGTATTTTAATTTTTCAATATTTAAAATTTTAGATTTTTCTATTTCTCGATTTTTCATTTTAGCTCTTCCATATTTCAATTTTTCAAATGTTTCGATTTCTTAATCTTTCGATTTTTCGACTTTCCGGTTTTAGATTTTCTGTTTTTCAATTGTCGTTTTTTCAAATTTTCGATTTTTCAATTTTTCAAATTTGACATTTATAAACTGTTAACTTTTCGATTTTTCAATTAATCGATGTTTTGATTTTCCCATTTCTTGACTTTCGAGGGTTTCGATATTCCTGTTCAATTCTTTAATTTTTCGATTTTTCAGGTTTTTGATTTTTCATTTTTTAGTTTTTTTAAGGTTTCGATTTTTCGACTTCACTTTATGGATTTTTCGATTGCCAATTTGTTGACTTTTTAGGTTCTCAGTTTTTGGATATTTCAGTTTTCGGATTTTTCAGGTTTTCCCATTTTTCAGTTTTTCTTTCATTTTTCAGTTTTTCGATATCTCAGTTTTGGGATTTTTCAATATTCTGATTCTTCGACTTTTCGATTTTTGACTCCTGGATTTTTCGATGTGTCGATTTTTTTATCTTTTCGATTTTTCAATTTTTCGATTTTTTAGTTTTAGATTTTTTAATTTTTAAAGTTTTAGATTTTTCGATTTCTCGATTTTTCATTTCAGTTCTGCGATATTTCAATTTTTCAAGTTTTCGAATGTTTCGAATGTTTCCATTTCATAATCTTTCGATTTTTCGACTTTCCGGTTTTAGATTTTCTGTTTTTCAATTGTCATTTTGTCAAATTTTCGATTTTTCAATTTTTCAAATTTAACTTTTATAAACTCTCAAATTTTCGATTTTTCAATTAATCGATGTTTTGATTTTCCCATTTCTTGACATTCGAGTGTTTCGATTTTCCTGTTCTTCAATTCTTTAATTTTTTGACTTTTCAGGTTTTTGATTTTTCAATTTTTCAATTTTTTAAGGTTTCGACTTCAATTTAGGGATTTTTCTCAATTTTTTCACTTTTTAGGTTCTCAGTTTTTGGATATTTCAGTTTTCAGATTTTTCAGGTTTTCCCATTTTTGAGTTTTTCTTTCATTTTTCAGTTTGTCGATATCTCAATTTTGGGATTTTTCAATATTTTGATTCTTCGACTTTTCGATTTTTGACTCCTGGATTTTTCGATGTGTCAACTTTTTTACTTTTTCGATTTTTAAATTTTAGATTTCTTAATTTTTAAAATTTTAGATTTTTCGATTTCTGGATTTTTCATTTCAGTTCTACGATATTTCAATTTTTCAAGTTTTCGAATGTTTCGAATGTTTCCATTTCTTAATCTTTTTATTTTTCAACTACCCGGTTTTAGATTTTCTGTTTTTCAATTGTCATTTTGTCAAATCTTCGATTTTTCAATTTTTCAAATTTGACTTTTATAAACTCTCAATTTTTAGATTTTTCAATTAATCGATGTTTTGATTTTCCCATTTCTTGACATTCGAGTGTTTCGATTTTCCTGTTCTTCAATTCTTTAATTATCTGATTTTTCAGGTTTTTGATCTTTCAATTTTTCAATTTTTTAAGGTTTCGACTTCACTTTATGGATTTTTTGATTGCTCAATTTTTTTACTTTTTGGGTTCTCAGTTTTTGGATATTTCAGTTTTCGGATTTTTCAGGTTTTCCCATTTTTCAGTTTTTCTTTCATTTTTCAGTTTGTCGATATCTCAGTTTTGGGATTTTTCAATATTTTGATTCTTCGACTTTTCGATTTTTCACTCCTGGATTTTTCGATGTGTCGACTTTTTTACTTTTCAATTTTTTGATTTTTAAATTTTAGATTTTTTAATTTTTAAAATTTTAGATTTTTCGATTTCTCGATTTTTCATTTCAATTCTGCGATATTTCAATTTTTCAAGTTTTCGAATGTTTCGATGTTTCCATTTCATAATCTTTCGATTTTTCGACTTTCCAGTTTTAGATTTTCTGTTTTTCAATTGTCATTTTATCAAATTTTCGATTTTTCAATTTTTCAAATTTAACTTTTATAAACTCTCAAATTTTCGATTTTTCAATTAATCGATGTTTTGATTTTCCCATTTCTTGACCTTCGAGTGTTTCGATTTTTCTGTTCTTCAATTCTTTAATTTTTTGATTTTTCAGGTTTTTGATTTTTCAGTTTTTCGATTTTTTAAGGTTTCTATTTTTTGACTTCACTTTTTTGATTTTTCGATTTTTCAGTTTTTAGATATTTCAAAATTTTCAATATTTCAATTCTTCGGTTTTTCTATTTTTGACTTCTGGATTTTTCGATGTGTTTTACTTTTTCGATTTTTCAATTTTTGGGTTTTTAAATTTTAGATTGTTCAAACTTTTGATATTTTAGTTTTTCAATATTTCTTAGTCTTTCGATTTTTCGACTTCCTGGCTTTAGATGTTCTACTTTTCAATTTTTCGATTTGTTAGTTTTTCATTCCCGATTTATCGAGATTTGATTGTTCAGGTTTTCGATTTATCAGTTTTTCAATATTTTATTTTGGCCTATTTTGGTTTCTCATTTTTATTCAGTTTTCCGTTTTTTCGTTTTTTTTTATTTTTCCGCTTTTCCAATTTTTCAACTTTTAACTTTTTGTTTGTCGATTTCTCTATTTTTCAATTTTTCGACTTCATCACTTTTCGATTTCTCGTTCTTTTGATCATTCAATCTCTCAATTTTTCAATTTTTCGAATTTTAAGTTTTTTGATTTCCCGATTTATCGAGATTTGGATTTTCCGATATTTTGATTGTCAATTTTTAACTTTTCGATTTTTCGATTTCGGCCTATTTCGGTTTCTCAATTCTTCGACTTTTCGACTCCATGATTTCTTAATCTTTTGATTTTTGGATTTCTCGGTTTTTCGATTTTCCAGTTTTTCGATGTTTCGATTTTTCAGTTATCCGACTTTTTAAATTTGGGAGTTTCGATTTCTCAATTTTTCGTTATACGATTTTTAAATTTTAGATTTTTGAATTTTACATTTTTTCGATTTTCTGATGTTTCATTTTTCGATTTTCAGTTCTTCGATATTTCGATTTTTCAATGTTTCGGTTTTACGATTTTTTAAGGTTCCGATTTTTCGATTATTAGATTTCTCGATTTTTCAAATTTTCGATTATTTTAATTTTTCATTTTTTTTTCTCAGTGTCAATATCATACAGTGTATTGAAAACAACCACAAAAATTGTCACTAAAAACATTTAAAAATTCATACAAAATAGAACACAGTGTTTCCAAAACATTTTCCCGAAAAAAATCCATTGGGTTATTACGACTTCAACAATATTCTCAGTTTAAGACGTTTTGCTAGTATAAAACACAAATAAAGAATTAAGTCTTAGTTAAACAAAATATGAAAATCATCTAAATATTCACCTAGTCGTTATAAAAACCCACTAAACAACTATTTCCCGCAGAAATTATAGTCCAAACCAACCAAATCGCTTCTGAACGCTTAGAGTCGACATTGGCCTGAGCACGCTCTGGTCTGTAGATCAAACAACTTCTCAGGCGACAAGTTTTTTTATTGGCATCGACTATTTAAATTTGGCGGTTGAGGACTCCAATGTCATTAAAGGTGGTTTTGCAAAATCAGACTGTATGTCGCATCTATATTAATCCATGGTACAAATAGATTGGCGTCGGTTGTCAACATGAGCAGGCAACCAGCAATACATAATAAAAGCAAACAACCAAGTTTTCTTCAAAACTTTAATGAAAACATGTTCAGAAAATATAAAACCTACTATACAAAACCAATACACACACAAATCCCGTTGTTTTAATTTTGTTTGTGATGCTTGTTCACGTGCCGTCTTAAATACGCGTTCAATTTAGCTTTATACGGACAATCTTTGCACCGAAACGGCTTAATATCCGAATGGTGCAGCTCCATGTGATGCCTCAAATGAAACTGTTTCCTATTTTTAAACGAACAATGCGCACACTCATACCACTCCGGTCTTTTCGCATGAACATTCATGTGCGTCGCCAAATTCCTCGGAAACTTACTTTTATACGAACACTTCTCGCACTGGTACCACGTGGCTTTATCTTCATCCACGTGTTTCCTAATAACGTGAACTTTCAAATCGTACGCCGACTTCGCTCTAAACGCACAACTTTCACATCCGTGCCATTTAATCTTGCGTTCGTCTGAGTGTTTCGCAATCACGTGCGACTTGAACGACGATTCGTGCTTAGTTTTAAACGGACACTGCTTGCATTCGTACCACTTGACGTCGTTTCCGACTAGATGGCGGCTGTTCATGTGTTGCTTCAAACAACGGTTCCATTTAGTCTTGTATGGACAAAGCTCGCACTGAAAGGATTTGATATCCAAATGGTGGACAGTGATATGCGTTTTTAAATTGTCTCTGCGTTTGCTTTTATACGAACAGGTGTCACATTCGTACCATTTGGCTTCTTTTTCAACCAAGTGTTGGAACATTTCGTGGGTTTTCAAAGTCGTTGGGTGTTTGGCAGTCATGTGACGTCGCAAACTCGACTTGTCGCGGGTTTTGAATGGACACTCGGTGCATTCGTACCATTTACCATCGTCCTCGTTCAAGTGGGTGCAATTCACGTGTCTTTTTAAGCTGTTTGTGGTTTTGGTTTTGAAGGGACAGTCCACGCAGTAGTGCCAACGTATTTCGGTGGTTTTCTTGCGTGAGTTTCGAGGATTGTCGTCGGTTTGGCTGCACCCTGAAGAGTGCCGAAGCCACTCCAACGAAAAATTTGTTTCAAAGTTGCATTTATCGCAAACGTAGTTTTGTACATTGAAGTCGTCTTTTTTAAGGCCGTGTTTGTTTAAATGTTGTTTGAATAGAATCGTTAGTTCGGTTTTAAAGTCGCAGTCTTTGCAAAAATAAGCTTCAATTGAGGCGCTTCCACAGGTGAATTTTTCCAAAGGGTGTCGTCTGACGTGGGTCATCATTGAAAACACTGACGTAGTAAAATATGGACATTCTTTACAATTGTGGACGCTTTTCCTGGTAGATATTGCTGCAAAAGTTAACATTTTGGTAGTCACGAAGAACTAACCTCACTTTTTAATGTCACTTTTGGTGCTACAGCGCCTCTAGTGTTCGCTACGAAAAACAACAACTAAGATTTTTTTTTAATTTATTGAAACGGCAATTACAAAATATATAAGGCATGTAACAGAGTATATACATATCAAACCTGTGCTTCTTTAAAAATCCCTTTGTCTATGACGTTTCGCACTGACGTGTTTCTTATAAAACGCTTCACACGTAGTTCTATAAAAACACTCCTCGCATTCGAACCACTTAACATCCAAATGTTGGTCTCGCTCGTGAATTTTCAAAGTTGGTTTGTGCTTAGTTCTAAACGGACAATATTCACATTCGTACCACGTAACTGTCGCTTCGTCTGCGTGTTTCGCAATTGTGTGTTTCTTCACCGAAGTCCTGTACCTACTCTTGAACGGACAGTGGTCGCATTCGTACCATTTACGATCCTTCCCGTCTGAATGTCGATTGTTCATGTGCAACGTCAAATACGTATTCAATTTAGCTTTATATGGACAATACTGACATTTAAATGTCGCTTCATCAGTGTGACGAAAAATTTCGTGCCGTTTTAACAGTTCTTTCTTCTTGGTTTTAAATGAGCAGCTCGCACATTCGTACCACTTGGCTTCGTCGTCGTCCAAATGCTGCGAATTTACGTGATTTCGTAAACTAACCGCGTGTTTAGTTTTGTATTGGCAGTGGTCACATTTGTACCACTTTATGAGTTCGTCGTCTAGGTGTCTCACCGCCACGTGTCGTTTTAAAGCGTCTTTGTTCTTAGTTTTGAACGAACACTCAGTGCAGTCGTACCAAACCACGTCTTCTTCTCTCAAGTGCATGTTAATGGCGTGCTGTCTTAACGAGCTTTTTGTTCTAGTTTTAAAAGCGCATTTATCGCACTTGTGCCATATCGCTTCTTGTTCAGCTAAGTGCGCACAATTTATGTGGGTTTTCAACACTTGTTTATATCCGGTTTTAAATGGACACTTGTCACACGCATAGCGCTTGTTGAAGTGGTAATTGTCCAGATGACGGGTTAGAGTTTTATTGAATTTAGCTTTGTAGGAACATTCCGTGCAGTAATGCCAACGTCTCTCGACTAAAATTCGGCGTTTTGTCTTGCCCGTGCACGCGAAATTGTGTTGGACCCACTTCAACGAGAAGTTTGTTTCGAAGTTGCATTTTCCACAAAGGTAGTTCAGTACGGTGAAGTCGTCTCGCGATTCTGTTTTAATTCCATGATGGTGTTCGATGTGTTGTTTGAACTCAATCGTTAGCGACGTTTTAAAATCGCAGTCTTTGCAGTAGTACACTTCGATTGAGGCGGTTTCGCAGGCAAAATTTTCCAAGGGGGCGTCGTGTCGTGTCACGTGGTTGGCCATACGAAGAAACGAGGTTGTGAAGTAGGGGCACTCTTTGCAGTTGTGGACGTTCGGCCATGAGGATTTTCCCCAGGAACTAGAGGTTTCGGAGTACTCCATAATTGACACTGGATCAAGATTTCTAACCTAACATTTTGATGTCAAAAGTCACGTTGCTGTTTTTGGCTAAAATAACAACAGGTGTTGCTAAATGGTTGAATATTGTTGTATCAGCGAAAACGACGTAAAATTGCACCAAATCTAATAATTTATTATCGGGAATTATTACAAAATACAACAATTCCAAACAGGGTTGCCAATTTGTTCATAATTGAAATTTGACAGTTAATTGACATTTGTCACTTTATATTTAAAAAAATTAAAAAATCAGATTTACATGTGTGTTTTTTTATGTTTATAAAAATTTGTCCTATCTTTACACTTGAATGTACACTGTCCGCACTTGTGCCATTTAACATCCGTTCCACTCAAATGTCGGTTGTTCGTGTGATTCCTTAAATAGTCCTGGCGTTTCGCCTCGTATGGACAATACTCGCATTGGTACCATTTAACGTCCGTTCCATTCAAATGACACACTTTTAGATGAATCTTTAAATAGTGACTGCTTTTCGCCTTATATGGACAATACTCACACTGATACGATCTAACCTCCAAATGGGTCAGCAAATGTCTTCTTAAATAACTTTTCGTTCTACCTTTATACGTACACTTATCACATTCATACACATTTTGTAAATGACTTCCGCTTATGTGGTTCTTTAAAGACGAATTCAACTTGGTTTTGAACGGACACTCTCCGCATTCGTACCACTTAATCTTGTCTCCGTCCAAATGTTTCGTAGCTACGTGCACCTTCAAGTATCTTCTGGTCTTAGTTTTGAACGGACACTCTCCACATTCGTACCATTCTTCACTCAAGTGTACACAGTTAATGTGTGTTGTTAAATTGTTGTTTTTTCTCGTTTTGAAAGGGCACGCGTCACACTCGTACCACTTAATTTTGTCCTCGTCTACATGTTTGGCAGTTACGTGATTCTTTAAATATCCTTTGAATTTGGTTCTGTATGGACACTCTTTGCATTCGTACCATTCAACAAGATCTTCATTCAAGTGCCTGCAGTTTACGTGCGTTCTTAAATTATACTTTCGTCTCGTCCGATAAGGGCACTCTTCGCATTCGTACCATTTAATCTGGTCATCGTCTAAATGTCTCGCGGCTACGTGTTTCTTTAAATTTGGTTTATATTTGGTTTTAAATGGACACTCGTCACATTCGTACCATTTGATGAGTTCTTCGTTCAAGTGCATGCCGTTTATGTGTGTTGTTAAACTGTCTTTTCTTCTAGTCTTGTAAGGGCACTTTTCGCACTTGTGCCATTTATCGTCTTTGATTTTGGATTTAGTTTCACATGAATTACCGACACTGATTTTCTTTCCTGTGCATTGTGAAGTATGCTGAAGCAACTTCAACGAGAGATTTGTTTCGAAAGTACATTTTTCGCAAACGTAGTTTCGTACGACGAAGTCCTCACTTAGTAAATCTTTGGATCCTTGATGTTTGATAATGTGTTGTTTGAACAGAATCGTTAGTTTGGTTTTAAAATCGCAGTCTTTGCAATAAAACACTTCAATTGTGGCGTTTCTACAGGTGAATTTTTCGATTGGTGAACGGTGTCGCTTCACGTGGTTGAACATAAGAAAACTTGAAGTCGTAAAAAATTGACACAGTTTACAGTTGTGCATGTTTTTCCATGACGAGTTTCCAGTTGTTACGAATGCTTTACAGTATTCCAAACTTGACATTTTGGCCACCTAAAATCGTTCCAAAACGGCCACTTTTTAGCTTACCCAAATATTTATCTTCAGATTACTAACCTAACTTTTTGACGTCAAAAGTCTTTTGACTGAGGTGCTGCTACGTAGTTGAATATTCCCGCATCAGCGAAAACAACTTAAAATCATACCAAATGTAATGATTTTGCATCTGGAATGATTACAAAAAGTCCAAAAAGTGTTTATATTACTAATCAAGGTTATGAAGCAATGACAGTACAAACAGCGTTGCCAAACTGCCGCTAATTGAAATTTGACAGTTAATTGACATTTGTCACCTTTGTTCGAAAAAACAATCAAGAAAGAAGTTAATTATCTCCAATTCCCATTTAATAAATAAATCAATTAAATCCGAGTTAATTAAAAAATACATAACAACTCCGTTGCGAGAGATAACTTGACAAGTGGCAACATGTGGTGTTACCACCAGAAACACATTTAAATTACCAAATGTGTTGCAAAATCTTGAACTACGTTACCATAAACAAACTACTACTAGAGTGGTTTGTTTATGTACGTTACCAACCTAACTCTATCCCACGGGATACCGACAACACATATGTCAAATCGACGGGTAAGTACAATCGGAAATAAAAGTACGCCACCACAGTTTAAAAAAAATGTATTCCATAAAACATTTACACATATCTTCATGACAATTTTAATTAAAAACTAGGTACAAAATATACAGTATATTAAATCCTATACGTGTGTTTTTTTATGATTATACAAACTTTTCCTATCTTTAGTTTTGAATGTACACAGTTCGCATTTATACCATTTAACTTCCATTTCAGTCAAATGACGGTTATTTGTATGATTCCTTAAATAGACACGATGTTTCGCCTTGTATGAACAATGCTCGCATTGGTACCATTTAACGTCCGTTTCATTCAAATGACGGTTATTTGTATGATTCCTTAAATAGACACGATGTTTCGCCTTGTATGAACAATGCTCGCATTGGTACCATTCAACGTCCGTTCCATTCAAATGACGGTTGTATAGATGAAGTTTTAAATGGTCGCTGCGTTTCGCCTTGTATGGACAATACTCGCACTGATACGATCTTATCTCCAAATGGGTCAGTGAATGTCTTTTTAAAGAATATTTCGCTTTAGTTTTATATGGACACTTTTCACATTCATACACAATTTTTGAATGAGTTCTGCTTATGTGTCTCCTTAAAGTTAAATTCAACTTAGCTTTGAATGGACACTCTTCGCATTCGTACCACTTAATTTGGTCGTCTAATAAATGGTTCGCAGCTACGTGATTCCTTAAATATCTTTTGGATTTCGTTTTGAATGGACACTCCTTGCATTCGTACCACTTAATATCTTCTCCCTGTAAGTGAAAGGAATTCATGTGGTGTTTTAAACTCTTTTTTGTTCTAGTTTTGAAAGGACAATTTTCGCACTTGTGCCATGTACCATCTTCAATTTTGGATTTAGTTTCACATGAATTGCTGACACTGATTTTCATTCCTGTGCATTGTGAAGAATGCTGAAGTAACTTCAACGAGAGATTTGTTTCAAAAGTACATTTTTCGCAAACGTAGTTTCGTACGACGAAGTCCTCACTTGGTAAATCTTTGGATCCTTGATGTTTGATAATGTGTTGTTTGAACAGAATCGTTAGTTCGGTTTTAAAATCGCAGTCTTTGCAAAAAAACACTTCGATTTCGGCGTTTCCACAGGTGAATTTTTCGATTGGTGAACGGTGTCGCCTCACGTGGTTTATCATAAGAAAAAACGAAGTTGTAAAAAATGGACATAGTTTACAGTTGTGCACGTTTTTCCACGAAGACCTTCCAGTTGTTGCGAATGCTTTACAGTATTCCAAACTTGACATTTTGGCTACCTAAAATCGTTCTATTAGACCACGTTCGAATACTGGCACTTTTTTCCTTACCCAAACCTCGTTGGCACTATTAAAACCAGCACTGATGAAAAATGTATTCACATACAACACACCTAACCACAAAATTTAAAACAACAACTAAACCATAGAAAATCCTACAAGTAGTGAGGATATTCTATGAACTAAACCGATGAATTCCCCACGTGGTGTTCTCCCCGCCCCGGGAACTTGATTCGAAACGACCAATCACAGTCCAGCGGACACATGGAAGGGGTATATAATAACATCGCTTCTTGTTTGACAGGATTTTGAAATGTTGTGACAGATGACGACTGGTAACATGTAGTGCTACCAACAGTACCTCATTGAAATTACCAAATGGGTAGCAAGATCACAGTATACCATACAGTAGAGACAGCTCGTCAAATATTGGAACAACGTGTCCTTACCCAACCGTTTTGATTAGGCGGGATTTTTGAAACGAAGTGGAATATTGGTTGCCTAAATTACAAATACAGCTCGTCCGTAAAACAATGTAAAAGGAACTGATACAAACATCGAATGAACTGAAACCAATTTTTGGAGTGTGGTATGAAGACTACGAAAAAAATACCATTTTGAACAATAAAAAAGAATTGTGCTTATATTTATTTTATTCATTAATAAAAGTCTATCACTTTACCAAGTTAATTTCAACATAAACATATCAACTACCTACATATTTAACGGTCGATTATTGTTGTTGTTGTCCGTTACGTGTATTTCTTATTGGGCTTTCAAAAGCTGTCCGTACTGTATGATATTCTGTGGCAAAATCTTGAACCACGTTACCAACCTAACTCTATCTATCCCACGGGATACCGACAATATGTCAAATCGATGGGTAAGTACAATCGGAAATAAAAGTACGCCACCACAGTTTAAAAAAAATGTATTCCATAAAACATTTACACATATCTTCATGACAATTTTAATTAAAAACTAGGTACAAAATATACAGTAAATTAAATCCTATACGTGTGTTTTTTTATGAATATACAAACTTTTCCTATCTTTAGTTTTGAATGTACACAGTTCGCATTTATACCATTTAACTTCCATTTCAGTCAAATGACGGTTATTTGTATGATTCCTTAAATAGACACGATGTTTCGCCTTGTATGAACAATGCTCGCATTGGTACCATTTAACGTCCGTTCCATTCAAATGACGGTTGTATAGATGAAGTTTTAAATGGTCGCTGCGTTTCGCCTTGTATGGACAATACTCGCACTGATACGATCTTATCTCCAAATGGGTCAGTGAATGTCTTTTTAAAGAATATTTCGCTTTAGTTTTATATGGACACTTCTCACATTCATACACAATTTTTGAATGAGTTCTGCTTATGTGTCTCCTTAAAGTTAAATTCAACTTAGCTTTGAATGGACACTCTTCGCATTCGTACCACTTAATTTGGTCGTCTAATAAATGTTTCGCAGCTACGTGATTCCTTAAATATCTTTTGGATTTCGTTTTGAATGGACACTCTTTGCATTCGTACCACTTAATATCTTCTCCCTGTAAGTGAAAGGAATTCATGTGGTTTTTTAAACTCTTTTTTGTTCTAGTTTTGAAAGGATAATTTTCGCACTTGTGCCATGTACCATCTTCAATTTTGGATTTAGTTTCACATGAATTGCTGACACTGATTTTCATTCCTGTGCATTGTGAAGTATGCTGAAGCAACTTCAACGAGAGATTTGTTTCGAAAGTACATTTTTCGCAAACGTAGTTTCGTACGACGAAGTCCTCACTTGGTAAATCTTTGGATCCTTGATGTTTGATAATGTGTTGTTTGAACAAAATCGTTAATTCGGTTTTAAAATCGCAGTCTTTGCAAAAAAACACTTCTATTTCGGCGTTTCCACAGGTGAATTTTTCGATTGGTGAACGGTGTCGCCTCACGTGGTTAATCATAAGAAAAAACGAAGTTGTAAAAAATGGACATAGTTTACAGTTGTGCACGTTTTTCCACGAAGACCTTCCAGTTGTTGCGAATGCTTTACAGTATTCCAAACTTGACATTTTGGCTACCTAAAATCGTTCTATTAGACCACGTTCAAATACTGGCACTTTTTTGCTTACCCAAACCTCGTTGGCACTATTAAAACCAGAACTGATGAAAAATGTCTTCACATACAACGCACCTAACCACAAAATTTAAAACAACAACTAAACCGATGAACTCCCCACGTGGTGTGTGGTGTTCTCCCCACCCCGGGATCTTGATTCGAAACGACCAATCACAGTCCAGTGGACACATGGAAGGGATATCCAATAACAACGCCTCTTGTTGACAGGATTTTGAAATGTTGTGACAGATGACAATTAGTAACACGTAGTGCTACCAACAGTACCTCATTGAAATTACCAAATGGGTTCAAGATTTTCAACCATGTTACCAACCTAACCGTACTCCGATTGGACACCCGACGTATAATTACAACGAAAAACAAGAACATGCCACCAAAGTTTAAAAAAAATTTAATCCATAAAACATTTACACAAACGTAGTAATAAAAATGTATGAAGTATATTAAATCACAAGTGCTTTTTCTTGTGCTTACTCAAAGTTGACTTATCTTTACTTTTGAATGGGCAGTATTCACATTTGTACCATTTAACGTCCGCTCCTTTCAAATGGCGGTTATTTAGATGAATCTTTAAATGGTCCCTGCGTTTCGCCTTGTATGGACAATACTCGCACTGATACGATCTTATCTCCAAATGGGTCATGAATGTCTTTTTAAACAACTTATTGTTTTACCTTTATATGAACACATCTCACATTCATACACTGCCGTTTTTTTTAAATGTCTTCGGCGTATGTGTTTCTTTAAAGGCGAATTAAACTTAGCTTTGAACGGACACTCTTTGCATTCATACCACTTAATTTTGTCTTCTTCTAAATGTTTCGCAGTTACGTGTCTCTTTAAACATCCTTTGATTTTAGTTTTGAATGGACACTCTTTGCATTCATACCATTTAATATCTTCTCCCTGCAAGTGAAAGGAATTCATGTGGTTGTTTAAAGTCTTTTTTGTTCTAGTTTTGAAAGGGCAATTTTCGCACTTGTGCCATGTACCACCTTCAATTTTAGTTTCACGTGAATTGCCGACACTGATTTTCATTCCTGTGCATTGTGAAGTATGCTGAAGCAACTTCAATGAGAGATTTGTTTCGAAAGTACATTTTTCGCAAACGTAGTTTCGTACGACGAAGTCCTCACTTGGTAAATCTTTGGATCCTTGATGTTTGATAATGTGTTGTTTGAACAGAATCGTTAGTTCGGTTTTAAAATCGCAGTCTTTGCAAAAAAACACTTCAATTTCGGCGTTTCCACAGGTGAATTTTTCGAATGGTGAACGGTGTCGCCTCACGTGGTTGATCATAAGAAAAAGCGAAGTAGTAAAGAATGGACATAGTTTACAGTTGTGCACGTTTTTCCATGAAGACCGACCAGTTGTAGCGAATGCTTTACGGTATTCCAAACTTGACATTTTGGCCACCTAAAACCGTTTTGTTAGACAACGTTCCAATACTGTCACTTTTTAGCTTACCCAAACACTTACGAGCAACTTTTAGACGCACCTAACCTCAAAATTTAAAACGATTCGTATGAGGTAAAAAGTAAATACTCATTTTATAAACGCAAAAAAATGCAGAAGCTCGAAACTCGAAAAGGTACAAAGAATTTAGAGGCAAAACCTCCACAACTAGTCAAAACGTTTAATAAAAAGAGACAACTTGTCAATTGTCATACCCTCTACCATTGACATTATAATACTAGATAAATACAAATACATAATTACATAACCTCAAACATTGACATTTCGCAGTTCCGTGTCCTCACACTCCACAAAATTTTTTTGAATCATGTTTTGTTCGCGCCATTGCGGGTTTTCCAAATGTTTCACATACAGATGTTCCTTTAACGTGTTCCTGTATTTAGTTTTGAAAAAACATTCTTGGCATTCGTACCATTTAATTCCTGTAATTTCTGCAATTTCCGCATTATTCGCATGTCGACGTTTTACGTGACATTTTAAATGGAATCGCCGTTTAGCTTTGAATGGGCAATATTCGCATCTAAACCATTCAATTTGGTCCTCATCTAAATGTAGTGCATTTATGTGTGCCTTTAAAGACGCTTTATACCTAGTTTTGAATCCACATTCAGTGCATTCGTACCATGGAGCGTCTTCTTCATTAGCGTGAACGAACTTGGTGTGTTTTTTCAAACCGTATTTCACTCTGGTTTTAAACGGGCACTTTTCACATGTGTACCACTGGGCATCTTCCTCTTTTAAATGGTGACGGTTCACGTGGATTCTTAAATCTCTTTGACTTCTAATTTTGTATGGACAATGTTCGCATTCGAACCAACGTTTTCCATTCAAATGGTGCATGTCCATGTGACGTTTTACGTAACCTTTCACTTTAGCTTTATATGTACAAAATTTGCACTGATATTGTTTGTTGTTGGAATGATGGATGTCTGTATGCACTCTTAAATTACGTCTATCGTTACTTTTATATGTACAATTGTCACATTTATACCATTTAGCGCTTTTTTGGTTTAAATGTACACTATTTATATGTCTAGTTAACCAACCTTTTACTTTGGCCCTGAAGGGACACTCGTCGCAATAATGCCAACGTATTTCGCCGCTTAAATCCACATTCTGAACATTTTCGTTTTCCCTCGTGCATCCTGAAGTATGCTGAAGACACTTTAAAAACGAATTGCTTTCGAAACTACATTTCTCGCAAACGTAGTTTCGTATAACAAAGTCCTGACGTGATAAAACTTCTCTGGATTCTTTTTTAAAGCCGTGGTGTTGGTTAATGTGTTGTTTGAACTCAACCGTTAGTGTTGTTTTAAAATCGCAGTCTTTGCAGTAGAAAGCTTCGACTTCGGTGTTAGAGCAAGCGAATTTTTTCACGGGGAAGCGGTGTCGCCGCACGTGGTTCACCATATGCAAAAGTGATGTCGAAAAATAGGGGCATTGTTTACAGTTGTGGACGTTTTTCCATGAAGATCTACCCCATGCTGTAAAAGCTTCAGAATATTCGAGAATTGACATTCTGGTTGCCTGAAACGGGGTTATCACACTAGGGACGCAAATGTTACTTTGGTTACCTAAATATCCCGGAAGCACTGTTAAAATTCGAAATGGTTTCGATTCAAGAAACGTCATAACCTCACATTTTAACCTCAAAAATTTTTAGATGACACAACCAGGTGACAAAGAAAAGGTGTGTTCATTGACTAATCCACTTTATATTTTACAAAAACCAGTACGAAGTTACAACTAAATTAACCCTACACATGTAGTTTTTTAATATGCCTGGCCAGAGAAGTTTTATTTTTAATTCTGTAAGGACAGTATTCACATTTGTACCATTTGGCATCCATTCCATCCAAATGGTGGTAATTCACATGACCCTTTAAACAATCATTGCGTTTCGCCCTGTATGGACAATATTCACACTCATACAATTTGATCCCCAAGTGTACATTAACATGCCATTTTAAATCATTTTTCGTTCTACTTTTATACGAACACTTCGCACATTCGTACCATTCCGGTTTGCCCGAATGATTAACCTTCATATGCTTCCTTAAATACGACTCCAATTTGGTTCTATAAGAGCATATTTCGCACTCATACCACTTAACTTCCTTTTCATCCACGTGTTGAGAAATTATGTGCCGTTTTAAATCCGACGCCTTTTTACTTCTAAACGGACAATTTTCACATCCGTACCACTTAACTTTATCTTCGTCTAGATGTTTCGCAGTCACGTGCGACTTCAAATATTGATTATCTCGAGTTTTAAAAGGGCATTGTTCGCATTCGTACCATTTACCTTCGTCGTCGTTCAAGTGAAAATTGTTTATGTGTCTTTTTAAAGTACGTTTGCATTTGGTTTTGAACGAACACAGTTCACACATGTGCGATTCTCGGTCTCTGGAATGGATACGTTTTATGTGGTCTCTTAAATACGATCGATGCTTGCTTTTAAATGAACACTGTTCACATTCATACCACTTGACTTTTTCGTCCTCTAAATGTATTGCGTTTACGTGTTTCTTTAAACAATGTTTATACCTAGTTTTAAATGGACAGTCGTTGCATTCGTACCATTGAACGTCTTCTTCATTCAAGTGGAAGATTTTTAGGTGTTTTCGGTAACTATTTTTCAATCTGGATTTAAATGGGCACTTGTCACACGTATACCATTCGACGTCTTGTTCATCCAAATGTATCTGATTTATGTGGTTTAGTAAATCAATTTTGCGGCTGATTTTATACGGACACTGGTCACACTTGTACCATTTAATATCAATATCGTTTTTAACTGAATGACGATTCTTGACGTGCCTTTTTAGATAAGTTTCCACTTTAGTTTGAAATTGGCAATGTTTGCATTGAAGCCACTTGGCATCTAAATGTTGGACAGTTATGTGCACTTTTAAATTATCTTTTCGTTTGGTTTTATACAGACAGTTGGCACACTTGTACCACTTGACTTCCTCTTCGTCTTCATTCCAATCACGATAAATTGCGTGATTTTTTAAATGCAACGCCAGTCTAGCTTTATATTTAGTTTTATATGGACACTTGTCGCAACCATACCGACAAACCAAATCATGTTGGAGCCACTTTAACGAGAAATTTGTTTTGAAGTCGCATTTTTCGCAAACGTAGTCTTGTACGTGATACTCCGCGTCGTCCCCAGATTCTCTCTTAAGCCCGTGATGCGCATTAATGTGCTGTTTAAACAGAATCGTTAAATCCGTTGTAAAATCACAGTCTTTACAAAGGTAAGTCTCAATTTTTAAGCAAGTGAAATTTTCCACCGGGAAACAGTGAAGTCGTGTGTGGTTCACCATACGCCAACGTGAGGCTGTAAAATAGGGGCACTGGTCACAGTTGTGGACGTTTTTCCATGAGGATTCTTCAGAGGCTGTGACAGCTTCGGAGTACTCCAAAATTGACATTTAGGTTGCCTGAAACCGTCTTATTAGTATTAAACTTGGGAAGCAAATGCAACTTGAGTTACCGAAATCTCTTTGGAACACCGTTAAAACTGAAAAAGAGCGTCTGAGTTAAATGTTTTGGAAACTCTTATTACTTTCTAACCTAACTTTTATGTGTCAAAAATAAAGTCCCTAAATGTATCTAGGGACTTTGGGCAAAAATGACGTATGGTGTATTTTGACGGTAAATAAGTGACATTTAAGTCGTATTGTGGGTTGCCTACTTTGGGCGCAACTCAAATATTTAATTTTTTCCGACATGAAATAAAATTCTGATAAGTAGAATTAATTTAATACATTACAAGATTAAACTGTACATAATTGATATGTATTTTTTGTGTGCACCTTTAGGTGCTTTTGTAAATACCTTTTAATTTGACTTTTATACGAACATTTCCCACACTCATACCATTCTGATTTTTGTGTAAGATGGACATTTATGTGCTTCTTTAAATTATGTTTCGTTCTGCTTTTAAACGGACACTTTTCACACGCATACCATTCAACATCCTTTCTTTCCAAGTGCACCCGTTTCACGTGGACTCTTAAATCCGATTTACGTCTAGTTTTATGCGGACAGTGCTCACACATGTACCATTTCACATCATTTTCGTCTGAATGACAGTTCTTCATATGAGCGCTTAAATAACATTTTAATTTAGCTTTATATTCGCAATACTCGCACTGAAACGACTTGATATCCAACTGGTGGAGCGACTCATGCAATTTTAATTTGTCTTTTCTTTTACTTTTATACGAACAGCTTGAACATTCAAACCACTTAACTCCGTCCAAATGTAACGAATTAACGTGTTTTTTTAAACCACATTTTGTCTTGGTTTTAAACGGACATTGATTACATCGGTGCCACTCGATTTCTTTTTCATTCAAGTGTAAGTTGTTGATGTGTCTTTTTAGACTCCATTTGACTCTAGTTTTATAAGGACATTGTTCACACTTGTGCCATTTGCCATCTTCATCATCTAGATGGTTCAGATTTACGTGGTGTTTTAAACCTGATTCGTATCTACATTCATATGAACACTTGTCACAAGCAAACCGCTTGTTCAAATGGCGATTTGCCGTATGTTTGTTGAAATATGTTTTGTGGCTAGCCGTATACGAACATTCCACACAGGAATATCGTTGGACATTTTTCTCTCTTCTGATGCATACTGAAGTGTGCTGAAGCCACTTCAACACCAGGTTTGTTTCAAAGTCGCACTTTTCGCAAACGTAGCTTTGTAAGCTTGATAAATCATCTCTCTTAAGACTGCGATGTTCGTTAATGTGTTGTTTGAACAGAATCGTTAATTCCGTTTTAAAATCACAGTCTTTACAATAGTACGTTTCAATTTCAGCGTTTTCACAAGTAAATTTTTCCAAAGATGAACGGTGTCGCTTCACGTGGTTCACCATAAGAAAAAATGACGTAGTAAAGTATGGGCATTGTTTACATTTGTGGACGTTTTTCCATGAAGATCTTCCATGAGTTTTGAGTGCTTCAGAGTAGTCCAAGCTTGACCTAAAATAGTTTTATTTCATTGTGGATCGGCATTGGCACTTTTCTTACCCTTTTTGAAGCGACATAACCTCAACTTTTGGTTTTCACCGTGTACGTTTAACTTGTAGAATTAGGTATTGTACTATAACATACACAATTAAGACGATTTGAAACAACGATTGTACGACTTAGAACTTAGTTTTCAAGTATCTTTGGTCATCAATGCACTTGGTATATAACATAACCTTAAAGTACGAACCGACCAATCACAAACCAGTTAACATGGAACAACAAACAGGTAAGCTCAATCGACTTTTATTTTTTATTCATACAACTATACATAAGATGAATCGTTTTTAGTTTTCTGCTCACACTTTCTACAGAAATTCTAAAATTCTGACCGAATTTGTGGAAAGATTCCAAATGTTGTGAAAGTCCTAAATATTCCAACCTTTTCAAAGGTTGTAAGGCTTTCAAGGATGTCAAGAACTTTAAGGAGTACAAGAATTTCAGGAATTTCAAAAAAATAAAAGACGCTACAAAAGCCGGCAAGTTAAAAATTCTAAAGGGATTTCAGGGATTTAAAAAATTCCGAAGATTCCACAGATTTCAAATATTTAAAAATTGGAAACATGATAAAAATCCTAAAAATCTAAAAATAATAAAATCTGAAAGCTCTAAAGGTTATAGAAATTCTAGTTAAGCTAGAGATTCTAAAAATTCCAAAAATCTTAAAGAACTTAAAGAACCTGGGGTACTAATGATCCTAGAAATTGCGAATTTAAAGACTGAATACTCTAACGACTAAAGATTTTAAAAGCTCGAAAGGGTCTAAAGACTCTAAGGAACCAAAAGCTAAAATTCTGTTTCGAATACTTGAAAGATTCTAAAGGTTCTAGAGGAATTCCAAAAAACCAAAGATTCTAAAATTTGTAAAAATCGCGTGAACTCAAATGCCAAAGAGTTCTCGATCATCCGATTTTCTGAGTTTTCAGGCTTAGTTTTTTTTGATGTTGAATTCTTGGATTTTGAAAATTTTTGTTTTTTAAATTTTCCTATTTATCAACTTACTGGGATTTCAATGTTTTGATTTTTTGATTGTTCAATTTCTCGATTTTTTGAATTTTTAGTTTTTTATACGTTTTTTTTCAAAAATTTTCAGTTTTTCAATTTATTAACTTTACGATACTTCAGTTTGGCCCGATTTCGATTTCTCAATTTTTCGACATATTACTTCTTCGATTTCTCGATTCTTCATATTTTCGGTTTCTCGAATTTCTTCATTTTTCGATTTCTCAATTTTCCGATGTTTCAGTTTTACGATTTTTATTTTTTTTATTTTTCAGTTTTCAATTTTTGACGTTTCTAAATTTTTCGATTAATTGATTTTTTGATTTTGCCGTTTCTCAATTTCTCGATTTTTCAATTCTTTCTTCAATCGTGATTTTTCAATTTTTCCATTTCTAAATTTTTCAATGTTTCAGTTTTGGGTTTTTTCACTTTTCCGATTCTTCAATTTTCTTTCCATTTTTCAGTTTTTCAAGATTTCAGTTTTGAATTTTTTCACTTTTTCGATTTTTCAATTTTCCTTCCATTTTTCAATTTTTCAGTTCTGGGATTTTGCAATGTTTCGCTTCTTCAATTTTTCCATTTTTTGATGTTTCGATTTCTCGGTTTTTCAATTTTTCGATTGGTATTTTAATGTTTCAATTTTTAAGTTCTACATTTTCCGTTAATTTTTTTGTTTTCCTTGATGTTTTGATTTCTCGATTATTCGATTTTCCAAGTTCTCGGTTTACATTTTTTGGTTTTCCAATTCTTCGATTTTTAAATTGTTTAATTTATAGATTGTTCAATTTCTCGATTTCTAGATTTTTCAGTTTTTCGGTTTACCGATTTTTTTCATTTAAAATGTTTCAATTTTTCAATCATTAACTTTTCGATTTTTCAATTTTGGTCTAATTTAATTTCTTAATTTTTTGATTTTTTGACTCCTCTACTTTTGATGTTTTGATTTATCGACGTTTCAGTTTTTGAACATTCCGATGTTTCGATTTTTCGACTTTTTGGCTTTTCGAGTGTTCAATTTTTTGATTTTTGAATTTTAGATTTTTGTTTTTTTTGATTTTTTGGTGTTTCGATTTCCCAATTCTTCACTTTTTCGATATTTTAATTTTTCAATTTTTCGAATTTTTAAATTTTTGATTTTTCTTTTCTTTTATTTCTCAATTTTTGGATTTTTTAAATTTTACATTTTTCGATTTTACTAAGTTGCAATACTCAATTTTTTAGGGTTTGAATATTGAGAACTTATCAATTTCTGGATTTTCAATTTTCAGAAGAAATTGAAAACATGTTTATGAGTATTGTGTTGTTCAAAGAATACTAGGCATACCAAGAAACAAAGGTGAAATGTATGCCTCGCCCACCCACCCAATCTTAATTGTGATGATTTATTTATTTTTTGAAACTTAAAACACATTTAAAATGGTAAATTTTTGTAGGGAAATATGGATTTTGCAGTTAAACTCCGCCCCTTTGGCTCACGACGAATAAAAAATTCATCACAATTGAGATAGGGCGGGTGGGCGGGCTTTACTTTTTCCCTGTTTTTTCTTAATACACATAGCCATCTTTTCACAACAAGAAACTTAAAATATGGTTAAAATGGTACATTTTTCCAAGGAAATATATTTTGCAATTATGAGGCGGAGCCTAATTGCAAAATCGATATTTCCATATACAAATTTTCATTTTAAACATTTTAAGTTTTATGTTATGAAAAGAGGTGTACACATTTTAAAACAAAAAGACAAAATATTGATTTTTTATTGTTTCGATTTTTGGGTGTTTTGATTTTTCGATTTTTCCAATTTATTGTCTATTTTAAGTATATTTCATTTTTCAATTTCCGCCTTCTGCGGGAGTATTATTTGTTGTGCTGCACTTGACGGGCGAGGGAAGTTCTGTCGAAATAACCTTCGATCAATTTTTATACTTAGCACGTGGGGTTCTTACTAAGCATTTCTTATTTAACCGAACAATTATTAATTTAACGAAGCAGCTATTATTTCACCAAGCATATATTATTTTTACTGAGAATTTATTTTTTAACTGAGCATTTGCATCAGGTAGATTTAAAGAAGAATTGCTGGTTGCGTTTAAGACAACAAAAGGCGCCCAATTCAAACTTGTCTGTTGTCTAGCGTTCCCCCTTAAACTAGAATATTTTATTTTTTGTATTTTATTCCGGATCGAAATTTAACTACATACAATAAAAATACAGGGGATTTACACCTTCTATATTAACACTACAACAACCCATTGCCAGGAAACTATATCCTACACGTGTACTTTTTTGTGTTTACGAAAATTCGAACAATATTTAGTTTTAAAATTGCACTGTTCACATTTGTACCATTTGACATTCGTTCCATCCGAATGGCGGTTTTTCACATGGTTGTTTAAATAACTTTTCAACTTAGCCTTATATGGACAATATTTGCACTCATATGGTTTGATATCTGAATGGTACAGATTTATATGTATCTTCAACGTGCTTTTTTCGTCACTTTTATACGAACAGTCCGCACATTCGTACCATTCTGTTTTTTCTGAATTGTCACGCTTAATTTTTTCTTCGTTTACATGTTTCGCAGCTGCGTGTTTCTTCAACGACCCTTTGACTTTGGTTTTGAATGGACACTGATTGCATTCAAACCATTCAACACCCTTAATCAAATGAACCGATTTTACGTGTTCTTTTAAACTCGATTTCGTCCTGGTTTTGAGTGGGCACTGGTCGCATTCATACCATTTAACATCGTCTCGGTGAGAATGCCGACATTTCATGTGACGGTTTAAATAATTTTTTAATTTCGCCTTGTATGGACAAAATTGGCACTGGTATGATTTGATATCAGAATGTCGTACAATTATATGTTGTTTTAAATCACTTAATATTTTACATTTATACGAACAAGTAGGACATTTGTACCATTTAACTTCTTCTTCGTTCAAATGTAAAGAAATTATGTGTGTTTTTAAGTTACTTTTTATTCTGCTCTTGTATGGACAGTAGCTGCATTGGTGCCATTTAACGTCTTCGTCGTCCAAATGCACGAAAGTTATGTGTTTTTTTAAATTCCGTTTTGCTCTAGTTTTATAGGGGCATTTGTCACACTGGTGCCATTCAGCCTCTTCATCCCCTAAATGGATCCGATTTATGTGGATTTTCACGTCCGTTTTGTATCTACTTTTATAGGGACACTTGTCACAAGCGTGCCATTTATTAAAATGGACTTTGTGTCTGTGACGTCGCAAATCAATTTGAAATTCAGCCTTGTAGGGACATTTCGCACAGTAGTGCCAACGTATTTCGTCAGTCAAACAAGTCACATTTGGAGGACTGCTTTTATTCGTCTTGCATTCCAAAGTATGCTGAAGCCACTTCAACGCGAAATTTGTTTCAAAGTCGCATTTTTCACAAACGTACTTTTCTATGGTGAAGTCATCACTTGATACAATATCGCTGGGTTCTATTTTAAGGCCGTGGTGTGTGTTAAAGTGTTGTCTGAACACAATCGCCAGTTCGGTTTTAAAATCGCATTCTTTGCAGAAGTACGGTTCAATTTTGGTGGTTCCACAAGCGAATTTACAGTGTTGCGCGTTTTTCCATGAAAACCTCCCACCTGTTGCGAATGTTTCATCGATCAGAGACATTGTGACACCTAAAACCGTTTTATCACACTATAGACGAATTGGCAATTTTGGTATACAAACCTCGTTCGAACTTATTAAAATTTCTACAATTGGTTAACCTAACCTCACAAAATAAAACTGCCAGTCTCGATTCGTTCACAGTTGTAATCTAACGCTTTTCCACCACACACTATAACCGTGATGCTAAATTAATTAATTAATTAATTTACTTGTCTGCTAAAACAAAGAATCTGTGACAATTCAATCAGGTGATTTTTTAAATTTCCGCTCTAGTTACCTTGACGCACGTCAGCTTGATGACGCAAGCGTCACGGTTACGGTAACTAGAGCAGAAATTAAAAAATCACCACACTCTCCCGTAGTTGCTAAAATGGGTAATCAAACTTCGCAAATTGCTTTAGAACTTAGTTAAATTTGCAACGTTTGCGATTCACCTAACCTCAAAAATTTATCGGTCAACAAGGTGATAACGAACAGGTGTACCCATTCATTCCGTTTCGTCATGATAAATAAAAGTGGCATTTTTGAGTTAAAATTATTATTACTAAAACAAACAAACATTCAAATTAATACTACAACTGCACGTGTATTTTGTTGTGTTTACGAAAATTCGAGCTATATTTAGTTTTGAAAGGACACTCTTCACATTTGTACCACTTCACATTCGTTCCGTTTGAGTGTCGATTATTCACGTGATTTTTTAAATAACTTTTCAATTTCGCCTTATATGGACAATACTTGCACTTATATGGTTTATTATCCGAATGGTGTAAATTTATATGTATTTTTAACGTAATTTTTTCTTTACTTTTATACGAACAGTTGGCACATTCGTACCATTCTGGTTTTTCTGAATGTTGAAAATTCACGTGCTTCTTCAAATTTGAGTTATATTTACTCCTATAGGGACACTCTTCGCATTCGTACCATTTAACCTTCTCGTCATCCAAGTGTCGATATTTTATATGATTTTTTAAATGCGACGACTGCTTAGTTTTGAATGTGCAATTTTCGCATTCGTACCATTTAATTTTGTCTTCGTCTGAATGTCTAGCAACTACGTGTTTCCTTAAAGATCCTTTGATTTTTGTTTTGAATGGACACTGGTCGCATTCAAACCACTCAGCGTCGCCTCCAATCAAGTGAATTGCATTTATGTGTTTTTTTAAACTGTCTTTTAATTTAGTTTTAAGGGGGCACTGGTCGCATTCGTACCATTTAACATCGTCGTCATCTGAATGGCGGCATTTCATGTGACGATTTAAATAACTTTTCAATTTTGCCTTGTATGGACAAAATTTGCACGGATACGATTTGGTGTCTGAATGGCGCACGGTTATATGTTGTTTTAGATCGTTCGTTCGTTTACTTTTATACGAACAGTTGGCACATTCGTACCACTTAACTTCTTCTTTGTTCAAATGTAAAAAAATTATGTGGGTTTTTAAATTGCTTTTTATTCTGCTCTTGTATGGACAGTGGCTGCATTGGTGCCATTTCACGTCTTTGTCGTTCAAATGTACGAAAGTTATGTGCTTTTTTAAGTTGCCTTTTGCTCGAGTTTTATAAGGGCATTTTTCGCACTGGTGCCATTCAGCCTCTTCATCACCCAAATGGATCTGATTTATGTGGATTTTTAAATCTCTTCTATATCTACTTTTATATGGACACTTGTCACATGCGTGCCACTTAGTTACATGGATTTTTTCTCTGTGACGTCGTAAACCATTTTTAAATTCAGTTTTGTAGGGGCATTTTGCGCAGTAATGCCAACGCTTATTCCCCCTGCATGTCAAAGTATGCTGGAGCCACTTTAATGAGAAATTAGTTTCAAAGTCGCACTTTTCGCAAACGTACTTTTGTATGTGGAGGTCCTCACTTGATTGTCTTTTAAGGCCGCAATGTTTACTAATGTGTTGTTTGAATAAAAGCGTTAGGTCGGTTTTAAAATCACACTCTTTGCAATAATACGATTCAATTTTGGTGTTTTCACATGTAAATTTTTCTGGAGATGAACGGTGTCGTCTGATGTGGGTCACCATAAAGAAGAGCGATGTTGTAAAGTATGGACATAGTTTACAGTGATGTACGTTTTTCAATTTTTTTCCACCTGTTGCGATTCGTTGGCAGTATTCCAAAGTTGACATTTTGACACCTGAAACCGTTCATCACACTATAGAATAATTATGGTGATTTTATTACACTTGTACCTTCTCGTTGGAACACAAACTATTACAATTTTTGACACATATATGAGCCTTGAAGACACCTAACCTCACAAATTAAAATTTATTTAATTATAGATTCCTTTGAGTTATGGGGTTGTATTCACTTTGTCGCGTCATTATACAGATTTTTTAATTCTTTAAATTATTTAAAAAGCTATTTGGAAAATTCCAACATTTTCGATTCATTTAACCTCAAAATTTCAAACAACCAATAACATAACAAACGACCTAGAAAGTCAGTCAGGTGATAAACTTCATTGACTAGTTCGTACTGATTCTTTCGAAAATGTTGCTCCGTGACCATCGACACCCTATATTTTTGGAATCAGCACGTCGAGATCTACGTCCCTGAATTTTTTCAGAATTTTTAGACGACTTTTTTGAAAGTAAAAATTTCCCCTTCTTCAAATTTCGGCCAAATTTTCACATTTTCGAAACTCAACTGAATACATTTTCTTGTGGATTTCGAGACCTAGAACTCACTTCCGGTCTCGTTTCTTTGATAGCTGCAACCGCTTTTCCGGAATCGACCGTCGAAATATCGAAATTTTTAGAAATTCTCAAAAATTACCATTTCGCGCCGATTCTTTCGAAAATGTTGCTCCGTGACCATCAACACCCTATATTTTTGGAATCAGCACGTCAAGATCTACGTCCCTGAATTTTTTCAGAATTTTTGGACAACATTTTAAAGATTGAAATTTTTCCAATGGTCCCCACTTCTTCAAATTTCGGCCAAATTTTCACATTTTCGAAACTTAACTGAATACATTTTCTTGTAGATTTCGAGGCCTAGAACTCACTTCCGGTCTCGTTTCTTTGATAACTGCAACCGTTTTTCCGGAATCGACCGTCGAATTATCGAAATTTTTAGAAATTCTCAAAAATTCGCATTTCGCGCCGATTCTTTAGAAAATGTTGCTCCGTGACCATCAACACCCTATATTTTTGGAATCAGCACGTCGAGATCTACGTCCCTGAATTTTTTCAGAATTTTAAGACGACTTTTTTTAAAACTGAAATTTTTCCAATGGTCCCCCCTTCTTCAAATTTCGGCCAAATTTTGACATTTTCGAAACTTAACTGAATACATTTTCTTGTAGATTTCGAGGCCTAGAACTCACTTCCGGTCTCGTTTCTTTGATAACTGCAACCGTTTTGCCGGAATCGACCGTCGAAATATCGAAATTTTTAGAAATTCTCAAAAATTCGCATTTCGAGCCGATTCTTTCGAAAATGTTGTTCCGTGACCATCAACACCCTATATTTTTGGAATCAGCACGTCGAGATCTACGTCCCTGAATTTTTTCAGAATTTTTGGACAACATTTTTAAAACTGAAATTTTTCCAATGGTCCCCCCTTCTTCAAATTTCGGCCAAATTTTGACATTTTCGAAACTTAACTGAATACATTTTCTTGTAGATTTCGAGGTCTAGAACTCACTTCCGGTCTCGTTTCTTTGATAACTGCAACCGTTTTTCCGGAATCGACCGTCGAAATATCGAAATTTTTAGAAATTCTCAAAAATTCACATTTCGCGCCGATTCTTTCGAAAATGTTGCTCCGTGACCATCAACACCCTATATTTTTGGAATCAGCACGTCGAGATCTACGTCCCTGAATTTTTTCAGAATTTTTAGGCGACGTTTTGAAAAGTGAATTTTTTCCAATGGTCCCCCCTTCTTCAAATTTCGGCCAAATTTTGACATTTTCGAAACTTAACTGAATACATTTTCTTGTAGATTTCGAGGCCTAGAATTCACTTCCGGTCTCGTTTCTTTGATAACTGCAACCGTTTTTCCGGAATCGACCGTAGAAATATCGAAATTTTTAAAAATTCTCAAAAATTCGCATTTCGCGCCGATTCTTTCCAAAATGTTGCTCCGTGACCATCAACACCCTATATTTTTGGAATCAGCACGTCGAGATCTACGTCCCTGAATTTTTTCAGAATTTTTAGACGACTTTTTTTAAAACTGAAATTTTTCCAATGGTCCCCCTTCTTCAAATTTCGGCCAAATTTTGACATTTTCGAAACTTAACTGAATACATTTTCTTGTAGATTTCGTGGCCTAGAACTCACTTCCGGTCTCGTTTCTTTGATAACTGCAACCGTTTTTCCGGAATCGACCGTCGAAATATCGAAATTTTCAAAAATTCTCAAAAATTCGCATTTCGCCCCGATTCTCTCGAAAATGTTGCTCCGTGACCATCAACACCCTATATTTTTGGAATCAGCACGTCGAGATCTACGTCTCTGAATTTTTTCAGAATTTTTAGACGACTTTTTTTAAAACTGAAATTTTTCCAATGGTTCCCCCTTCTTCAAATTTCGGCCAAATTTTGACATTTTCGAAACTTAACTGAATACATTTTCTTGTAGATTTCGAGGCCTAGAACTCACTTCCGGTCTCGTTTCTTTGATAACTGCAACCGTTTTTCCGGAATCGACCGTCTGAATATCGAAATTTTCAAAAATTCTCAAAAATTCGCATTTCGTCCCGATTCTCTCGAAAATGTTGCTCCGTGACCATCAACACCCTATATTTTTGGAATCAGCACGTCGAGATCTACGTCCCTGAATTTTTTCAGAATTTTTAGACGACTTTTTTTAAAACTGAAATTTTTCCAATGGTCCCCCCTTCTTCAAATTTCGGCCAAATTTTGACATTTTCGAAACTTAACTGAATACATTTTCTTGTAGATTTCGTGGCCTAGAACTCACTTCCGTTCTCGTTTCTTTGATAACTGCAACCGTTTTTCCGGAATCGACCGTCTAAATATCGAAATTTTCAAAAATTCTCAAAAATTCGCATTTCGCCCCGATTCTCTCGAAAATGTTGCTCCGTGACCATCAACACCCTATATTTTTGGAATCAGCACGTCGAGATCTACGTCCGTGAATTTTTTGAGAATTTTTAGACGACTTTTTTTAAAACTGAAATTTTTCCAATGGTCCCCCCTTCTTCAAATTTCGGCCAAATTTTGACATTTTCGAAACTTAACTGAATACATTTTCTTGTAGATTTCGAGGCCTAGAACTCACTTCCGGTCTCGTTTCTTTGATAACTGCAACTGTTTTTCCGGAATCGACCGTCGAAATATCGAAATTTTCAAAAATTCTCAAAAATTCGCATTTCGCGCCGATTCTTTCGAAAATGTTGCTCCGTGACCATCAACACCCTATATTTTTGGAATCAGCACGTCGAGATCTACGTCCCTGAATTTTTTCAGAATTTTTAGACGACTTTTTTTAAAACTGAAATTTTTCCAATGGTCCCCCCTTCTTCAAATTTCGGCCAAATTTTGACATTTTCGAAACTTAACTGAATACATTTTCTTGTAGATTTCGAGGCCTAGAACTCACTTCCGGTCTCGTTTCTTTGATAACTGCAACCGTTTTTCCGGAATCGACCGTCTAAATATCGAAATTTTCAAAAATTCTCAAAAATTCGCATTTCGCCCCGATTCTCTCGAAAATGTTGGTCCGTGACCATCAACACCCTATATTTTTGGAATCAGCACGTCGAGATCTACGTCCCTGAATTTTGTCAGAATTTTTAGACAACATTTTTAAAACTGAAATTTTTCCAATGGTCCCCCCTTCTTCAAATTTCGGCCAAATTTTGACATTTTCGAAACTTAACTGAATAAATTTTCTTGTAGATTTCGAAACCTAGAACTCACTTCCGGTCTCGTTTCTTTGATAACTGCAACCGTTTTTCCGGAATCGACCGTCGAATTATCGAAATTTTTAGAAATTCTCAAAAATTCGCATTTCGCAGCGATTCTTTCGAAAATGTTGCTCCGTGACCATCAACACCCTATATTTTTGGAATCAGCACGTCGAGATCTACGTCCCTGAATTTTTTCAGATTTTTCAGACGACACTTTTAAAACTGAAATTTTTCCAATGGTCCCCCCTTCTTCAAATTTCGGCCAAATTTTGACATTTTCGAAACTTAACTGAATACATTTTCTTGTAGATTTCGAGGCCTAGAACTCACTTCCGGTCTCGTTTCTTTGATAACTGCAACCGTTTTTCCGGAATCGACCGTCTGAATATCGAAATTTTCAAAAATTCTCAAAAATTCGCATTTCGTCCCGATTCTCTCGAAAATGTTGCTCCGTGACCATCAACACCCTATATTTTTGGAATCAGCACGTCGAGATCTACGTCCCTGAATTCTTTCAGAATTTTTAGACGACTTTTTTTAAAACTGAAATTTTTCCAATGGTCCCCCCTTCTTCAAATTTCGGCCAAATTTTGACATTTTCGAAACTTAACTGAATACATTTTCTTGTAGATTTCGTGGCCTAGAACTCACTTCCGTTCTCGTTTCTTTGATAACTGCAACCGTTTTTCCGGAATCGACCGTCTAAATATCGAAATTTTCAAAAATTCTCAAAAATTCGCATTTCGCCCCGATTCTCTCGAAAATGTTGCTCCGTGACCATCAACACCCTATATTTTTGGAATCAGCACGTCGAGATCTACGTCCGTGAATTTTTTGAGAATTTTTAGACGACTTTTTTTAAAACTGAAATTTTTCCAATGGTCCCCCCTTCTTCAAATTTCGGCCAAATTTTGACATTTTCGAAACTTAACTGAATACATTTTCTTGTAGATTTCGAGGCCTAGAACTCACTTCCGGTCTCGTTTCTTTGATAACTGCAACTGTTTTTCCGGAATCGACCGTCGAAATATCGAAATTTTCAAAAATTCTCAAAAATTCGCATTTCGCGCCGATTCTTTCGAAAATGTTGCTCCGTGACCATCAACACCCTATATTTTTGGAATCAGCACGTCGAGATCTACGTCCCTGAATTTTTTCAGAATTTTTAGACGACTTTTTTTAAAACTGAAATTTTTCCAATGGTCCCCCCTTCTTCAAATTTCGGCCAAATTTTGACATTTTCGAAACTTAACTGAATACATTTTCTTGTAGATTTCGAGGCCTAGAACTCACTTCCGGTCTCGTTTCTTTGATAACTGCAACCGTTTTTCCGGAATCGACCGTCGAAATATCGAAATTTTCAAAAATTCTCAAAAATTCGCATTTCGCCCCGATTCTTTCGAAAATGTTGCTCCGTGACCATCAACACCCTATATTTTTGGAATCAGCACGTCGAGATCTACGTCCCTGAATTTTTTCAGAATTTGTAGACAACT